AATAAAATAAATTTGCTCGTAAGGGTCTTCTGATTATAATAACTATCGCCGTCAGTTTAACCATCCCCCAGACAAGCTGGGATGGGGGGGAAGAAAGACTCCTGCATTGCATGTGTACTTCAGTGATTGCAAGCTACATCCCACTTTTAAAGATATCAAAATGTGAAAACATGTCCATCCTAGGCTCAAGAAAATAGGACATTCCCCCCATTATGTAGATGAGGAAAGAAGTGGCCCAGAGAGGTGAGGCAGCATGGGAAAGGTCACACAGCAGGTGAGCTGGAGGGCATCGGGGAAATGCACCTGTCTGAAACACTTTATTTCCTGAAGAAGTCACATTCCACCTTTCTTCATTAAGGCCAGAGCCAAGGTCTGTGTAAGACCAACTTGTGACCTGCTTCCACATATACATAGGCTGAGCAAATTGTCCCCATGGGGAACTTTGTGGCTAGGCTGAGGAAAAGACCCAAAAAGATTTTCTCAAGTTCAAATCCTGTTTTGTGATCTTGGGCAACTTAAGCAACCTCTTTGAACTTCAATTTCCTCATCTGAAAAGCCAGGGTTACAACATGTGTCCCACAACATTGTGCATGAGATGAAAACATGGGATCACATGCACGAGATCGCACCTAGCATGCCACCTAGTATGCCGTCCGGGCACAAGACATTGTAGCCATTATTATTCTGAATGGTGCTATTTTTGGGTTGAACCATATGAAACTGGGTTTTACAGGTCCAAAAGCAATTGGATATTATTTATTTCATACAGGTCACTCTACTGCTATTGAACAATAGTCCTTTTTGTGGCTGGCAAGAAAGGCAGAGCATATCGGCCCCATTTTGCAGAGAGAGAAACTGAGGCCTAAAGAGAAAGAATGACCTACCCAGGGCCATGTCCCAGTCAGGAACTGGAATCTGCCTGCAAGCCTTTCCTTTTCTTGCTCTTCTTTTCTTCACTGTCTCAATCCTGGGCTGCTGGCCATCATAGATTGTGACCATAGCTAGGGTTTGATTCATTGTGAACAGGGCAAACACAGGCTGGCCTGGGCTTTCCCCTGGAGCTGGCCCAGCCTGGGAAGTTCACCTGGCTGTTTGCTGACACTCAGTTGTGCAACACGAGATTGGGAACTGTGGGTACTGCCAGTTTAGGAAGAGTTTCCTTCTGTCCCCGACAACCTCCTATCTGCCCCTGATGGGAATGAGCTGGCCCAGTTCCAGCATCCTCACTGGCCCTCCTGGGATTGGAGACCAGGCCGAGTCATGAGCATCACAGTTCTAACGTGGCTCCTCTTGCTTTCCCTCTCTGGCCCTTCTTGCTGGCTTTTTCAATCTCTACCCATGTCTTCCAGGCCTAGCAGATGCTGCTGAGGCCCACAGAGCTCTGAGTGTAGTGCAGACCTCTCTCCTTTCCTCGCAGCGCAGGCAGCTGCCTCCTGGAGGGATGGCTCTGCTCCAGGGCCCCATGGCAGTCAAACCCAACTTGCCAACTCAGACCTCTGCTCATCTGTGCAAACCTGTGACTTGTCATGTTCCCAGCTCCATACCACAGGCCTCCTCACCCTTTCCTGTAGCATGGGACCACTTATCATTCCCAAATGCACAGGGCTATCTTTACCTCTGGGCCTTGGCAGGCACTGTTCCCTCTCCCCCAAGTACCCTTCCCCATCTGGCTCACTTCTATTACTCCCCAGCTTGAGGAGTGTGATGGTTAATTTTATGTATCACCTTGACTGGGCCACAGGGTGCCCAGATATTTGGCCAACCACTATTCAGGGTGTGTCTGTGAAGGTGTTTTTAGATGGGATTAACATTTGGGTAATCCCATGGGTAGACTGAGAAAAGCAGATGGCCCTTCCCAGCGTGGGTGGGCTTCGTCCAATCAGTTGAAGGCCTGAATAGAACGAACAGGCTGAGTACGAGTGAATTCCTTCTGCCTGACTGCCTTCAAGCAGGGACAGGTTTTTTCCCGGCCTTTTGGACTCAAACTGAACCATCAGGTTTTCCTGGGTCTCGAGGCTGCCAGCAGCCAGTCTTAAGGTTTGTCAGCTTCCATAATTGCATGAGCCAATTTTGTATAATAAATCCCTTAATATAGCCTATTGGTTCTGTTTCTCTGGAGAACCCTAACACAGGGGGTCACCTCCTATCTTCCTCCTGCTTTCATCAACTATACCCCCCACTTTTCCCCCTCTCAGGCACATGGCCTCCCCATCTCCAAGCCCCTAATCACACATGGCCCAACCCCTCCAGCTGCATCCACAGGACTCAGAGCTACTCAGACATGCTGCCAGATCCGTGCCCGTACCTCCAGTGCCCACACACAACTGGGCATGGGGAAGGTGCTCTACAAACTCATGTGGAGGAAATAAAGATAAGAGTTCCTGAAGGCAATTGTTTAACAAGTGTGAGTACTGAAAGTACTCCATAGCTGTAGCAGAGAACTAGGTGTGTTCCTTGCTCTCACAGAGCTTGCTATTTATTTATTTACTTATTTAGAGACAGAGTCTCACTCTGTCACCCAGGCTGGAGTGCAAAGGCACAATCTCGGCTCACTGCAACCTCCGCCTCCCAGATTCAAGCAGTTCTCCTGCCTCAGCTTCCTGAGTAGCTGGGATTACAGGCGCACGCTGCCATGTCCGGCTGATGTTTTGTATTTTAGGAGAGACGGGATTTCACCGTGTTGCACAGACTGGTCTCAAACTCTTGAGCTCAGACAATCCACCCGCCTTAGCCTCCCAAAGTGCTGGGATTACAGGCATCAGCCACCGTGCCTGGCCTCTCGCAGAGCTTTCTATGGGGGAAAACAGACATTGCAGTGACAACTTTCCCATCTACAAAATGAGAAGCATTCTTGAACAGCTAGGGGTGACAATGTATGCCAGACCTCAGGAATGGGCCATTCTGGCTCAATTCTATTTCTGATTGTCAGGCAAAGAAATAAGAAGAACATTTGTATTGCCCCTGCTTCCCAAGTTTTTGAAACTATTTTCCAGCCTTAGGAAGCAGTGCAGTGCAGTGCAGTAGTTCTTGGGACTTTAGCACGCACCAGAATCTACAGGGGCCTTGTGAAAAATGGATTGCTGATCCCATCCTTGGAGGTTGTGATTCAGTAGGTTTGGGGTGAGGCCAAGAACTTGCATTTCAAAGGAGCTCTCAGGTCTGCTAGCTCTAGGGTCTGATGCATGTAACAGTGCTGTTAGCAGTCATGGGTGTGAATTACAGCTTTGCCTTTCTCCTTTTTTTTTTTTTTGAGATGGAGTCTGGCTCCCTCCCCCAGGCTGGATGCAATGGCACGGTCTGGGCTCACTGCAATCTCTGCCTCCCAGCTTCAAGCGATTCTCCTGCTTCAGCCCCCCAAGTAACTGAGACTACAGGTGTGTGCCACTACGACTGGCTAATTTTTGCATTTTTTTTTTAGTAGAGACGGGGTTTCACCATGTTGGCCAGGCTGGTCTCAAGTTCCTGACCTCAGGCGATCCACCCGCCTCCAACTCCCAAAGTGCTGGGATTACAGACATGAGCCACTGCGCCTGGCCTGAATCACAGCTTTGCCTTGGCCTCACCTGTGATCACGGGCCCTTCCTTGGGCTTCGGTTGCCCTCTATGTAAAATGGGAGGGTGGGCACCAGGCCAGGATACTCAGATATGTATACATTTAAGATAAACAACAAATAAAAAAGATTTTTAGCATAAGCATATCCTCAAAATTGCGTGGAGCATACTTGTACTAAAAAGTAGCTATTGTTTATCTGAAATTCAAATTCATCTGGGCATCCTCTATTTTTATTTTTTAAGTCTGGCAACCCCATCTCCCAGACTCACACCCACTGACTTCTTCCGTGGCAGGTACTATTGTGACCTCTCAAGAATATGACAGGCAGGGATCACTCCTTTTGAAGCATTATTCACAATAGCAAAGGTAGAAATAGCCCAAAAGTCCGCCAATTTGGCTCAAATGTCCATCAGCTTATGAGTAGGTAAACAAAATGTGGTTTATCCATACAATGGAGTATATTCAACCATAAAAAGAATGAAGTACTGATACACGTTACGACACAGATGAATCTTGAAAACATCAAGCTGAGTGAAAGAGGCCGGGGTCACAAAAGGCCACATACTGTATGATTCCACTTGTATTAGGTTGGTGCCAAAGTCATTGCGGTTTTTGTCATTTAGAAGTAATGACAAAAAAACCGCAATGACTTTGGCACCAGTGTAATATAAAATGTCTGGAGCAGGAAGAGCCGTGGACACAGAAAGCAGGCTGGTGGTTTCCGGGGGTTGGGGGAGGGTGTGACTGTTAAAATGGGTACAGGTTTCCTTTAGGGGTGATGAAAATAACACAAAATTAGATCATGGTGACACTGCACACCATTGTGAATGTACCGTCAGGAGTGGCAAATTTTACGTTACGTGTAATTAACCACAATCATAATAAAAACAAATTGCTCATGTTAACCTCAATGTACCTCCTCCCTGTGTATCAGGAGTTGGATTGTGTCCCCTCAAAAGATATGTTGAAGTCCCAGCCCCCTGCACCAGTGAATGTGACCTCATTTGGAGATAAGGCCTTTGCAGATGAAAGTAAGTTAAGGTGGGATCATGAGGGTGGGCTCTAATCCAGTATGACTGGGGTCCTCATAAAGAGAAGATGGAGCAGAGAGACACATCAGAACACATGTGACCACAGAGGCACAGACCGAAGTACTGCAGCTAAAAGCCAAGGAATGACTGGGGCTACCAGAAGCGGGAAGAGACAAGGAAAGATCCTCCCCTTGAGGCTTTGGAGGGAGCATGGCCCTGCCAACACTTTGCTTGTGTGAACTTCTGGCCTCCAGAACTGCGAGAGAGACTGTTCTGTGTTGTTTGAAGCCACCAAGTTTGTGGTATTGGTTACAGCATAAGGAGGGCATCCTCTGAGCATCTCCTCCCACTCCCTGTCCCAGCCCAGCCAGAAACTTCCCCCCTGAGCTTTGAGAAGCAGCACAGGACCACAGGTATGTCATTCCATTGCCTCAGTTTTAAATATTTATTTAAAATCCAGAGGGGAAAAGGAGAAACGGAACCCACTGGGGTTTTAATACACTGACATGTGGACAGACGTAAACGAGGACAGCAGGAAAACCCAAGAATGAGACAGAGGCCAGTGGATTCTGGCGGCAGGAGGGATCCGAGCGCTGAGATGAGGCCCGAGCTGCTACAAACATGCACTTCCACGCAGCGCGTCCAGGCTGGGGCGGGGGGGGGCGAGGATACAGAAGGGGGGACGGGAGAGGGGACGGGCCAGAGTGAGGTATTAAATAATAAAGATCAAATCCAATTCCCAAAGAGACACAACTTTAGGAGAGAAATACACAAACAGAGCCTTTCACATACATTTTCCCCTTCTATAAAAATAATTCCATGGTTAAATAACCTCAATTCCTAGGTTAAAATAACCTCAAAATCCAATTCAAGCGCCGACTTGTTGGCTGATGTAGCACAATTCAGAGGACGCTGAATGTCACTATGGTGTCGAACTCTGAGATTCCCATTATTATTCTGTCTCCTTGACCCAAATTTACACTTGGAGCTAATGACAATGGGTTTCTACAGAATTTAATGACAATGAAAAAGCAGGAACGATGATTGCATCTTGCAAGGACAGGCTCCTGGAAGTGAGGGCCTTGGAAGAGGTGATGCGGCTTCCTGAGATGGTTCCATGTTGATGCTTCACCTCCAAGGCTAGCCCTGACCCAACGCTGCTTTTGTGATTGGTTTCTTCAAGGTCAAGTCTTCACCCAAGACCTCTCCAGGGCATGCTTTCCAAGGCCAGCCTCACCTCCCTCCAGGACCGTGAAGGGCCAAGCCAACATGCTTCACACCCAGGCCTCCCTGCTGCCTTAAAAGGACAGACATTTCAAAGTCCATAAGTTATAAGGGAAATCTCTCTACTTCTGGTTTCTGGTAGGGTTTTTTTTTGTTTTGTTTTGTTTTGCTTTTTTTTTTTTTTTCCTTTTTTCTTTTCTTTTTTCCTCCTTAGCAGATTACCTGATGAGCACAAGGGCGATGCTAAGAAAATTGAAAAATTCCCCAAACTTTGTCATTTGGAGGAGAGAGAAAGATGTGGATGATACGCTACATCCAAAAGTTTCTCCAAAGTCTGTGGCAAAATAATGGTAGCACCTTCAGAATCTTAAATAGGGTTGTTTCTTTTTTTTTCCTTAAAAAAAACACATACACTATGAGAGACGATTGCGAGCACCAGCGATTTCACAGTGGGAGGTAGCAAACATGGGCACCCCCAGCCCGAGGATCTCGCCGCTTCCCACGCCTGGCTGCTCCTTCCCATCCTCTTACCTCTTTCCCGGGTGAAAAAAAAATAGTAACGCACCTTCTTTTTGTTTGTTTAAATAATATATATATATACTTCTGTCTTTCCTTTTCTCCTTTTTTCATGTCTCCTTTCTAATATTGCACATCAATAGCTCCCTAGCAGGGACCAGCTGACGAGATGCCCCCTTCCCTCAAGTTGGCTTGAATGTGGGGCTCTTTGGGCAGGAAGCTGGGGAGGGAAGGGGATGGCCGCAGAGCTGAGAGGCCATGGGGCTCAGGCAGGTTGCAGGTCCAGCTTGCTCTGGCTGGCTCTTTGGTTGGTCTTTGGGGCTAAGCTGGGATCCATTGTTCCCAAGGATACCCTATCCCCTCCTACCCCCACCCACTTCTACCGGGCAGACAACAGCTGGGGTCTGCCCAAGGACTCTTGGGCAGGGGAGCTGCCTCTCCTGGAGCTATCTGCCCCTCGGTACCCTCCCCTTGCCTCTTCCTCTTCCGTCCTCCATGAGGCCTAGAGGGGCCAAGAGGTCAGAGGTCAGAGGAAGCACGCAGGTCCAACTTCCAGGCGGTACTGCTTCCCTGATGAGGCAGGAGGGAGGTTGTCCACACTGACGATGGGCAGCTGTTGGGGGTCTTGGGTCCGGAAGGTGAAGAGTGTCTGATGCCAGCGGCCGTCTTGGACCTGAAAGCGGAAGGAAAAGTGCACACGTACATCCATTGTGGTTCTCATCATACATCATGAGCATTTTTCCTTCCATCTTTCCTCACAATTTTTAACGGCTATACCATATTTCACTGTAGCAATGACCTATATGGCACATTTAGATTGCTTCCACTTTTTTTATTCTTATAAGTAACGCTGTCATGAACATCACTGTAACTAAACCTTTGTGCACATTCTTAATTATTTCCCTAGAACAAATTCCAGAAGGATTGTTCTAAAATTGCTAGACCAAAAAACAAGTACATCTCATATATATATATATTTTTTTTTTATTAAATATATATATATTAAATATATATATATATTTATTTCTTCAATAAGTTTTTGGGGAACAGGTGGTGTTTGGTTACATGAATAAGGTCTTTAGTGTACACGGTACCCAATGTGTAGTCTTTTATCCCTCACCGCTCTCCCACCCTTTTCCCCAAGTCCCCAAATTCTGTTGTACCATTCTTATGCCTTTGTGTCTTCATAGCTTAGCTCCCCCCAAAATAAGTACCTTTCTAAGGTTTTGGATATATATTAGAGCTGCTATCCAGAAAGCCTCTACCAATTTATTTTTTTCCAATAGCTTCATGCAAGATTGTTGGTTTCCCCACATCCTCATGAACACTGTGTGGTATTATTAGTTTTGTTTAGTCCTATAAAACTGATTTTTGTCTCCTCTCAACTTTCTGTCTTCCCTTCCCCTGACAACCCACCCTGTTCAGGGCATTTGAAAATGACCAAAACATACATTGAGAAGAAACTAGCCTGACTAGGGTGGTAGCAGGGAGAAGAAACATATCTTCTTTGAAAGAGCCTTGCAAGTAAGCATAACATCTACCAGCCCGAAGAATTTTTACCAGCCCAGACCTCCCCTCAGAGCTTCCCAGAGAGGAAAGTGAATAAAAACGGTTTTAGAAAACTGTTATATTACACAAAGATAAAATTATATCTATCACATTAATGTATTATAGTATAAAATGTTAGATATGATCTTATAATAGAAACACTCTATTATAGAAAAATTTCTAAAAAATAGAAATTTTTCCAAACAGGTGTTTTTCCAGTTGTCCCCACATGAGGGGTCTAGGAGGGGCTCTGAGAGTTACCTTGCAGCCATCCATGGACACCTCGGGCCGGAACTGACCCCCAGCTTCAAAAATCTGTCCGTTCCAGGCCCGGAAGCGCACGGCCTGCTTGGCTGGGGTCTGCCCAGTGCCCTCCTGCCACACAGTCATGTTAAGGCAGTGGATGGTGATATGCTGGGTCACCTCAGAGCTTAGCAGGTGCAGGAAATTCATCTGGACCCGGCTGATGGCAAACTCGACCTGTAGAGAAGCAATGGCAGTGAGCAGCTCAGACTGCCTGCCCCCTGCAACACACACACCAAGAGTTCCCTGCTTCTCTAACGAGGGAACAGGGATAGGCCCCTTCCGGGCAAGCATTTCCTGAAATGCTCCCAGACGTGTGCCCCCTTGATAGACAGGGAAACTAAGGTCTGCGTGAGCTGGTCTCACAGGTTCTTGGCTGTGTAAGCGGGAAGGGCCTGCCTGAGTCCAGAGCTAGAGCTTCAAAGGTCTTGATGTCATCTGATCCACTCCCCTACTGTATCGGGGGTCTTTGGGCTGAGCCAGGATCCAGGGGCTCAGCGAGGGAGAGGGTTTTGCCCAAGACTGAGAGGCTCATGGAGTGCAGAGGAAATAAGAGGTGCTTTCTAGACCCTTCCTAAGTCCCAAGACCCCTGTGAGGTGGGGTGGGGTGCTGCCGGAAATGGCAGACCTGAGAACAAACAACAGGGCAGGATTTATGGCTTCAGCGCTTTCCCACACAGAGCCAGGGCCTCTCACTGCCATTGTTTCTGATGGGGAAGGTGACCCAGTCGGGCATTCATGCTGCCAACCCAGGCGCCAACTCCAGCCTCACCCCTCTGCTAGGCAGGTTTGCTGCGTGACCCCAAAACCTTCGAGTCACCAGGGAAGAGAGCCTGTGGAGGCCACCAAGTCCCTGCTGGACAGTGAGCTCTGGCCGAACGGGCAGTTTCGAGTCTGACTTCCCTGTCCTGGCTGAGGGCCTGGCACATGATAGGGACCCAGCAAAGACCTGGCAACTGGCTGGCTGCCTCTCCTAGAGATTCTCAAACTGCCAGTCTAACCCAGTCAGCGCAAGGCATCTCCCAGGGGGTGTGGCTGATGAAATGGGAGGATTCCTTTCCCCTGAAGCCAGAGCAGCTTCTATTGTGGCATAAATTGCCCCCAAATTCAGAAGGCTTAGTGGAACTACAGACCCACAATCCACTGAGGACCCCTGCGCGAGGGAGCTGTCAGGTCCCACGTGCCACCTGCCTTGGTGTGTTGTTCAGTGACCCTCTACCACCTAAAATGCTCAGCCCAGAAACAGGCACGTGGCATGCAGGCACTGAACATGAGTTAAGTATCTGCATACACAATTCATGCAACATGCTTCAGCTGAACATCACGCTAGTTTTCTCTTTTATTTCACGCGGATGATTCATGGTTCCCCAAGCCAGGCCAGCTTGGCCAACTGCTCTGCTTTAGAGATTAGGCAGAAGATTCTATTTGAAGAAAGAATCATCAGCATCATATGACTCGAAAGGGTTTGGAAACCACAGATTAGTCTGACTCACTCCCAATTTATAGATAAGGAAACTGAGTCTCGGAAGGAGGAGAAAACTTTCCCAAGGGCATGCAGTAAGACAGGCACAGCTCGGAACAGAACCTGGGTTGGCTGTGGCCAGGGCAGGCTGGGGATAGAGAGAGACAGCCTGAGGGGCAGTGCGAGAGCTGATGGGTACCTTGGAGGCCGTGATGGGTTTGAGACACGTCTGTCCACCATGCGTGAAGTTGCAGGAGACTTCAATGGTGTCGGATGAGCAGCCAAGGTTTGGATCCACCCAGTAGGTACCTGCAGGCAGTGTGGGATGGAGGTGATGTACGTATCTGGGGATGAGCCCAAACCTTGGTTCTGCAGATGGACCCTGCATCTTGTGACCTGCCGAGCCCCAGGTGAGCATGAAGTCAGCGTGGGTGGGCAGAAAAGGGATTCCTCCAACCAAGAGATCGAAGGAAACCTTCTGGGCAGAGCTCAGAGCTGGCAGAGCCCCAAGAAGGGGGTCATAGGGCTAAGTACTTGCCTATGTTGCTACTGGGAGGTATCCATTTTACAGAGGAGACAACTGACATTGAGAGAGGCTGGGCCACTTGCACAAGGGACTGGGGATCATCTAGTCGAATGGATTCTTCAGGCCTAGGGCTCCTCCTAGGGCCGGCCAGGGGAGGGTAGGAGTCCGGGCTCCCACCCCATCGGGCAGCGCTGCTGCTCACATATGGCTCCCCACTGGCCTTCTCAGGAAGCCAAAGGCTTTGCAGCTCAAGAGTGGAACAACCGGCTATCTAGACCCAGCCGCTTGTACAGAGGAGGTAAGGGCGGCCATGGCTTACCCCAGCTCACAGACCCAGTGTGAGGCAGGACTGACATTGGAACTCAGGTCTGTCTGGCTCAGCTTGTCCTTCACAGCACATCAGCTCACACATGAGAGAGGAGAGTCCTCATGCTCAGAAAGGGGGAAATCCTGGCTCGCCCAGGAGCCTGTGACAGGATGGGCCCCGGGGGTGAGGACTCTTGTAGCCTCAGGGGCTTTTTCTGCCAGAGCTCTTGTCTCTTTGCACTGAAATGGTCATTCCCAGCATGTGGATCTGGGGGCTCTGGACGGGTGGGACCACTCCTCTGTATTCCTCCCACCCCAGGAAGCACAAAGTTTGGTATATTGTGAGGCTCTGTGACTGTTGAGTGAATAAATGACTGCCAGTGTGTCTGTCTCGCCGAGGACAAAAACTCAGCCAGAATGAGGCGGAAATCAAATACTCCACCTGCCCGAGCTCCCCGACGCCAGGTGCTCCCACCCCCGGCAGGAAGCTTTCTCACCATCCACCATCTTCTGCTCACAGTCCATGAGGTCCCTGCAGACCCGGGCGGGGTTCTCTTTGGTGCCCAGGGGCGTCTTAATGCTCTGGATGAGGTTGCTGAGGTAGTGTAAGGTTTTAAAGATCTCTCCTCCCTGGTCAAGCACCAGCCGGTCCGGATAGCTGTAACCCTGTCATGAGGAGAGGGTGGCCACTGGGACCTTAGGGTCCTGGTCCAGCCTGGGGTCCAAGCCTCCACAGCCCCAGTTTCTCATGACCTGGGAGATATCTCGGTTCCACGGTCATGGCTAGAGCAGGGGTTGGGCTTCTCTCTATTTTGCAGATAAGAAAATGGGCCAGGATGGCCGGGCGCGGTGGCTCAAGCCTGTAATCCCAGCACTTTGGGAGGCCGAGACGGGCGGATCACGAGGTCAGGAGATCGAGACCATCCTGGCTGACACGGTGAAACCCCGTCTCTACTAAAAAAAAATACAAAAACTTAGCCGGGCGAGGTGGCGGGCGCCTGTAGTCCCAGCTAGCTACTCGGGAGGCTGAGGCAGGAGAATGGCGTAAACCCGGGAGGCGGAGCTTGCAGTGAGCTGAGATCCGGCCAGTGCACTCCAGCCTGGGCGACAGAGCGAGACTCCGTCTCAAAAAAAAAAAAAAAAAAAAAAAAAAAGAAAATGGGCCAGGGACAAAGTGCAGGAGGAGGGGCTATCACGATGGCTCAGAGGCTTGAAAAGAGCTCAGGGTCAGACCATGTTCTCTGATACGGGACAGGCAGAACCCTGTGAATAAGGCAGGCGAGGGTGCATGGAACACTCGGCAGCGGCCCCCAATCTCTATCTGCAAAGCGGCCCCCAATCTCTATCTGTGGAGGAAGGTGAGGTGCTGGGGGGAGCTTACTTGGGAGGCACACAGCCCCCACTGGGCTCCCCTAGGGTGGGAGCCAGGGTCTCTGTGAGGCACCAGGAGACGGGACTGGGGCCAGCAGGCACAAGCGCTGGGAGGACTTCAGCTCAGAGAAGGAGCAGTTCTCCACTAGGGGGCAGGAGTGGACAACGGATGCTAAAGAGCCGGCCATTCAGGGTTACCCTGGCCAGAATTCTCCCTTAAGCCTCAGCTTCCAGAGCTGCAAATCAGAGCTAAATAAACCCTTCTTCCACTGGGGGTGGCAGAGGTCACGTGTGTGTGTGTATGTGTGTGCACGCATGTGTGGACGTGTGTCAGAAACCAGCAGCCGCTCACCCAATCCATTTCTTCTGCCTGGACAGACGACATCTCCAGCCTTATTTGTACTCTAGCCAACGGGATGGAAGTGGAGTGATGCCAGCCCCATAGAGGTCTGGCCCAGAGACCCTCCTGCACAATTCTCTACACTCTTTTTCCCTGGTGGTGCCTCCCCCTGGTGTGGAGTGACCTTGGGGGCCATGAGTGGGAGAGGAAGAGGGCAGAGCCCCTGGCAGGTAGCCGAGGTCTCTCATCAACACGCCAATTAACTTTTATGTGCATGAGAAATAAGCCTCTATTCTACCGCCAATGCAGAGTGGGTAGGAGATGCCTGATAAATGGAGCCACTTTCCTTCATCTTGTTAAGGATGTTGCAGATCAGCGCTCTCCTGTGCGGCATCACTGGCCTCTAGAGATGGAAGGGAATGCTTCCCTTTTCCAGCCGCACTGGATCCTGGGCGTCCCCCTCTCTTTCCACAGGAAAGAGTGGACCTCCCCGGATAGATGGTAAGGGGCTCATCCACGCTGTCCTCCACCCTAGACTGTGAGCCCTCTGAAAGTCAAGGCTGTGACTGGCCATCCATCTGTCTCAGGATCCAGCACAAGGAATAAGCAGAAATGTTCGTAGGTGGTCTGAGCTGGGGGCAAGTTCCCCATCATGTGGAGAAGGCAAGGCCCCAAAGGGGGCTCCAGACCAAGGCTGGACTAGAGGACATAGGAGTCCCTTCTCAGCCTGGAGTCTTGGAGCTGAGCTGACCACAGGCCAGGGTCTTAGCAGAGCCCCATGGGCTAACCATGAGCTGCTTGCTCCTGAAGAAACGTGGGGGTGAGCCCTGGGAAGCTGCTGTGGGCTGTGGGCAAGCTTCTCTGCCTGACTCCAGCCAGCAAGAACTCGGAGACTCTGAGAGGCCTCCGGGGAAAGCTCAAGGGCTCAGGGCCTCTTTCTGGCCTTGCTCTGCCTGCACTGGCCATGGGACCTTGGACTCACTGCCCACTCTGAGCCTCAGTACCAACCCCCATTTGTGGATGTGAGATGCCACCAAGACCAGGACTCTGAAATGCTCCATGCAGGCCACGTGGAGGGCACTGACCACACCTGGGGCCATTATCTATTTGTGTTTCTCCCAGGAAGGGATCCCGTGTGGGGAGAGCCCCTGGAGATACCTCTGGTCTGAGTGCTCCACTGGTGTCCATCCACGTCTGGAAAGCTACCCCAAGATCATCTTGTTGCTGGGCAGGGAAAAGACAGGGTATGCATCGTGGCCCCCCAGGGTTCTCCACACCCATCAGGCGGGAGCCCCAGGGCCACATTCCCTGGCAGGATCTTAGCCAAGTCATATGTCCTCTTTTCTTGGTCTTTCCTCTCTTTGCAGATAGTCAAAGCTGATCCTGCCATTCCCTCCTCAACATGGTTATAAGACCCAGTTTGAACACTGTGGCCTTGAGCCATGTATGTCTCTTTCCTCTCCCTCATACGTGCTCTGGCACCAGCCGCACTATAGTACTTCTAAGTTCCTAAATACCATGCTCCATCTGGCCATGGGGCCTTTGCTCATGCTGTTCTCATTGCCTGGAGGACTTCTCCCTCCCTTCAATGCACCATCTGGCTATCTCCTCTACCAGTGCTTCTCAAGGAGAGGCCATGATGCCCCCCCAGGGGATATTTGGCAATATCTGGAGACAGTTTGGTTGTTCAAGCTGGACCCCAGGCCTGGGCTTTTGCTGTTTTCATGGCAAGAACACAGCTATGTCTCTGCCAAGCCCAGTTGGCTTGCATCTCATGGTTAGAGGCCAGGAATTCTGCTAAACATCCTCCAGGACAGTCACTCACAGCAAAGAATTATGCAAATGTCAGTTGCACTGTCTCAGAAAACCTGCCCTAGACTCATCCTACAGATGTCAGTTGTGATGGGAAGCCTCTCCCGAAGCTTCTGACTCCAGGCTAAGACGAGGGAGGCCCCTTTCTCTATGCCCCCAGTCCCCATGTTTCTCCTTTGGCTCGCACTCTAATGGTCTAATATAACTTTGCACCCCCAATTGGCCCTGCCACTGGGCTTGGCAGAGACATAGCTGTGTTCCTGCCATGAAAACAGCAAAAGCCCAGGCCTGGGGTCCAGAACCGGGGACTCTGGAGCTACTCCTCAGGGTCACATCCCAGACCTGACACTTACTAACTGCGTAATCTGGGGAAAGCTACTTAACTCCCTTCCTCAGTTCTTTCATCTTGAAAATGGACCTGATAATAAAACTCCCTCACAAGAACTGCTGAAAGGGACACATGAGTGAATACATGAAAAGCACCTGTAACCCGGGCGCGGTGGCTCATGCCTGTAATCCCAGCACTTTGGGAGGCCGAGGTGGGCAGATGGCTTGAGGTCAGGAGTTCAAGACCAGCCTGGCCAACATGGTGAAACCCCGTCTCTACCAAAATACAAAAATTAGCTGGGCGTGGTGGTGCGCGCCTATAATCCCAGCTGCAGGAGAGGTTGAGGCAGGAGAATTGCTTGAACCTGGGAGGAGGAGGTTGCAGTGAGACGAGTTCATGCCACTGCACTCCCGCCTGGGTGACACATCAAGACTGCGTCTCAAAAAAGAAAAAGCACTTCTAATGGTGTCTGGCATTGAGCAAGCACTCAATCAGTATTAGTAGTGATTATTCAAAAAAAAAAAAATGCAAAATCCTCTAATTTTCTGTTTTTCCCGGATCTTTTCACTTTCCTTTCCTTGCCTTTCTTACTGATGAGAAGGACAAGGGAAGGCTGCAGAGGAGAGGCCAGAGCTGTCACTCTGTCTTTCAGGACGGTGCAGAGGGAGGGGCAGTGAGAGCAGGCATGAGGAGAGCAGAGCTTCTGAGTGACACATGGCTCAAGGGCTCCTGGCCCATTCAGTCTTTCCTCGAGGCCATGCCCTGGGACGCTCTCGGGGCTTGATGATAATAGTCGTCTAGCTACCATGCAATAGTGAAATGTGGATGGACTTGTCACAGGGCTTGGGAGGTGTCATGCTCTCAGACAGTGCCACAGTGGCCACCAGGGAGGAACGAAGGGGCCTCAATCCGCCCCCTGGCCCGACTCTCTTTGTTTTTTTGTTTTTTGTTTCTTTTTGAGATGGAGTTTTGGTCTGTTGCCCAGGCTGGAGTGCAGTGGCTCGATCTTGAGTCACTACAGCCTCCTCCTCCTCCTGGGTTCAAGCGATTCTCCTGCTTCAGCCTCTCCTGTAGCTGGGATTACAGGTGCCACCCACCATGCCTGACTAATTATGTATTTTTAGTAGAGATGGGGTTTCACCATGTTGGCCAGGCTGATCTCGAACTCCTGACCTCAGGTGATCTGCTTGCCTCGGTCTCCCAAAGTGCTGGGATTACAGGCATGAGCCACCATGCCTGGCCCCAACTCTCTTTGGATTCACAATCTGAGATGTACGCACCCTTGCGATCAGCCTACGTGTACGGAGTACACAGGTAGGGCCATGAACCCAGTGGCTGGAGCATCTTCCCAGATTCAGTCAGGGGCATGTCAAAAACTTAGGTTTCCTGCCTCCTGGCCCAGGGCTCTTTCTGTTACTTCCAAGTCCAAGTCTCCATTATGAAGTGACAAAAGGACCTGGGCATCCCTAGACCCAGCTTAGGGCTCTAGCCACCAGGGCCAGAGAGGGCCAGTGACCTCTTCCCCCGAACCCCTCAGGCCTTACCCCAAGTAGGCAAAAGAGAATGTTTCCAACTTACCAATTGGATAGGACCCCCTGGAGGACCCTGCAAAAGAAGACAGTGGGTCAGTCAAATGACGCGGACAGTGTGCTGCAATCTGGAAGTGTGTCAGGAGACCAGGGAGGCCATCAAAGCATGCAGGACCTGCCAAGCTGGCCTCTGCTCTTCCAGAGGCCTGGTGGGCCCCACTGGGCTGGTCTATGCTTTTCTGGAGGCCTGGCCCCTAGGCGTTACCCCACGTAGGCAAAAGTGAATGTTTGGGGGATGTCCTATACTCTCCTAGGAGTCTTTGGGCTACAAGAAGCATGTGAACCCTGTGAGGTTCAGGGTCAAGGCTTAGTCTGCTGGTGAAGCCTTGAGTCTCCTTCAAAGAAACACCCCAGGAGTCCAAGATGCACCCAGCACTCAGTTACCTACCGGGGGGCCGGGCCGCCCTCTGGGGCCAGGAGGACCCTGGGGGAACAAGAGAAGAGGAGTGAGCCCTGGTCCACAGGGTCTTCATCTCTCCCCATCCCAGTCCCTCCTCAAGCAGACCTGGGCCCCTGGGACAATGGTTCCTCTGGCACAGACGGGATGACGGAGGTCCGGAGGGAGAGAATGTGCCACCGGGAGGAGAACGCAGGCTGCCCGCCCCGTGCCCTGCCCCACAGCCCTCATGCCCAGCCCACTCACCCTCGGACCTTGCAATCCCTGGAGGGAGACAGAAGCAGGGGAGAGAGTTAGGGAACCTGGCTGAGCCATGGCCCCACCCTGGTAGCCCACCCCTCCCCCACCCCTGCAGTGCTGCGCCCCTCAGCCCCAGCCCATCCACTTACCCAGTCCCCACGGCTGCCTTTGTCACCCTTCGGACCCTGCAACAAACCACGGCCCAGTGAGACAGGGCCCAGAGGGGAAGCCCCATTTCCAGATGGGGAAACTGAAGCTCAGACTGGCACTGAGTCACACAGTCAATCCGGAGCCAGGAGTCTTCCTGCCCAACCCCTGCACATACCGGGAGTCCCGAAGGTCCCAGGATTCCGAGGGGCCCGATGATGCCTTCCTTTCCCTAAAGGAGACAGAAAGGCTCATGTGTCCTTGTTCCAGGGCCTGGGGAACAGACACCGGGAAGCGTGTGGAGAGCGGCCCGAGCATCGCAAGGGAGTGGAAGGGAGACCAGGCCATGCATCTCCTGAGCCCCTCCTGTATGCCTAGGGGTGGGCTTCAAGAGTGGAAGGAGGGAAGGATGGGGGCCAAGCTGGCGGGAATGGCAGGAGTGAAGGTGGGAACCAAGCCTGTGGGCAGAGAGGACTCAAGAATCGAGGAGGATGAAGATTGGGCCTAGAACAATCATCTCTGCTGCGACAGCAGGAAGGGGACTCACCATCAAACCGGGTGGCCCCCGAGGACCCTGGATGCCTTTGAAGCCGATGTCTCCAGGGGGGCCCTGTGGGAAGCGGAGAAAGGGCTGTCTGTACTTGGCAGCCGCTGGGTAAAGGGCCCCCACAGCTCCCTCACTCCTAGGGTCTGCCAACCTCTGCCCTCCCTGTCAAGAGAGGCCTTACCTGAGAGGCCCCAGAAGGAGTAAGAAGCACCTACAATTATTCAGCAGGTACCAGCAGTGTGCTGGCTCGGTGCTGTGCGGCATATGCCTCTGGTCTTTATTTTTGCAAGTCTTCTACTGTCATTGCTCCCATTTTACAGATGAGGAAACCAAGGCTTAGAGAGACTAAGTGACTTGCACAAGGCACAGAGCAGGTAATCGTGTAACTGGGCTTGGAACCTAGATCTGCTGGAGTACTGGGGGATGAGGGTGTTCGTGCCTGACTCTGGCTGTGTCCCAGCCAATGTTTTCAGTGCTCCATAAATACTTGTTGAATGAATAAATGAATGGATGGGGTGGATGGATAGGACCCCAGAGGAACAGTGAGCACTGGGAGTCCGTACCTTAGGTCCGAAGAGACCTGCCATTCCTGGGAAGCCCATCTCACCAGAGTCGCCCTGTGGGGAGAACAGGAAGTGATGGAGCAAGTGAGGTCATGGCGAGCGTGTCCCGCCAGCCACCCAGGGCCTCAGGGCCTGCCTTTTCCCTCCCAGCCTCTCCAGGGATATTGGTGACTCCTCTGTGAGGCAATCAAGTGAGTGTGAACAGCCCACAGAATAGCTGCCAGTCCACCTGTGCTCCAAGGGGAGCCTGTGATCCGTCAGATGAGAAAGCAGAGCCCGGCTCAGGGGTTCCACAGGGGAGGCTCTGCCACACTCAGGAGCTCCTGTCCCAGGTCTTCAAGGGACAGAATAACAGGACCCGCAGCCTCCTCCCACGGCCCTGAAAAGCTCTGTTAAGGAAGGATCCCCTAAAAATAATCCAGTTCGCTGAGGGCCTGTTATGTGCTGCATGTTTTGCCTGTACCACCACACTTCCATGCTCCCACATCAACCCAGGGACACACCATATCCGCTGTTCACAGATGAGGAAACAGGCTCAGAGAGGGCAGGAACTTGCTGAAAGTCACACAGACACCATGTTGTGGACTGCGCTAGATTCAAACCCAGTGTGAATAACTTCAGGAACCTTTGGCCTCCTCTCCTGACCTCTGCTCCCAATCTTGCAAAGGGTTAAGAGAGCCATTGGCAAGGGGGGATGCTGGGGCCTGAGCCAAGAAGGGAGGGCTGGGGCCCCCTGGGGACAGAGGAGCCTGCCATTCTTGCACATTCTTGGGACTTGGCCTTCAAGCTCATGAGCAGAAAGCCATCAGTTAGAACCTCCTAGCCCTTGTATTATAAGATCAGGAGAAGTCGCCTCCCTTTCCTGAGCCTCAGTTTCCTCATCTGTAAAATAGGATACTCCCTCCCAAAGGGGCTGGAAGGATGCAATGAGACCAGGCAGGTCAAGACCCAGTGCTGAAGGAGGTAGGCTGAGGGGTCAGGGTTCAAGAGGGTCCCATTTAATCTAAATTCTACCTGTTCATTTTTAAAAGATAATAGCTTAATTGAGCTATTGGTGCTTCTCTTGGTGGCTTTGATTTGTCTTATAAATGCTTATTGGATATTTGTGTCTCCTTTGGAAAAAAAATGTCTACTTGAATACTTTGTCCATTTTAAATTTGGATTGTCTTTTTATTCTTGAGTTTAAGGGTTCTTTATATATTAGAGATACATGTTCCTTATCAGATATATGATTTGTAAATACTTTCTCCCCTACTGTGAGTTTTTTCACTTTCTTGATGGTGCCTTTTGAAGCACAAAGGTTTTTGATTTTGATGAAATCCAATCTATGTACTTTGCTTTTGTTGCTTGTGCTTTTGGTGTCATAGCTAAGAAACTAACACAAGTTTATAAAAATGTGTTTTTATGTTTTCTAATAGTTGTACAGTTTTAGCCTTTACATTGGTCTGTAATTCATTTTTAGTTGATTTTTGCCTGTGGTGTGAAGCAGAGGTCCAACTTACTTCTTTGGTATGTGATATGTGACTGTGTGATCGTCTCAGCACTGTTTACTGAAAAAAAATTCTTTTCCCATTCAATTGCCCTAGCACTCTTGTTAAAAACAATGGACATAAATGTGAGGTTTTATTCCTGTCTTGATTACTATACTTTGGTAATAAGTTTTGAAATTGGGAAGTGTGAGTTGTCCAACTTTGATCTTCTTTAAAGATCAACATTTGGGTATTCTGGGCCACTTGCATTTCCATATGAATTTTAGGATCAATTTGTCAGATTTTGTGAAAAAGTCAGCTTGGATTTTGATAGGGATTATATTTAATCTGTAGCTCCGTTTGTGGTAAGTACAGCCATCTTAACCATACTAAGTCTTCTGATCTATGAATATGGGATGTCTTTGCATTTATTTGGGTTTTCTTTTATTTCATCAACATTTTGAATTTTTCAGTGAACATGCCTTGCACTTTTTTTTTTTAAGATGGGGTCTTGAACTGTTGCCCAGGCTGGACTTGAACTCCTGGGCTCAAGAGATCCTCCCATCTCAGCCTCCTGAGTAGCTGGGACTATAGGCACATGCCACCATGCCCAGCTTCTTTCACTTCTTTTGTTAGATTTATTCCTATTTCATTCTCTTTGATGCCATTATAAATGGAAATGTTTTATTAATTTCATTTTTGAATTGTTCATTGCTAGTGTATAGAAATGTAATTGATGGTTTGCATGTTATATATGTAAACAACATTTTTTGTGTATTGATCTTATATCCTGCAAACTTTGGTTTATTAGTTCTAATCATTTTGTTCAGTACAATGTTGAATAGAAGTGGTAACAGTGGACATCCTTGGCTTGTTCCTGATCTTGGGGGAAGTGTTCAGTCCTCTACCATTAAATATGATGATACCTGTGGGATTTTCATAGATATTCCTCATCAGGTTAAGGATGCTCCCTCCTGTTCCTAGATTGTTGTGTTTTTTTTATCACGAAAGGGTGTTGGATTTTGTCAAATGCTTTTTCTGCATCTATTGAGATGACTGTATAATGTTTGTCCTTTATTTTATTAATAGTGTATTACATTGATTTCCAACAGTTGAACCAGCTTTGCATTTCTAGGATAAATCTCACTTTGTCATGGTGTAGAATCCTTTAGGCATATTGCTGAATTTGGCTTTCTTCGTATTTTATTAAAGATTTTTGTATCTGTATTCATAAGGCATATTTGTCTGTTGATTTCTTTCTTGTGACACCTTTTTCTCGTTGGGGTATCAGGATAATACCGGTTTCACAGAACCAGTTGTGAGATGTCCTAACTGTTCATTTTTGCACTCTGATGGCTGTCTCCTATATACCCATCAGGTGCAAAGAAGGGGTAATTTTAAAAACAGTCTTACTAAAGTGAAACTGAAGATGATAACTGTACTATTTAAATTGTATAATCTGATTTGTTTTGACATTCTGTATACACACTTATAATTGTCACAGCCAAGACAATAACATCCCATAGCCCCAAAGTTTCCTCACACCCTTTTATAATCTTTCTTTCCTGCCTACCCTCCCATCTCCAAGAACCACTGATCTATTTTCTTTCCAGGCAGATTAGTTTGCATTTTCTATAATTTTATATAAATGAAACCACACAGTCTATACTATTTTTTATCTGAGGTCTTTCACTCAGCCTAATTATTCTGAGAATCATCTATGTTGTTGCATATATTAATAGTTGATCCATTTACTGATGAATTGTATTTCATTGTATAAATATACCACACTTTTTCTAGTCACCTGCTGATACACATTTGAGGTTTTTTCCAATTTGGGGCTATTATAAATAACGCTGCTAAGCCCCTTCAAGTATACTCTTTGTGTGGCCGAATGTCCTTATTTATGTAGGGTAAATATATATGAGTGGAATGATTGGATTACACAGTAAGGATATGCTTAACTTTCAAAGAATCGGCCCAACTGATTCCATAGTGATTGTACCACTTTAAATTCCCATTATCAGAGTGTGAAAGTTTCAGTTGCTCCATGTCTTTGCCAACACTTGGTATGGTTAGTCTTCTAAAACTCTTCACTATTCTAATAGGTGTGCTGTAGCATCTTACTGCGGTTTGAATGAGCATTTGTCTAATGACTAATGATATTAGTCTTTTTCTCATGTGCTTATTTGCTATCAGTATACTTTTTTTGAAGTGTCTATTCAAATCTTCTGCCCGTTTTTAAAAATTGGGCTGCTTATTTTTATTATTGAGTTTTGAGAGTTCTTTATAGGTTCTGGATACAAATCCTTAATCAGATATATGATTCAGAAATATTTTCTCCCAGTATGTGACTTGTCTTTTCATTCTTTTAATAGTGTCCTTTGAAGAGAAAAAGTTTTAAATGTTGTTGAAGTCTGATTTATCACATTTTCTTTTATGGGTCATGTTTTTGGTATCATATCTAAGAAATCTTTGTTTTATCAAGTTCTTGAAGATGTCCTTCTATGTTCTAGAAGTGTTTTAATTTTCAGTTTTACATTTAGATGTATGATCCAGGTTGAGTTAATTTTTGTACATGTTATGAGGCATCACTTGTCTGGCACCATTTGTTAGGAAAGACTATTTTGTACTTGCTGAATCATCTTTGCGCTTTTGTTAAAAATCAGTTGTCCAGGCTGGGCGTGGTGGCTGATGCCTGTAATCCCAGCAATTTGGGAGGCTGAGGTGGGTGGATTACCTGAGGTCGGAAATTCGAGACCAGCCTGACTAACATAGAGAAACTCTGTTTCTACTAAAAATACAAAATTAGCTGGGTGTGGTGGTGCATGCCTGTAATCCCAGCTACTTGGGAGGCTGAAGCAGGAGAATCGCTTGAACCCAGAGGCGAAGGTTGCAGTGAGCCAAGATCGTGCCATTGCACTCTAGCTTGGGCAACAAGAGTGAAACTCCATCTCAAAAAACAAAACAAAACAAAACAGTTGTTCATATATGTATGGTATATGTCTGGGCCTTTTATTCTGTTCCTTTGATCTATTAGTTCATTTATGGCAATACCACAGTTTCGTGATGGCTGCAGATTTGTAATAAGTCTTGAAATCAAGTGCCATTAGTCCGCCAACTTTGCTCTTCTTTTTCAATGTTGTTTCAGTTATTCTAGGTCCTTTATATTTCATATGTATATTAGGATCAGCTTGTCATTTTCTACATGAAAACCTGATAAGTTTTAGATTGGAATTGTGTTGAATCTATACACCAATTTGAATAAATGTGATATCTTAATATTGAGTCTTTTGACATATGCCCACAGTATATATCTCCATTTATTTAAGTCTTCCTCAATTTCTCTTGCCAGTGTTCTATAGTTCTCAGTGTACATATATAGTTGTCAGATGTATCTCTAAGTATTTCATGTTTTTAATGCTATTATAAATAGTATTGCTTTTTAGATTTCCATTTCTTATCATTTGTTGCTAGTGTACAGAAATGCAATTCATTTGTGCACATTGATTAGTGTATAGAAATGCAATTCCTTTATGCATATTGCTTAGTTTATACAATCACAATTCATTTGTGCATATTGATCAGGTGTCCTGTGATTTTGTTAAATTCACTTATTCTAGTAGCTTTATTGTAGATACCAATGGTTATTCTACGTAGACAATCATTTCTTCTACAAATGAAACGTTTTAATTCTTCCTTTTTGATATGAATGCCTCTTATTTGTTTTTCTTGCCTTATTGCCCTGGCAAGAATTGCCAGTACAATGTTGAAAAGAAGTGGTAAGGACAGATATCCTTGACTTGCTTCTGCTCTGCTCCTTGGAAAAAAGCATTCAGTCAATCACTATCAAGTATGATGTTGACTAGGTTTTTCATGGATGTCCTTTATCAAGTTGAGGAACTTCTATACCTAGTCTATTGAGAGTTTTTATCAGAAGTGGAGTTAGATTTTTGTCAAATGCATTTCCTGCAACTACTGAGATGATCAAATGGGATTTCTTTTTGAGTTTGTTAATATAGTGAATTATATTGATTTAATTTCAAATGTTATACTATCCTTGTGTTTCTAAGATAAACCCCACTTGGTCTTGATGTATTATCTTTATATATTCTTAGGTTCATCTAACTAAAATTTTATTGAGAACTCTGGTAGCTATATGTATGAGGCATATTGGTCTATTGTTTCCTTTTCTTGTAATATCTTTGTCTGGCTTTGACATCAGCCTCAAGGAAAGAGTTGGGAATTATTTTTCTCCTCTTCAATGTTCTGGAATAGTTATGTATAATTGGTATTATTACTTTTTTTCTTTCTTTTTTTTTCTTTTTTTGAGATGGAGTCTCTCCCTGTCGCCCAGGCTGGAGTGCAATGGAGCGATCTTGGCTCACTACAACCTCTATCTCCCAGGTTCAAGTGATTCTCCTGCCTCACCCTCCTGAGTACTGCGATTACAGGTGTGCACCACCACACCCAGCTAATTTTTTTTTTTTTTCATATTGTTAGTAGAGACAGGGTTTCACCATATTGGTCAGGCTGGTCTCGAACTGCTGACCTCGTGATCCGCCCACCTCAGCCTCCCAAAGTGCTGGGATTACAGGTGTGAGCCACCACACCCGGCCGTTATTATTTCTTTTGTAAATGTTTAGTAGCATCTACCAGTGAAGGCATCTGGGCCCAGAGTTTTCTTTGTGGGAAGCTCTAACCACAAATTCGATTTCTTTAATAGATACAGGGCAATTTAGGTTATCAGTCTCTTCTTGAGTGACCTTTGGTAGTTTTGTCTTTCTTTTTTTTTTTTTTTTGAGACGGAGTCTTGCTCTGTCCCCCAGGCTGGAATGCAGTGGCGTGATCTCGGCTCACTGCAAGCTCCGCCTCCGGGGTTTACGCCATTCTCCTGCCTCAGCCTCCTCCTGAGTAGCTGGGACTACAGGCGCCCGCCACCTCGCCCGGCTAGTTTTTTGTATTTTTAGTAGAGACGGGGTTTCACTGTGTTAGCCAGGATGGTCTCGATCTCCTGACCTTGTGATCCGCCCACCTTGGCCTCCCAAAGTGCTGGGATTACAGGCTTGAGCCACTGCACCTGGCCAGTAGTTTTGTCTTCCAAGGAATTTGTCCATTCCATCTAAGTCTTTTTTTTTTTTTTTTTTTTTGAGATGGGGTCTTGCTCTGTTGCCCAGGCTGGAGTGCAATGGCGTGATCTCAGCTCACTGTAAGCTCTGCCTCCAGGGTTCAAGTGATTCTCCTGCCTTAGCCTCCCAAGTAGCTGGGAGTACACGCACCTGCCACCACGCCCAGCTAATTTTTATATTTTTAATAGAGACGGGGTTTCACCATGTTGGCCAGGATGGTCTCGATCTTTTGACCTCATGATCCGCCCACCTTGGCCTCCCAAAGTGCTGGGATTACAGGCATGAGCGACTGCACCGGGCCCATTTCATCCAAGTCTTTAAATTTATTGGCGTAAAGTTGTTTATAATATTCCCTTATTATCCTTTAAATTTCTGTCATATCTGTAGTGACACTACTCCCCTATCCCTGATCTGATATTAGTAACTTCTGTATTCTCTCTCTCTCTTTTTTTTTTTTAGTTTGCTGATAAGTCTGGCAAGAGGTTTATCAGTTTTACAGATCTCAAAAAGCTAACTTTTGATTTTCCTTTTTTTTTGGGGGGGTTTATTTTTGATCTTCTTTATTTTCTTCCTTCTGATTACTTTGTTTTAAATTTGCCTTCTCCAGCCCCAACCCTCAGTTTCTTAAGATGGAATCTGAGACCATTTATTTGAGACCTTTGTTCTTTTCTAACACAGAAGTTATTACTATAAAGATCTCCCTATATATCAACAGCATTTCGCCAATTTTTACATGCCCTTTTTTTATTTTCATTCAATTCAAAATGCTAACTTCCCTTTTGATTTCTTCTTTGACCCATGGGTCATTTAGACATTTGTTACTTAGTTTCCAAATATTTGGAGATTTTTCAGATCTCTCTGTTACTGATTTATAAATTAATTTCATTATGGTAAGAGAACATTCTTTGTGTGATTTGAATCCTTTTAAATTTTTAAAGAATGTATTGATAAAATATTTATTTATACTATTAAGTAAATTACTTAATATTTATATTGTTTATATTACTAAAATATTTTATTAATAAAATTTATTGATTGATTTTAAGGTTCAAAATAGTGTCTGTCTTGGTAAATGTTCTGAATGAACTTACAACGAATGTGTATCTTGCTGATATTGGATGTGGTGTTCTATAAATGTCAATTAGGTCACGTTGGTTGATAATACAGTTCAAGACATCCTTACTGATCTTCTATTTGCTTCTGTTCTACCCATTAGGAGAGAAATATATTGAAATCCTTGGGTATAATTGTGATTTTGTCTATTTCTCCTCGTAGCTTTATCAGTCTTTGCCTGACTATTTTGAAGATCTATTGTTAGATGCATAAACATTTATGATTCTTATGCAATTTTGATAAGTTGGCTTCTTTGTCATTATGAAAATACACTCTTTATGACTGTTAGTAGTCTTTGCTCTGAAGTCCGTTTCATCTGATATCAAAATAGCTACTCCAGCTGTTTGGGATGAATGTTAGCACAGTATGTCTTTTTCTATATCTATCTTTAACCTACTTGTATCTTTATATTTGAAGTGGATTTCTTGTAGCAGTAGACATAGTTGGGTCTTGCTTTTTCATCCACTCTGACAATCTCAGCTTTAACTGGGGTATTGAAATGGCTTGCTATGTGTTTTCTATTTGCCCTGTTTATTCTCTGTTCATTCTTCCTTCTTTTTCTAGGCGGGGTGAGCTGAATGTAGCCTCTGGGACGGGGATGAAGGCAGCGAGGCACAGAATGAGCACTGGACTGAGAGTCAGCAGAGCCCACCTTCTGGTTGTGATCACCCTCTCCTCATTCTGAAGGGACCACTCAGATCTCTTTCCTCAGCCTCCCCCACCACCTGGTTGAGGGGTGGCAGAATGGTACCTGGTACTCAGATTTCATCCCCTGTCACAGAGCAAGGAGGTGGCATCTGAGTCAGTGTGTTAGTGTGTGTGAGTGTGCATGTGTTTGTACATGTAGGTGGATGTGAGTGTGTGCATGCTTGTGTGGGCATGTGTATTCTTTGGGGTTCACTCACCGGCTGGCCTTTGGACCCAGGCTCCCCCTGGTTTCCAGGGAGCCCTGTTCTGCCCTCCGTCCCTCGTTTGCCAGGGGGACCCAGCTGTCCGGGTAACCCACTCTCACCCTTAAAGAAACACAAAAAATCACCAAAGTGGGAAGGGGTTCTAAGGGAGGAGGAGGTGGAGGGGGCCTAGGGCAGCCAGAACAGTGATTCCACAGGGTACCCGAGATTGCAGAATGCTGGGGCAACAAATGGAGGCCTGGTGGAGTGGGGGTGACAAGACTTTCACCTCCCAAAGAGGAAGGTCTCTGCCTCTCCCCTCGCATTCTGGGCCCTGCCTTCCCAGCTCCTCTCCTGCAATTCCTCTCCTCCTTATTGCTTTTCCCCAACAGCATGCAGTTCCCTCCTCCAAACCTCAGCTCACACCCCTAGAATGCCTCCTCCCCATTTATTTATTTATTTTTATTTTTTCAGACAGAGTCTCGCTCTGCCGCCCAACCTGAAGTGCAGTGGTGGGATTTCAACTCACTGCAACCTCCGCCTCCCCAGTTCAAGCGGTTCTCCTGCCTCACCCTCCTGAGTAGATGGGACTACAGGCACCTGCCACCAGCCCCGGCTAATTTTTGTATTTTTAGTAGAGACGGGGTTTCCCCATGTTGGCCGGGCTGGTCTCGAACTCCTGATCTCAAGTGATCCGCCCGCCTCAGCCTCCAAAGTGTTGGGATTACAGGCGTGAGCCACTACGTAGCCACCTTTTCCCCTTCTATTCTCATTCAAATCTTCTCTGGGTCAAGGCCATCGCTCCCTCTGCCTCCTATGTCTCAGAGGGTTCCAATCTTTCCTCAATTAAACCTCGAGCCCAGGAAGGGCAAAAACCACATCTGAGTCATTCATCTACATCTCCCCTTCAGAGTCCAGCCCTTGGCTCTAACGGATTCATGGCGGCCCCCTCCTCCCACGCTGCACTGGGAAGCTTTCTAAGGATGCCTTGGGGATTCCGGCTGCAAGCAACATCTGTTGTTCCACAAATGTCCACGAGAGGGCGCCCGTGGACAACTCAAAAACCATACTGGTACGGGCGGTATTTATAGTTACCCCAATGAACTATCAGTCTAGTTCAAGCTTGGGGCAGGACCCCCGAGAAAGGTCAACAATATGGACTCCATTTTCACACAGGCCCTGGGACATGGGTGCCCAAAGGGTCGGAACCACTAGAGTCTGCATCAAGGCAGGAAGGGCAGAGGGTGGGTAAGTGGATTAAGAGGTATCTGACCTTGAATCCTGGGGGTCCCTGTGCTCCAGGTAAGCCGGCCACACCTGGATTTCCTCTCTTCCCAGCAGGGCCCATGGGGCCAGGGTCCCCATCGTCTCCCTGCTCCCCCTGTTAAGAAAGCAGGCAGAGGAGGGTCTCTTGTGTTTCATGAAATAGCCAAGGAAGCAGATGGCTCAACGCCTGGGTGAACCCTGGGTGTAGCTGGAGGAAGGGGTGACACTCCAGGATGGAGGTCAGACGGCCTGTGTGTGACGTGGCTGGACCAGGAGGAGCTGAGGATTGTGAGTGGGGAAGGGCGGGATTCTGAGTGAGGAAGGAGCGGACTAGGAACCCTATCCACCAGGCAGGGGAGGAAAGGACGGTCTTTCTGGGTGCTGACATCCAGGAGAGACAGTCAGAGGGTCCACACTCCCAGGTGCCAGGGGATGAGACGGTTGCCCACCCCAGGGAAACTCCTGGATAGTTGGTTCTGCCCATCCAAGTTTCTAAACGGGCTCCTCTGGCCCATGGCCTGGGGGAGTTCCCCCACACCTGGTCCTGAATGGAGCCACCATCTGTTAACACTAAGCCCCACTCACCTGCTGTCCCACTTGCCCGTCCCTGCCAGGAAGCCCATCTGCTCCAGCGATGCCCTCGAGGCCCTGTCTCCCCACCACGCCCCGGGGCCCTGGCAGCCCCTGCAGGCCCTGGTGGGTACATAAAAAGCTGGTGAGGGCATTTGGTGGGGGAAGGGGGAGAGGGTGGGTGTGGGGGCGGGCAGGGAGGCTGGCTGGAAATAGCAGCCGTAGTCACTCACCTGGACCCCCCTCCGGCCTGGGGCCCCCGCCTTGCCTTGCTTTCCCTTTGGTCCCTGAAAAATCAAGGGCCACATGATGGAGGCTGCCTGGTAGAGGTGTGGGATGCTAGGGGCTCTGGAAGGAGGGACTGAGAGGATTGTGGGCCTCTGGGTGAACACCTGATGCCAAAGATGTGCCCAAGTACTCTGGCCTGGAAGCCTGGGGCCAGGGCTGGCCTTGGAACCTCCCGGGGCTGTCACTGAGCCTGCTCTGGGCCCTGGTGTCCCCTCATTGGCACTGGCAATTTCCTGGGAGGAGCCAGAGGCCACGGCTCCACCGGATCCTTTAGAGACTGGGTATCACTGAGGCGTGCAGGTGAGGGGTGCACCCGGGGGAGGGAAACAGCATTAAGAGGGCACTGGCCCAGCCTGGGGTCTGGGGGAAGGCAGGGGCCCTAGGGTAGAGGCAGGAAGTGGCTCCTCCTCAAGCACCCTGTCTCTGCCTCCTCTTCCTCCAGACCCCCTCAATTGACTTCTCCCAGTTTTCTCTCTACAGTGTGGTGTGGGGGAGAGACAGGCCAGCTTTGGCTCTTGACTGCCCTGGGTTCAAGTCACTCTGGTTGGCCTCAGGCAGGTGGCTCCCCTTCTGGAGCCCCGGTGAAATGGGGCTAATCGTCCCTCCTCCCTCAGGCTATTTGAAGGGAGATGGGGTCATAGCCAGAAGCAGCGTGCCGGGCTCCTGGTGGGATGCCCCCCCCTGCCCTGCCCTGCCTCGCAGCCTCTGCAGCCTGCATTTGGTTTGCTGTGTGACTGTGGGTCAGGCTTCCCTCTTCCCAGGACTCAGTCTCCCCGCTGAACCCCCGGCCCTCTTACCTCTGCGCCTTTAGATCCTTTGGGTCCCGGCCGCCCCCGGGGTCCCGGATGCCCCTGCAAACCAAGGTGAGATGACGCAAGGCAGCCCCAGGATTCTCTCCCGGGGAGGGTGGCCAGTCTCCGCCTGGAGGGGGAGGGGTGGGGAGGGGTTTGGGGGTGCAGGTTCTGGGGGTATCCCCAGGGTCAGGGCAGGAGAAACAGAAATGGCTGCCCCAGACCCTCCTGCAGGGAGGGTCCCTTTAAGCTTTAAAGGGTCCAGTTCTTTCATTCCCACTGGCCGCCCCCCCCCCACTCAGGGCGGGAGGCAGGGTGGGACAGGAGGCACCACTCACGGGTTGGCCCTGCTGGCCTGGCTTTCCACGGAGGCCTTGCACACCCTCCTGTCCCTGGAAGCCAAAGAGAGACAGGTGAGGGGGGCCCATCCTGCAGGGGGCTGGGAGGCAGCACAGAAGCCTGGGAAGTTCTTGTTCTTTCTAGACGTGTGTCATCCCCCATCTCCCTGACATGCCTGATCCTGCCAGCAGGTAGGAGCTCTGATACTTACAGGGTACCCAGGGTCCCCGGGTTCCCCGCGGTCTCCTCGATCACCCACAGGGCCCTGAATGACAAAGACAACAGCAAAATTTGGGCCACCAGGTGCCGAGGATGCCAGCCCTGGGCCCTGTTAGCCATGCCCTCTGCGGAGCTCTCAGGGACCTGGCCCCTGATCGGCCCACCCCTCTCCATGCAGCGGGAGGCCCAGATTCCACCTAGGACTCCCCATGGTCCAAGGAGGGAGGGGGCTTACCCGATCTCCAGGTGGCCCAGGGGGCCCCTCGGCCTTGCCGTCCTCGCCCTGCTCCCCCTGTGGACACAGAACCAGCTTTAGGGCAAACCGCCTGCTCCTGGGGAATGTGGGGAATTCCAGACAGAAAGCACCTCGTCAGAGATGAAGTCTAGCCTGCTTAGGGTTACAGATGGGGACGCAAACTAGAGAGGAAAGGGTAGGTGTGTTCGAGCCAGACCCAGGCTGGTGTGGAACCAGGACTGTGGAACACAGAACAGTGCTTTGTGCCCTCCAGACGCCCTTGAGCTGTAGGATCCTGCAGGAAGTCAGGGAGCTCAGACAGCTGGGTTCACATCCCGGCTTGCAAAGGATCAGCCGCGTGGCCCTGCAACACGTCCCTTCCCATCTTTGAGCTCCTCTCCTCAGCTGGGGAATAGGGGAGCAGAGCGGAGTGGGGTGGGGGGAAGGGGGCAGCGCGTGATGCCCGTCAAGGAGTGGTGAGGACTCCATGGAATGATGCGCGACGCCTGGCAGGGAGTAGCACCAACTCCAGCAGCTGGCACGCATGGGCACTGCTCCGGGCCAGACACAGGCGGACTCATGACATCCGCAGCGCAGCACTGTGAAGCAGATGCGATTGTTATCCCAATTCACAGATGAGGACACTGAGGCTCGCAGAGATGATGGGACCTGCTCAGAGTTCTTCACCCTCTATCTGAGAGTCCCTGTCTCCGATCCTTGCTGGGAGGAACCAGCTTTAGGGTGAACCTCCTACCCTCCATGGTAGCCCCAGGTGGCACTTGGCAGCCAGTCAGCATGGGGGTGTATCCATAAGACAGGTTGCTATGTGCAGAGCGGGACTGGAGCGCGTCCTGGTGCTGTTCAGAGGACTCGGTGAGGAAAGGCACAGGAGCCCTCAGCAGGCTGCTGCCCATGTAGCAGGGGCTCAGCAGATGGCATTAAAATTGCCGTAGCCGGTAACAATAGCAGCAGTGAGACTGTGTCACATGGACATGGCCAGAGATGGGGGTCGGGTGGGGAGCAGAGTTTAGAGGTGAGATCCTCATGCCATGGCCACCCCAGGCCTTGGTCCACCCGCAGGACAGGTGTAGACGCTACCTTTCAACTACAAGGAAGGTGTAAGTGGAACGGCAAATGGCAGAATCTCAGGGCTCAGAAGACTCCAGCCCCAGAAAACTTGTGTCACTCCTCTGGGCACAGGGCTCAAGCCAGGCACCCCTGGACCCCTTTGTTCATAGGGACTGAAATGGAGCCGGAAGAGGCTGGACAGAGGCAAAGCGTCCCTGGGGCTGGGACACATCCCTGGCCGGAGTCAGTTCTAAAGGTTGGTGGTGATCAGCCACCAGCCTGGGGCCTCTGTGGTTCCTGTGGGTGGAGGCTGCAGGCTGGCAGGGACTAGGCCTGAGGTCTAGAACCAGCTGTACCCAGAGGGGTGGCCCAGGGAGCGGGGATTCCTTCTCGTCCCTGCTCACCCTCTATGGTTCTTTGATCCAGTGCTCAAGTCCCACTGTGGACAGAGGCAGCTGGACTTGGGGACTTTGGGGAAGGGGCCTGCCTGTGTCTACCCAGCATGTTCCATGTGCCAGGCATTTTGTGAGGTTTGTTTCATCCAATCTGCACAGTAACCTATGCCGCTGGGACTATTGTCCACACTTAATGATAGGAAACTGAGAGGAAGGTCTTAGCCAAGGCCACTCAGCAATCGGGGCAATCTGGGCCCAAAGCCCAGACTGGATGGGCTTGGATGGTCGGGGGCCCTGCCCGCCCCATCCTGGATCACCTATACTGATGCCCCGCAATGTGAGTGTAGTTTGGGGATGCATTTTTTCGCACCAGAAATCTGGTAGGATACTGTCCCTCCCCTGTCCAAGTCCCAGAGTCTCATCCCCTCTCTCTGGCCACCAGCTTTGTAGTGAGCTCACCCCCACGGTGAGCGGGGGTGGGCGGTTCAAGTTCAAGGCGTATGGCTTCCTTATCTCGGGTCTGCTTTTGGTTAGGGAAGTAGGCTCTGGCATCAGACAGATGGGGTCTAAATCCTGGCCCTGCCACCCTCTTACTACAGATCCTGGGCTAGTCTCTGAGCCTCATGGGGACTCAGTTTCCCCACCTGTCCTGTAGAACAGTGGTATCTCTGCACTGGGGCTGCGGTGAGGATTACGGGAGGAATGGCAGGGAAAGAGCTCTGCATGTGGGCGTGTGCTCAGTGTCTCCCCAGTAACCTGCTCTCTCCTCCCCAGCACCATCCAGCTTGTGGCTGGCTGTTCATTCATGTGACTCGCCCTATTTTTGAGACCTCTAAGGGCATCATTCACAGCCTGTAGCTCAGGGCCTGGAACACACTACATCCTCCATAAATACCTATTGGAGAGCTGGAGGAATGAACGAATCTGATAATGCCTTCTAAGTCAGAAAAGGCATCTGGCTGACGTATATGTGATGCCCCCCCCAACCTTGGCCTCTCATTCCCGAGGACCTCCCACCTGATGAGGCACTCAAGGCTCAGGGAATCCTGGGGACCCCCCAAGGCCCCTGCAGCCTTAAGGCAGATTTGATGTCAGGGTCCCATTCTCAGCAGCCACAGAGACTGCTTCTAGAGCTGCAGATGGCCTGCAGCGGAGGCCTTGGGGCGCACCAGGGCCTCCTTGTTTCAGGGTCTGTGTTAACCCCTTCTGTGCCAGCGCTGGCAGGCTGCAAGGGCCCAGGAGGGACCCGGGGTACTGAGTGGCACCTTCGGTGGCTTCCTGTGGAATTGGCTGGGGGGGGGGTGGCCCTCTTTGATGGCTGAGCTGTCCTCCTCCAGCAGGAGGAAGGGGTCAGCTGGGCAGCACGCCGGGCCAGCGTGAGTCATCAACAGCAGGATTTAGTTAGTGGGGAGCTGACTCAGCAAAAGAAAGGCGTGCTGGGGAGGCAGGGGGCAAGCGGAGCGTTCCAGCTGAGCCAGCAGGGGAGAGGGGGAGGAGGAAAGACAGAAGGGACTCAGGCGACGAAGGAAGGACTCAGACACATGGGGCCAGCTGGGTATTGCCTTGGACGTGACATGGCACCAATACCTCGGACCTTCTGGCACTCCTGGCCCTCCACATCCCCACCAGCATGGCGGGGCAAGGGCCAGGGATCAGCGAGGATCCTTCCAGTGATTTCTCTCCTCTACTGAATCTTGAGCCAAGGGGTGGGGAATGAACATGCCTTCTCCTCTGCCTTGGTGGCTCCTTCCTTGACCACTAACCACTGGGGCTCCTCACTCTCCGTCCTAACCCTCTCCTGCTCAGCGTCCTCTCCCCACTCTCGCTGGGTGATCTCATTCACGGGCAAGGCTTCAATTCTCATGTCAACCCAGATGATGGAGTTACAGTTTTAGTCATTACCAGATTGATGTCCATTTCTGCTTCTTGGTTATAAGCCCCGTGAGGGCAGGGATTGCATATTTTCATTCCAGCACTGGGTACAAAGATGACACCCAGCACATACTGCTGAATGTGGATCTGATGGCTCCTGCCCGCTGGGCACGGTGGCAGGGACACCAGCCTCGGCTGCTGCAGGGGGTGAACCCCCACAGGCTTCTCCAGCCATGGCTACCCCAGGGGCTTTCTCCTGCTGGCCCCGGAGCTGACCTCAGCCTCAGACACGAGGGTGCAGCTGCTTCCCCCACAGCAAACACCCACCTTTTCGCCTTTTGGTCCAGGAGGTCCGAGGGGTCCCACAATGCCTTTGTGTCCCTGCAGGAAAACAAGAAGGAGGTAAGTCAGAATGAGGACTCAGGAAGGACAAAGGACGTGGACTCTGAGATGGGGACACTGGGCTGCAAAACTGGGTCCCAGCTCTGCCCCAGCTGGCTGTGTGGCTCTGAGTAAGTCTGTGTCTGTCTGAGCCCTGGCCTTCCAGACCGGCCATGCTGGTCCCAGACACACCCCAAAGGGGTGTTCCAGCTTGGATGGTCAGGGGCCCTGCCCGCCCCACCCTGGAGCAGACCTGGAACGGTATCTCCGGAGAACCAGCTTTGTCCTCCAAGCCAGGACCAGGGACAGGGGCAAAATGCTTGCCTCAACAGACCTTCCCAGGCTTTGGCTAGGCCTGCAGGTGCGGACACCCACCGTGGGCTCCTCGCAACATCCCTCCAGGTCCTGTCTCGCCTGTTTTCCTCTCCCTCTCCTCCCCTCCCTGCTGTGTCTCTACCAAACACTGGATCTAGAGCCTCGAGGACCAGAGCTCGGATTCCACCTCCAAACTGAAGTGGTCGGGCCTCGTGCACCTCTCTATCCTCCTGAGCCTCGGTTTCCCCTTCTGAGTAGGCACCGTACCCCTCTGAGCCCTGTTCTCTCCAGATGTGTAACATGGGTTTGGCTCAGCCATGTCTAAGAAGGTGCCAGACTGGATGCAAAAATGGTCCCTTCCCCAGACAGCAGACAAGGCATGCAGAGCACCCACCCCAGGCAGGAAATACCCAGGAAGGCTTGGGGTGGCTCATTTTGATCTGGTGGCCCCAACCACACCTGTCCCATCCATGATCTTCCACCCCCACCACAGCTCTGGGCCCAGGGCTCCCTGGGGCAGGTGAGACCCCACATCTTCAGTGTCCCAGGGGTCAGCCTTCAGCCGGGAGGTGGTGGGGCAGAGGCTGGCGTGGGCCTGTGTGTCCAGGCCTGCAGGACAGAGTCAGGGGGTGGGGTGAGGTGATATCTGCTTACATCATAACCAGCCAGTCCCAGTTCTCCTTGGGCCCCCATGCGTCCAGGAGCACCCTACAAAAGGAGGAGGCCCTCGTTGGTATGGAGTGTGGCTCTCACAGCAGGGACACAGCAGTCTCCCTGCAGGTTCCAGCCCCGCTCCACCTAGCAGCCTGGCTTCCAGGCTGCCCATAACCAAGGTGTGTGAACAAGGCAGAAAGCCAGTGACATCATCCCTCCTCCTTGGAAATCCCCACCCCCGCCCCAGCCCTCCTTCTCCTGGCTCCAGTGGTTCAAGACAGCTGATTGCTAAATTCTCAGGACTTTTACAAGCCAGTGAAACAGAGCCGTTATTAACAATTCCATTTTATGGACTTACAGTTAAATTAATTTTACTAAAAACCAAGATAGAGGATACTCAAAACTCATCTCCTCCTAGCCGTTTTACTACATTTTCCTCCTCCCTACTCTCACGAAGTTATTTTGGTCTACTGCATCTGTGCGTGTTGGTGGAAACACTGCCTAAGGGAGGGCTGCTGTGTAACTCCAACCCACTCTGCATTCAGTGATGTCATGTCAGTGGCTTGAAACCAGCCACGGAGGGAGCATTTACACTGCAGAAACTGGCAAATACCACAAACCAGCCTGGTTGCTTAACCTTACACACAGCCAGCTTGGAGCTGCTGTGTCACCCTCTTCAGCCTCCTTCCCTTGCTTCCGCCTGGGGTCTTCATCTCCTGCAGGTATCAAAGCCCTCTGGGCCCCTTCCTTCAAGGGCAGCCCAGCAATGCTCTGGGACACCCCCAGAGTCATCCAGGGACCTGCAGGAGCATTGCCCTGTTCCTCCCGAATCTATTTCCAGGGAGAAATCTCCTTGTTTGATAAAAACAGTCCTAAGAATCGGGTCCTTTCTCCCCTGATGCTAATAACAAGGCTTATTCATTTGGGTCCATAGAGGGCTTCAGGGGACCCACACACCCCTTCAAATTGCAGGAAATATTCTGTGTGGTGTATACTGTTCCGGAGGCGGGGCTGCAGCTTCTGCAGGTTACCAGAGCGATTCATGATTCAGAGAGGTGGCTGGGACAGCGAGCACCAGGTGTTCAGCTAATAGCTAGGGTGGGTGACAGCAGCACAGAGAAGCCTGGTGTCTCCTTTCCTGCCCTTGGTTCCCTCTAGTCCATATCTTACTCCCCGACCCCAGCGAGAGAGTCCTCACCGTTGGTCCCAGGCTGCCCCGGGACCCTTTAGGGCCTGGAGTGCCAGGGGGTCCGGGGTCTCCAGGGACGCCCATCTCACCCAGCTGTCCTTGGTAGCCCTTGGCGCCCTGCAACAGGAGGAGAGACAAGCTGTCACCAGGCCCCAGCAGGACGGAGGGGCCAAGGAGGGGAGGGACTGGGGACGGGATGTGGGGGAGGGACGTGGGCCCATCGAGGCAGAAGGGGGCACCTACCTTGGCTCCAGTGCGGCCCTTCTCACCTTGCTTCCCTGATTTTCCTTCAGGACCCTGAAGAGAGAGGAGGGAAAGAGCAAGAAAAAGATGAGAGAAGAGAAGACATTGAGGCAGATTTGCAAGGTGGTCAGACTGTCGGCTCCGGAGGCAGATGGCCCGGTTTGAAACTGATTCTGCCACTCAGTACCCGTGTGACCTTGAGCCTGACCTAACTTCCCAGGCTCAGCGTCCTCTGCTGTGTAGTGGGGACAGTGTCACAGAACTTAGGGATTCGACTTGGCGATGCAAGAACGTGCTGACAGCGAGGCCTGGGTGCAGGGGTGGACGCTGGGTGTGGCTTCTGCAATGGCTGGCTTCACTGTCGTCATGGTTACTGTTAGGCATCCAGGGGTGTCCTACAGGGAACAGCTCTCTGCACTGAGCTCTCTCCAGCGCCAAGTACTGTTCCACCCTCCCAACGACCTTGAACGTTAGGCCCCAATGAGACCCGCTTCCAGTTGAGGCAGCCAAGTTCCCAAAGATACAGTGACTTTTGCCCAGGGTCCCAGCTGCGCCTTGCAGGCCCTGAATCAATCCCAGCTGTGTCTGGCTCCATGCCCAGGGCTCTTTCCACCCCCTGGCTCATGGTCCCCATTGATGACACGAGGTGGCAAATGGAGAGGATTTATAGGTTCTTCCCTATCTCTGAGATGTTGTGCGTCACTTGTGAGCAATTCCTGGGGCATGTCCCTCGCACAGGCCCCTCCTCTCTCAGGCACTGGGCTGGAGGAGCCTCTTCACAGTAAGGAATTGTGCTGGAAAGGTCAGCTGCCTTCTCCCACTTTCCTTGGGGTCCCCAGGCCATTGCCTCTGACAGGCCACTCTGCCCCTGCCCCACAGGGCTTCCCAAAGAGATGCTCTGGCCTGCCCTGCCCTGCCCTGGTGTTGGGTGGGGGGGGCCCGCAAATTCAGCTTTGTGTCTGCAGTTGTCAGAGAAACTGCACAGCAAGGGTGAGTGAGTGTGTGCAAGTGTGAATGTGACAGTAAGAGACAGACACAGAGAGAAAGAGAAGAGAATCAATCCCGGGCCATAGGTCGGGATGGAGGGAGTGAGGCAGGCAGCGTTTCTGGCCTAGAAAGGACTTCTTGACTGCAAGGCTCAAAGGATCTAGAAAGAATGTCTATGCTCTTGGTAAGCACTAAGGAGCTGCTTTGATGTAATCCCTCTGGTTGCATTAACGGAGGCACCAGATGTAGAATGAAGGAGGTGATGTCCCATTCGGGAATAGGTATTGTACTTTAAGAAGAGGCACTGACTAATTGTGATAGAAGAGGGACAGGAAGAAGAGGTCCTAGAGGAACAAGGAAACATCTGGACCAACCCAGAGGACTTGGTTCCCGTCTGCAGATTTCTGCAGCTGTTCTGGGGGCAGGGCCAGCCATGTTCTCTAGGGTGGCCAGTGCATGAAAATTATGGGGCAGCTGGCTTTGATTCAGCACAAGGGAGAAATGTCTGCTCTAAAGACATAACGCAGCATCAGTTATGATGCCAGAAAAGATGATGCTATCCCAAAGGGACACGCCACTCAGACCACCCTGTGGTCCTCAGAAAGGCAGGAACAGTGGCCTGGGAAGGACCTCAGCACAGACTGCCTGCATCCCAGTGCCTGAGTCCACATGTACCCCTGGACCAGTCCTGCTCTTTCTCTGAACCTCAGTTTCCCCACCTCTAGTATGGGACTAGCCCCGTGGCCTCCAGCCACATACAGCTACTGAACACTTGAAATGTGGCTACTCTGACTAAGGAACTGAATTCTTAATATTATTTAACTTTAATTAATTTAAAATTAAATTTAAGGCCGGGCACAGTGGCTCACACCTGTAATCCCAGCACTTTGGGAGGCCGAGGTGGGTGGATCACTTGAGGCCAGGAGCTCAAGACCAGCCTGGCCAACATGGTGAAACGCTGTCTCTACTAAAAATACAAAAATTAGCCAGGTGTGGTGGTGCACACCTGTAATCCCAGCTACTTGGGAGGGCCCAGGCACGAGAATTTCTTGAACCCGGGAAGTGGAGATTGCAGTGAGCACTACTGCACTCCAGCCTGGGTGACAGAGTGAGACTGTGTCTCAAAAGAAAAAAAAAAAAAAAGTAAAAGTTGACACACCCAATTATGTTGTTACAAAACTTGTTTGGAGTAACTTGGGTATATGAACCTACATTTTCAACTGTAAATTTTATGAAATCTCAATACAGATCAAGTATTTCCAGTGAAATTTTATATACAATGAAAATCTAAACACAGATCAGGTATTTCCAATGAAAATTCACATCTGAATTGAGGTGTGCTATGAATATATACTACACACTGATTTCAAAGACTTACTACAAAAAGAGTGCTAAATATCTTATTAATGATTTTTATATTGATTATATTTTGAAATGATATTTGGATATATTGGGCTAAATAAACTATATTATTAAAATTAATTCTTTTTTTTTATCTGAGACAGGTCTTTCTCTGTTGCCCAGACTGGAACACAGTGGTTCGATCTCAGCTCACTGCAGCCTCAACCTCTGGGGCTCAAGTGATCCTCCCACCTCAGCCTCCCGAGTAGCAGAGACTACAGGCATGCACCACCACGCCCAGCTAACTTTTTAATTTGATTTAATTTAATTTTTGTAGAGACAAGTTCTCAGTATGTTGCCCAGGCTGGTCTTGCACTTTTAGGCTCAAACAATCCTCCCACCTCGGTTACCTAAAGTGCTGGGACTACCGGCATGAGCCACCGCACTGGCCCTTAAAATTAAAGTTACCTGTTTCTTTTTGCTTTTTAAAGGTGGCTACTAGAAAATGTAAAAGGAGTGGCTTGTATATGGCTTGTATTTCATTTCTATCAGACAGCACTAGGCAATCTCAAAGTCTCCAGCTCTTCTGGTGATAAAACACCCACAATCCCTATAACCCTCACCACGGGCCATGTGCTGTGTTCTCATTCTACATAAATGTTCGTTCAATTCTCACCAGTGTTTGGAGGAAGGGATTATTGATCCCGTTTTGGAGCTAAAGGAACTGAGGCTCAGTGAGAGGAAGCCCTCTGTGGGCCTCCCAGCCAGGTCAGAAGTGACACGCAGCTCCTCTACTTCCGGGGCACCTCTCCTTCCAGGCTGGTCATGGTCAGGCAATGGGGAAGGCATGTCACAGTGACTGGTGGCATTTTCCAGTGCACTGAGGTGGCTGCAATGGCCGACTGATCCCTTGCAGAAGGCAAGATGAGTCAGTGCTGAAGCATCCGGTACAGGGGCAGGGAGACGGGAGGCTGCGTCTCCCCCAGGACAGGGCACCACTTGCTGGGACGTGCCCTCTCCGGCAGAGAGCATACATACAGTGGGTAAGGCTGTGGGCCTGGAATGAAGATTTCTGCTGGGCCCCATCCATATAGATGCATTTCTGGAAAGGCCCCAGTGGCTCATAAAATTCTATTTTTAAATACTCAACTGTTTCCAGGCCACAGAGTGGGAAGTATTTATCCTGATGCCAAAGAGACTCAAGGCCCCTCACTGCCTTATCACTCAGCACACACTTGGCCTGGCCTAAGTGACTCTCTTTCCAATCCCGGCATATGAGAAATGGGAGTGATGGCAAAACGTTGACATTAACACAGCTACCACCACCACACCACTACTACCATCATCATCACCATCATCATCACCACTGCCCATACCATATCACCACATCATCATCATCACCTCCACCCCCACCACTGCCATGACCACCATCATCACTTCCCCACCATCATCACCACCATCACCACTACCCATCATCACCACCACTGCCACTATCATTAGTACCACCACCACCATTATCACCACCATCACCACCACCACCATCACCATCATCACTTCCCCATCATCATCACCACCATTATCATCACCATCACCACCACCAACACCACTGTCATCGCCATCACCACCACCACCACTACCCCCACCATCATCACCACCACTACCACTATCATTAGTACCACCATCACCATTATCACCACTACCATCACCACCACCACCATCACCATCATCACTGCCCCATCATCATCATCACCACCACCACCACTATCACCATCACCACCACCAACACCACTACCCCCGCCATCATCATCACTACCACCACCACCACCATCACACTCACCTCCACTCCACTCCCACCCCCACTATCACCATCGCCACCACCATCATCACTGCCTCATCATCATCATCATTATCACCATCACCACCACCAACACCACTATCCCCGCCATCATCACCACCACCATCACCATCGTCACTGCCCCATCATCACCATCACCACCACCACTATCATTAGTACCACCACCACCATTATCACCACCACCATCACCACCACCACCATCACTGCCCCATCATCATCATCATCACCACCACCACTATCATCACCATCACCACCACCAACACCACTACCCCCGCCATCATCATCACTACCACCACCTCCATCACCCTCACCTCCACTCCCCTCCCCCTGCCACTATCACCATCGCCACCAGCACCAGCACCACCATCACCACCTCATCAGAGTCACCACTACTACCACCATCATCACCCCCATCATCTTCATCATCACCACCACCAACACCATCATCAGTACTACCACCATCACCATCATTATTATCATCATTCCACCACTGCCATTGCTGCTGCCCCCACCCACACCATCCACTCACCATCACCACCAGCCACCACAGCCTCTAGTCACTTTGTCCTCTAAATTTATAAAGACAATCTTTTATATTTCTGGTGCATTTTATAACATGCTTTCCTATCCTGAGTTTTACTTATTCTTTATAGATAAGAAAACCAAGGCTCAGAGAGGGGCAGTGATTTGCTCAAAGTCACACAGAGAATGGGTTGCTTGAGCCAGCCAGAAACTCAAGTTCAACCTCAGGACTCTGGTTCCACGACTTTTTCTGCCATGTGTTCCTGCCCATTCCACAGCCATGATACTCAACACTCACTAAAAAAGGGTGCCTGGAACGCTGGAGCTCAAAGTGATCTTAGCACACATTCCTTCCAAATCCTCCAAGGGCAAAACCAGAGAGAGCAAGGGGTGGGTGAAAGGTCGCAGACCAAGTTCCTAATGCAGAATCTGGGCCAGGGCCCCTCCTGCTAAATTCCCCTTGGCCCACTTCCCCGCCGCTGAGTCAAGCCCGGGGAAAGCCTCCTGGCTGACTCAGCGCCCTCGTATTCTTCTCTAGTTTGGTGAGTTCATTCTGTTGCAGCTGTTTACGGGGATTGGCAATTCAGTGCTATTTTTAGGAAACAAATATTTTCCCACAACCATAGTTTGTTGCAGGCTAACTTGGATCTGTCCTAGGTTAGTCATGTAAACACTTCAGGGGGGAAAAACAGTGTCAAGAGCAGGCCTGAATTGAACTGGGCTGCTTTGCCTAGGTAACATCGGTCTCTCTGATTAAGGGATGAAGAGCGAAATGGACACCCCAGGGAGACTGGGATGGCAGCAGAGGTGTGAGTTCTCACCACCTGGTTGGCTCAAGGTAGATGCCAGCAGGCTTACGCATTTGGGCATTTTGTCTGCAAGGCCACCTAATCCACGGGTCCCAAGCAGTTCGACTGAACCGACCCAGCACTCCTGGGTCACACAAACTCTGCTCAACCGTACAAGACTACCACCGCCCCCCCACTACCAAGTCAAGTTCCGAGTCATCAGTCCAGTATTTGCGACACTCAGAAATCAACCTTCCACCTTCCTCCAGCCTCATCCTCATAGACCCACAGCCAAGCCCTGGATTCCAACTCTGCCAGAGCCCAGGGGCAGTATGTGTAGAGTCATGCAGGCCTAAGTTCAAATTCCAGCTTTGCCATTTGTCACTGTGTGAGCCTGGGAAGTTTCCTTTACCTCTCAGATTTTCCCAATCCTCAGGGGTTGCTATCAGCATCAAAGAGGGAACCTTCAGGAAAGCACTGGGCAACTTGTCTATACACGTTGAAACCTGTCTATACACCTTTAGTCTCGGAGCACCTGGCCCAGGGAAGATGCTTGTGAGTGTTTGTGGACTGACTAAGTACATTTCTGTTAGGGTAGAAGAGCAGAGCTGCTCTGTCTTCTTAATCAACAAACAGATTTTGGTCACCTCTTACGTGTCAGGTCCGGTTTTTTTTTTTTTTTTTTTTTTTTTTTTTGTGACAGAGTCTCGTTCTGTTGCCAAGGCTGGAGACAGTGGCATAATCTCGGCTCATTGCAACCCCTGCCTCCCAGTGTCAAGTGATTCTCCTGCCTCAGTCTCCTGAGTAACTGAGACTATAGGCATGCGCCACCATGCCTAATTTTTACACTTTTAGTACAGACAGGGTTTTACCATGTTGGCCAGGCTGGTCTCCAACTCCTGACCTCAAGTGATCCGCCTGCCTCGGCCTCCCAAAGTGCTCAGATTTCAGGCGTGAGCCACTGGCCAAGGCACTGTTAAAGACGTAAATGAAGGCCAGAAAAGGTCTTGGTCTTCATGGAACCAAGACATACACTGAAGGTTATGCATGTCCCTGAGGGCTCATGGCCCAGCCTGGGGGCAGGGATGGCTTTTTGGAGGAGGTGATGTCTATGGTGATACCTAAAGGCCAAATAGGACTAAAGCAGGTGACAGGAGAGTGAGGAAAGGAGAGTGTCCTAGACAGAGCACGGACAAAGGCCCAGGGGTAAGGACCACAGCTTGTCCAAGGAACTGAAAAAAGTTCAGTGTGTCTGGATATGGGGGATGGACGAGATGAGGTCGGCAGGGGCCAGGTTTGCACAGGGCAGGGGAGCCGGTAGGATGAGTCACAGATGTTCTGCAGAGCCATGGAACGTTAAGCAGGGAAGGGACATGGTCAGATTGGTTCTCTGGCAAACCACCGGGTGGAGAAAGGACCACAGCAGAAGATCCTTCAGTGGCACTTCCAAAAGACCTCCCGCCCAGCTGCCTGCACAGGCATGAGCGTTCCGGGTACCCCAGAGCCCCAGGCGCTGCAAGCAGCCTGCACACTCACCCGGACACCAGTGACACCAGGGGGGCCGGGGGGCCCGTCCTCACCCATCAGCCCTTCCTGGCCTTTCTCGCCATGTTCTCCATCAGGCCCTGGGTCTCCCCTGTCCCCCTGGGTGGCAGGGCATGAGGAGGGGAGAGAGACAGAGAATAAGTTAGTTGCCAAGTGCATCAGAGGCCCCAAACTGCAGGGCTCCATTCAGACATCCACAGCCAACTGGCCCCTAGGTTCCCGACAGGTCCCTCCACTGCCAAAAAGGCAGGGTGCTGTGACTCGGCTGCCGCGCTCAGTGTAGCCTGAAGCTTGCACAGGACGCATCCCAGACTTAGAGGTTCCCACGTGTCCCTGTCTGGGCCTGGGCCGGGAAAGGCAGAGTGACTCAGAGATAAGCCCAAGTCCTGACTGCACCCACCCCACGGAGTTCACAGGAGACAAGGGCAATTTGTCCCCAACTTAGACACATTGGGAGAACAAGAGTCTTATGAAGCAGTTTTTTTTTTTTTTTTTTTTTAGACAGAGTCTCAGTCTCTCTCCCAGAGAGAGATAGTGCAGAGGTGCAATCATAGCTCACTGCAGCCTCTACCTCCTGGGCTCAAGCAATCCTCCTGCCTCAGCCTCCCAAGTAGCTGGGACTACAGGCACATGCCACCATGCTCAGCTAATTAAATTTTTTTTCTTTTGCAGAAATGAGCTCTTGCTACAAGAGAGCTTGAGCCCAGGAGTTGGAGACGGTTGCCCAGGTGGGTCTCCAACTGCTGGGCTGAAGCAATCCTCCCACCTCAGCTTCCCAAAGTGCTGGGATTACAGGTGGGAGCCACTGCGCCTAGCTGAAAGAAATTTTCATCAAGCAAGAAAATTTACCCAATTCTCCCTCTCAGAACCACTCTTTCCATTTTTCTGAGCTGCATTTTCAATCCTTGATGACACAAAAACAGTGAATAATAATAATAAAGGGTAGGTAACAGTTTGGATGGTATGCACCTGACTCAGGGCAGTGAAGCAACTGACCCAAGGCAATGCATTGGTTCCAGTAAACTAAGCTCTAAAGGCACAATCCCACTGGACTGCAGGTCTCCATCTTTGTTTGTTATAGTTACTGCTTTGCTCTATGGTGAACGTGCCCTCCCGCTGCTCTGGGCTCTGCATGGCGATCATTCTTATGGGCTGCAGAATACTTTCTCTGGGGAATGGGATGGAGCTAACATTTATATGGCACTAACCATGTCAGGACCACAGTCTGAGTCCTTCAACATTTATTAACTGACTTAATCCCCACAAAAGCTTTCCAAGGCTGGTCTGCTTTTAGTCCCATTTTACAGATGAGGAAACTGAGGTAGAGCTAAATCAAGTCATCTGGCCCAGAGGCCCACAACTGGCTAGCGGTGGAGCTGGACTTTGAAGCAGGATCCTGAGCGTGCCCTCTTTACAGCGACAGGGCTGTAACCAAGGTCTTCTTGGGGCTTCGGGCCTTTGGGGCACCCGGGGTTATTTCCTTGCAAAGGCAACACTTGGCATGGGTTTTTTTTTTTTTTTTTAGATGGATCTCATTCTGTCACCCAGGCTGGAATGCAGTGGCCTCCACCTCCCAGGTTCAAGCGATTCTCCTGCCCCCGCCTCCTGACTAGCTGGGACTACAGGCACACGCCACCACGCCTGGCTAATTTTTGTATTTTTAGTAGAGACAGGGTTTCACCATGTTGGCTAGGCTGGTCTCAAACTCCTGACCTCAGCTGATCCACCCACTTCCGCCTTCCAAAATGCTGGGATTACAGGTGTGAGCCACTGCACCAGGCCGGCATGGGTTTTTTATGGTTTTGAAGCAATCAGTGTCACTCTAAGCTTGCCTTATCTCATCACGGTAATCTTTGCGTACTCCGAGAGAGATTGGGGGCAGGTGCGGTTCCAGGATGGGGCATGCAGGATTCTAGGATGGGGCATGGGCCGTCACCCTCATCAACCTTGAGCAGAGGAGGTGTGGAGTGCAGCATGGGCATGGCTGCCAAGAGGCGGCGTCCATCAGAAGGTGGTCTCCATCAGGGCTTGCTTAGCTGTGACTTGTTCAGGGAGACCCATGGGAGAGGACATGAAGTCACAGGTACGAGGAGGGATGGGCGAGAAGAGCAGGCTTGGAAAAGCATAGTGAGTCTTTACCAGTTCTGTCCCCCAGTGCCAAGCTTTACGAGGGACACTGATAAACTGGTGTGCATCCAGAGGAGAGACAGCACAGGAAGCAGAGGGCATGAAGCTGGAGCCTGGGGTTGGGCCCTGCCCAGAAGAGAGGCTCAAGAGCGAGACTCATGATTGCTCATTGCTGCAAGCTGGGCCTGCTGGGGCCCGGGCTCCGGGGCAGGAGGCGGGTGTGAGGGAGTTGCTGGGGCAGTTTCTAGCTCAGTTGGGCAGATTTTGCAACGGTGCGGTTCAGAGATGGCACAGATAAAGGCAGGAGACTCCGAGCAGAGGCGTGGGCCAGTGCAGAGCAGATCTGGGCACAGAGTTGTACCTAGATCCCTTCCCGCTGAGAGCCTCAGCTTCTAAGCACAGCCTGGCATGAAGACAGGGGGCTGGCCCGGATAACTCTCCTGCAGACTCCCCTGGCTCTGGGATTCCATTTCTGGCTTGTCGTCCTGGCCACCTGTTCTCCTAACTCTCAGGCAGACAGCCTGTTCCAGGAGGCTGGCTGGGTTTTCAGCAAAGGGCCTCACCTGGGCTCTGCCTAAGACCACCCTCCAGGGGTTAACTGGACCCCTGGAGTGGACGTCCTTGTGAATTGCATGCAGAACAGGCTCTGGGGGTTCCTGTAGATGCCCCAAATCCTCAGACATCTGTCAGTGCTCAGAAGAGCCTTGCAAGTCGCCTTCCTTAACCCTCTCCAGTTACAGATGGGAAAACTGAGGTGCAGAGAGGTGGAGACTCCCTGATACCACCGGGTAAGTCAGTGCTGTGTGAACCTGGGGTTCTGGCTCCTTCTAATTCCAAGATTTTCTGCTCAGGGGACGATGCCTCCCTCATCTCTGGGGTTATGCTGCCTAAGTTCAAATCTTGCTACTGCTACTGAATAGTGGTATGACCCTGGGCAAGTTTCCTCGTTTGTAATATCAGGATCAAAGGATTACTGCAAGGATTGAAAGAGATAAACCACGTAAATAGCTTAGCAGCGTGTCTGGCACGTGAATGCTGGATCAAAGCTAATTATTATTGGTCACCACTACCATCACCACCGTCAGCTGGACATCGGCAAAGAGCTAACAGGTGTAAAAGCACTCCATAAACTATAAAGTGCTGTGCATATTCAACACGCAGTTTTCACCACGAGGGGTGATTCCTGGACAAACACCTTAAGAAAATGGGTCTCTCCTGGGATTCATGTAAAGATCGGGGAAGACGCCGTGCATTTGAGCACAAGGACTCAGGTAGAATTGGCTTTGAAGGAAGGGAAAGAGGACGAAGCCAGGGCCAAAAAGCCATGCAAGGTGGAGGCAGAAGACTGCACGAGGCACCGAGATTGGAAGACCCCCTCCCGCCCACCTCGGTGGACATTCCAAGAAGAAAGGTGGCCGCCCAGAGTGGAGTGAGGAGGCTGCTGCTTCGTGCCTCGGTTTCCTCATCCGTCCAGTGGGGATGGTACTGTATCAAGCTTGGGAGAGTTGCTGGGAAGATTAATTATCAAATGGGTTAATTCACATAACGCCCTTCGGGTCAGTGGCACTGGGCACGTGGCAAGCGCCCAAAGCATTTTAGCCATGACCTTCATCAGCATCACCACGCAGTGTAGCAGGCGCTGGCAAAGGGTGTGGAGGGGCTGTCAAATGCTCCGGGTCTTAGGACTCAGCTGTACCCTAGGATGCAGCAGGCCTGGGGGTGAGGATGCAGCAGGGCTGGGGGTGAGGAGGCAGGCGGATGACAGACAGAGGGCGCTCTCGCTCTTGCAAGAAAACGTGAGGAGTCAGCAGGGGCTGGTCACCAAGGCACCCTGGGAGACTGTGGTGAGGGCGTATGAGGGTGGGCGGAGGCCTGTGGATGGGGAAACTGAGGTTCAGAGAAGGGGTCTGCTTCTCCTACTCTCCTGGAGAGTAGGTGGGTGAGAGGGGATACCCCAACATGGCCCTCAGGACCCTGGGCTGGAGAGCTGACTTGTGAAGGGTGACCGGCCAGCCTCGGGAAAAGCCCATGTGTGGGGTCAGAGCGGGACCTGAGACGGAGGCCAGGGACTGGCCTGGCTGGAGATGGGTCTGGAGAGTCAGAGGGCAGTGCCCACCTGCCCACCCGCAGTTCAGGTGAGCCAAGGTGCCTCTTCAGAGTCCTGACACTTGTGGCTGACAGGAGGCTCTCAGGGAGACGCAGGGTCGAGGTAGGCAGCAGGGGCTTTGGCACCTGTGAGCTGTGGGTTTGAATTTTGGATCCTCACTCACAGCCATAGGTCCTGAATATATCTCTGCCTTCCTCTGAGCCTCAGCCTTTTCGCCTTTAGAATGGGTGCATGGTACAACAGAGCGAGCAGATTTGGGTCAAACAGGCCCAGATTTGGGTCCTGGATGTGCCAGTTGCTAGTGGTGTATCCTTGGGCAAGTTGCTTCACCGCTCTGAGTCTCAGTTTCCTCATCTAAAGACAGAACTCCCATTGCCCTATGGATCCAGCTGGTACAGGGCTTGGTGTTGTACCTGGTATGCGTGTGACTAATCCTCCCTAAATTGTGACTCATAAGTCATTGGTGGTAATTACTATTTTCCTGACCTTCTAGGTTATTTGGAAGATCACAGACACCAAAGACCCTGGCTCTGGGCCTGGCGTAGTGCCGGTGCTCAGGAATCACCCTTAGCCAAGAGAAGCTGATATTTTAAGAAGGGTAGCAGGAAAGACTGCAAGGTGGTGATGGTCCTGGTCCCACCTGAGCAGGTAGTGCAGAGGGCAGGGTGGGAGGTGGCCGCTGGACACTGCTGACCCTTCCCCACCCTGCTGTCAATGGGAGCTGGAGGTCTCATCGCAGATCTCCACGGGAACACAGTGCTTCTGGGAGGAGACTTAGGTCTTGGATGGGAAAGCAATGCCCTGCCAGGGTCCCCAGGCCCTGCCCTAAAAGGGCACTTACCTTCAGCCCATCAGGTCCCATGGGGCCACTGTCACCCTCGAGGCCTGGCTCTCCCTGGAAAGGGTGAGGAGAAAGGGGAGGAGATGTTACTGGGGAGGAGACCCCGGTGTGCTTTTCCTTTCTTCCCCCTCCCTGGGGCAGTGCCCTGACCCACGGATCTCCAGGCAGTGGGACCCTGGGGGCCCTGGCACACAGGGGCTGAGTTAGCAAATGAACAGGAAGGTTGAGGTGACCACCCTCGGCTCTCCAGAAAGGGGAAACAGACCCCCAAGCTACCGACAGCTCCCTCTGCAGGGTGGTGTGGGGTGGGGGCTACATGAGGTCACGAATTTAGAAGGTGCCTGTCATGGATTTGTCCTGGACCTCATCTCTAGGCTGGTTGGCGGGGCTGCGGAGTGGCCTCATAGTTAAAGACAGGCTTTGACGTCAGCCAGACATCAATGCTACTTCTCGGTTTCCCATTCACTAGCTGTTTGACCACAAGCAAACTACTTAGCTCTCATGGGCGTCTGTTTTTTCATCTGAAAAATGCGGCTGACACCACCTTCTTCAAGGGTTGCCATAAGGCGCGGTGTGAGTGCCCCACACCTGGCAGCCCTGTGAGATACTATTACTGGAGCTGAAGCAAGCCTTCCTGGAGCTCCTTGGTGGAATCCCACTTCTCAGATGAGGAAAGGGAGGCCTGTCTTTCAACTCTTCTTCCCAGCAAGCTCGGGAATGACAACAAGAACACTGAGTCCCTGGCTGACCCTCAACCAGGCTGGCCCTTCCAGCTCCAGAGACGCCCCTGGACAACAGTTCTTGAAATGGCCATCAAATTAAGTTTGGGTGTCTCTCTGCTTTTAGAATTCATCACTGTTCAGAGTCTGAGCTGGAAAAGGCCTCAGGAGTTGTCAGATGCAGGATGGCAACCATGTACCAGCTGGGTGGTCTGTGATCCTCTTGTACCCATGGCAGGTATCACTTATCAACCCGCTGGAATGCAAGCTCCAGAGACAGGTCTCCGTTACTCACTGCTGTACTCCTTGTGCCTCGAGAAAAATGCCTGATACACAGTGGGTATAGGATGCATGCTCATCATTCTCTTTCCTACCGAGCCTCGAAAACCTCAGGATCCTTCTTTCTTTTTTTTCTTTTTCTTTTTTTTTTTTTTTTGAGATGGAGTCTTCCTCTGTCACCCAGGCACTATCTTGGCTCACCACAAGCTCTAACTCCCAGGTTCAAGCGATTCTCCTGCCTCAGCCTCCCGAGCTGGGACTATAGGCCACAAAATGCATTTTGACTATAGAATGCCTTTCTCTACACTGTGGAAATGCTGGCCTACCAAGACAGACTGGGCGAGGCTATAGAGGTTCATGGTCTATTTCTGTAACTGAGGAAACTGAGGCTTAGGGAGATTGAGAAAAGCCCGTCTCTTCCCCTGCTGTGCCCACACACCCTGAGGGCTTTCAGGAAGAATAAATCGCTTCAACTTACCCGTTGCCCAATGAGGCCCTGCTCCCCAGGGGTGCCCAGGGGTCCAAGGTCACCCTAGGAGAAGCCGAACAAAAGTCCATGGGGGTGGGTAGGGCCAGCCCCAGCCCTCGCCACCCCTTCCTGTTTCCACCTGCTCTGACTTGGGGTGTGGGAGGAGGAGATGGGGAAGGTCCTTCTTCCCAGGGACCACAGAGAAATCGTAAAGCACCAACCAGAGCTCCTGTTTCAAGTAACCTTGTCCACGGGCTTCTTCTCCCATGCCAGGACAGGAGGATCATTACCACCACCACCACCACCATCATCCTATTACTAACTAACTGTACTGTTCTAAGGACTTTTTTTTGAAACAAGGGTCTCGTTCTGTCACCCAGGCTGGAGTGCAGTGAGGTAATAATCACAGCTCACTGCATCCTTGATCTCCCAGGCTCAAGTGATCCTCCCACCTTAGCCTCTCTCAAGTAGCTGGGACCACAAGCATGCGCCACAAGCATGCCCGGCAGATTTTTAAATTTTTTGTTGAGATGGGGTCTCGCTACATTGCCCAGGCTGAGGAGGTCAGTTTTTATATTAACATATTTGACTTTCAAGACAATCCTGCAAGGAAAAGTATTCTTTTAGAGGTGAAGCATCAGAGGCATTGGGGGAGTTCAGTAAGGAGCCCAAGCTCTCACAAGACTAGTCAGTGACAGATTCAGGATCTGAAGCTGGGCAGTCTGGCTCCAGGAGGCTTGGATGCAGCAATGGCAACTATGTGATTTTACTCTTCCTTGAGACTTGCAGAGAAACCCAAACGAGGAGGAAGCCCTAAATGAGCAGGAATAAAAGTCACCTGCCCCCTGCATAAAGGCCCTAAAAGGGTCTTTCTTATTGGAGAATTTTCAAGCTATATTCCCTGCTGGTGTCTAGGGACACAGAAGGAGGGCAGAGCTCTGAGCCTCCAGCCCTGCTCCGGTGGAAACAATTCCACTTCTATCAGTTTTCTGTGTGGGGTGGTTTTCTTCACTGGAGTCTGAGCAAAGGATTTTGGGACTAAGCCAAGTCTGACAGCCCCAGGCCTGGTCCAACCCCCTCTCTGAATGACAGGGAGACTTAGGCACAGAAGCGGGTGACTGGACTCAAGTCTTACAGCCCCTCTGCGGGCTCCCCTGGGTCCTGCCTCAACAATGTCCATGGGCTAGCCAGCATCGCTCCTCAGCTCTGGGGCCTCCGAGGGGAACAGCGTCCTCTTCCAACAGCAGCAGAATGGGGAGGGGGTTCTCCCAGAGCCCAGGTATCAATAGGCACCTGTTTCTTAGCAGGTAATGAGAGGCACTGGCACTGAGATGCAGATGGTATCACATGAGGCCAGGAGGTACAGCCACCCCAGCATGGAGGCAGGGGCAGGTGCCTGAAAAAACATTGGCTGGCAGGGGACACTGGTGGGGGCTCCACACTCTACTCTGGCCCTGACCAGGCCCCACTCCCCAGCCAGGAGCACAGAGAACCCATTATCCCAGCCACAAGAAAGGCCCATTTCTCTTCCATGGAGAGGATGTGGCCACCAGCTGGGAGCTGGTTTCAACAAGTCATTTTTCTCTTCTTTCATCCCACCTCACCTTCATCCCAGCTTCCCCAGGAAGGCCCGGTTCTCCCGCTGCACCCGGCGGCCCCTGCAAGAAAATGCCATTGGTCCTTCCTAGAGCAAGAGCTGCCCCTTGGTTGTAAGCAAGGGGGTAACTGAGGCTCAGAGAGGGCAAGAGACACACCCAGGGTCACACAGCACAAGAGATGCAGAGGTGGGAGCAGCCTGTAGCTTCTTGGAGCCTGGAGCTGGAACTAGGGGGCTGGGGGTGGACCCAGGCTGGCTGAGCTTTGGGACTACCCAGAGGCTTCTAGAGCCTTCTCCCAACCCACGAGTGTGGTTTACCACACTAGGAGGCCCTTGGCAAGCAGAGGGAAGAAAATGATTCACATAAAGACGGGGGAGGAAACCATTGGATGCTGTGTTTAGGGCCAAGTGATTCTAACCCTTCTCTCTACAGCTGAGCCAGCATGAGGCGGGTGGGAAGCAGCCCTCAGTTATCACCATGGGCATGGCTGCAGCCCTTGCATAAACCCTGGGGCTTGGTTTTTCCCTCCGGATAAGGCAGGGGTGTCTGAGGCTCCTTCCAAGTTCCTTGCTACATGAACCTTGGGGGCTGGATCGACAGTCAAACCTCTGCTGGGGCAAAGTCCCAGGAAGGTCAAAGTTGGAAAGCATCCATGTTTCCAGTGATGCCCAAAGAGGCAATGCCAGCCCCCACAAGGGTTCTGGTACCTCTGCATCCCATACAATGCCCCTGGACTAGGAGCCCAGCTCCTCAACCTATGCCACCAGGATGGATCTACCTGGTGGTAGATCCTACCAGGATGGACGCCTCTCTGCCAGGGCGTCCACCCTTCTCTGAACTACATGGTACATGATCATCTCCCTGGGCCAAGACAGGGAATGGCAAAGAGGCTCCTGGGGAGGAGGGAAGGGAAGGGCTGATACATTCCCAGCAGCATCATGGGACGAATAAGGGTCTCTCACACTCACCTTAGGTCCCATCTCTCCTGGAGGCCCAACTGGCCCCTGGGGTCCCTGAGGGCCCTGGAAGACAGACAGACACACAGACAGTTGGGAGAAGCCAGCCTGGGCCCTCTTTGGGATCTGGAGAGGTGAGTGAGGGAGCTGACCCCCAGAACTGGGGACTCTGAAGCACACCCCTAGTCCGCCCCAGCCACACCGAGGGTCCTGGTGTCTGCAGCCCCCTCTTCACCACTGTATGTGTCAGACTCCCTCCAACACAGCTGCACACTCTGCTATTCACCCACCTAAAGCCCAGGGGCCGTCCCTGATCAGAAACCTCCTAGCTCTCAGTCCTGCTCATCCGTCGACCCTGCCTGGAATGTTCTTCCACCTTGGATCCATGTCTGGAAACCCCCACCCCCAGCCAACCCACCGTTCAAAAGGGTGATTCCTTGGGCCTCAGGATGTGGGAAGGCAGCAGTGGCCTTGAGGATGCGAGCCTCCTGTCCTCCCCTGCCCTGTGCAGGAGTCATCCTCCTAGTGCCCTGGAGATTCTGTCCCCTCCCTGCCATCTCCTGTAGCACCACTCTCTAGCCTCCTCATGGGGCTCCCGGACTGTCCCCCTACACCTGTCCTTCCAGGGACATCTTCTGGAAAGCAAGTTGATCGGCCTTTCTGCCTCAAGCCCTTCCATGGCTCCCTGTTGCCCTTGGGACAAAAAGCATACTCTCCCCGTGGCCTTGGGCGCCTGGCGCCTGCTGCCTCCTCCTGCCCTTTCCGAGGTCCCACTTTCCACTCCAGCCATGCTGGACTCTGTGGTTCCCAGTCAGCTTGTTGGTTTACTCTTATCTTCCCTCCCTCCCTCCGTCCTTCTGCCTTCCACTGTGCCAATCACTCCCTATACATTTTCACATTTCATCTTCACAACAGAATGGCAAGGCAGAGACAATCACCCCCATTTTCCTGGCAAGAAAACAGGCTGGAGGCCAAGTGAGCTGAGCCTCAATCCCAGAACTCCTGGCTTAGCGCTCGCCACCAACCCCAAGGCCTGGCCCACCGGGGGCTTAGAGGCCAGGCATGGTCCCTTTCCAACTCTTTCCCTTATCTGAGCACCTGGCCCACATCCCCAGGTGCCAGCGGCAAAGAGGCGGAAGAGGGAAGGAAACGTTCTTACCGGTTCTCCTGGGAGGCCCTTGGTGCCTGGGGGGCCTGAGGGACCCGGGATGCCCTGCAGAGACAAGGCAAAGGTGACCTTAGGCCCTCCATGGCCTTCCCTGCCCTGCCTTGACTTCAAGCAAGCCATCCTAGTGCATTTGGGTCCTGTCCTTCCCCACCGGGTGACAGATGGGAAGGCTGAGACCCAGAGAAGAGGGGATGTGGTGGAGGGGCTTCAGTGCAGGGCGGGTGGGCAACCAGAACCTTCAGGGTTTCCACAGAAGGATAGGAACTTGGTAAAAGTGGTTATTATCCGCACCCCTGCCCCTACCCCACCAAAAGCCCCATGTAGAGAATTTCAAGAACTGGTGCTACTTACGGGAAAGCCTCGCGAGCCCAAGTGGCCTTGCTCACCAGCCACACCCTGGAAGCACATGTGGGGGTCATTACAGGCTCAGATCACAAAGCAGGGAGCAGGGAGGGGGCCTGCGGCTGGCCTGCTTGGCCTTGGCCTGACATACCTGCTGTCCAGGCCGGCCCGGTCTGCCCTGGGGTCCTGGAGGGCCCTGTAGGAAGCAGAGCACGTGAAGGTGGGAGAGGGTGCTTGGGAGGACCGTTCCCCAAAAAGGGAGCCCTCCACATGGGAGATAAAAGGAACCCATTTGAGGCCACGGAGTCTGGCCCCCTCTCTACGGCGCAGATGGGAAAACTAAGGCCTGACAAGGAGAGTGGCTCGCCACCGTCACCAGCTGCTCCAGGTGGAGAACCAAGGACCCCTTCCTAGGGATGGGGCTGCCAGAAGCAGTCTCGACTGTCAGGGGCCTGGTGGGGTTTGGGGTCTGGGGAAGGGGTCCGAGGACATGTATGATCTCCCTCCTCCTTTTCTTGCTTTCTCTTCATTGGGCTTGCAGTGGGGGGTCAGGAGGAGTGGAAGGGCTGACCTCTCAGAAAGAGCCCTGCAGCCTCCATGGGGCTCCCTTCATTGTCCCTAAGGGGCGTTGTTCTGAGGAGGTGTGAGCCTTGTTCGTGATTCCTGCCCCAGTGTTGGAGGAGTGAGGAAGGGCAGGCCCTGGGGGTCGGTACCTTCAGGCCCCTGGACCCTTGCTCCCCAGCTGGTCCGTCCGGTCCTCGGGGGCCCTGGAATAGGAAAAAGGGACTAGCACACCGGACAGCAGGGGTCTCCCTCGGGCCGAGAACCAGGAGGGCGGGGCTGCTCTGAGCCTGGGGCCATCCCCTGCACAAGCCCTGGCCCCCTCCTCCTCCCACTTCCCACATACTCCCCACTGAGGTGGTCACCCTCGTGCGGCACCTTCGAAACAGCTCTGCAGAGGCCGCAGCATGAGTAGACTCAGCTAGAGGCTGACGTTTCCAAAAGGGGGCTGGGGCACTAATAGCCCTGTTCAGAGAGACCTTGGGGGTCACCCAGCCCATCCATTTCACAGACATGGAGACTGAGGGCCGCAATTGAGTTACACGTGGCCACGTCCACACAGCCACCTCTTCAGACTCTGCTGCCACGTGCCCTTCCCAGAGCACACACGGGGCAGAAACAGGTATGTGAGTCACAGCCCTTGGGGGAAACTGACAGAGCAGGACTTGGGAAGAACCTGCATGTCCTTCCCAGATGCGTGGAGCAGCCCTGTCTCTGGCCATATGTACAACGAATGCAGCCCCGTTCACAGAGGAAGACCTGCCATGAGGCAGGGGCAGGCACAGGGCAAGACTGTGCACGAAGGGGTGGGAGTCAGGCTGCGGCTCCCCGGAGCCCTGGGCTCAGGCCTGAACTCTGACACAGGAGTCTTGGTCCCTGATTGCTGGGAGACCCCAGGGGCAGGTGGAGTCCACCCCCTACCCCACTGCACGGATGGGAATACTGAGGCCCAGCCAAGGGAAGTGACTTAGTTAAGGTCCCTAACACATTAGCTGCTCTCATCCCCCATGTGGGCTCCACCCACTGCCCCATGTGTGTCCCTCCAGGGGCGCTCCCACAGAGACGCAGATGGGCTGGGGTCTCCTGGAAAAGACCCGTGGAAAACAAAGCGGGCTGTGTTCTCTAGAGGGTCTCAAGCGGTCTGTGTTGGGAGGACAGGAGTGTCCTGTGGAGGAGGCCGGCCCATCCTGGCCCAGGAGCCCAGGGGACCAGACCGCAATACTCCCCCAGATAAAAGGAACTGGAGAAGTGTCTAGGTGGGGGAGGATGGGGAATGAGAAAACTAAATGAAGAAAAATCATTTCAAAATAGAACAAGGAAGGCCAGACACAGTGGCTCACGCCTGTAATCCTAGCACTTTGGGAGGCCGAGGCGAGCGGATCATGAGGTCAGGAGTTCGAGACCAGCCTGACCAACATGGTGAAACCCCATCTCTACTAAAAATACAAAAATTAGCTGGGTGTGGTGGTGTGTGCCTGTAGTCCCAGCTACTTGGGAGGCTGAGGTAGAAGAATCGCTTGAACCCAGGAGGCGGAGGTTGCAGAGAGCCGAGATCGTGCCACTGCATTCCAGCCTGGGCAACAGAGTGAGACTCCATCTCGAAAAAAAAAAAATTCAATGAATAATTGGACCAACAAAGTGAAAATTCCTCTTCTCAGCTGCCTGGAGCTCCCTATGCTTCAATCCCACACTGCAGCCTTAAAGAGCACCCCACCGATCAAATAATCCTGGAACAGGGAGCTACTGGGCAAGGCCAGGGCTCAGCTAGGAGATGCTGTTCTCAGCATCCCCAAGCCCAGAGCCTGGGGCCCATTGTGGGGTCCAGCCCTAAGCATTGGGCTGCTCAGAAAATGTGTCTGGGGACAAGTGACTGCTCCTCCCTGAGACTCAGTTTCTTTTTTCTGAAATGGGCACAAGAAATCTCTCCCTCAAGACAGGAGGCGATGCCCACAGGCAGCTCAGTGCCTGGCATGCAGAAAGTGCTTAAGAACGGCTAGTTCCATCCCTGCCAGGCTCTGCCAGAGGAGGCGGCAGGCTCCCCAGAGGCAGGGACATAGGAGTGGCTTGGGGAATCTGGGCACAGTCCCTTCCTCAGGCAGTTCATGCTATGCTGTGCAAAACCAGTTGAGAGTTTTCACAGATTCAAGCTGAGGTTTGATGAACTCCTAAACAAGCCATCTCTAGTGGCCATTACTGGGCTCAGGTGCTAGCCCTAGCCTGTTGCTAGTTTGCTGTGTGACCCAGAAAAGCCCCACCTCCTCTCCAGGCCTCAGTCTCAGGCTCACATGGACACTGTCACACCATGTTATTAGACTTAACACCCGTGATCCATGGGCACAGGCCTGGCGGAGCTGGAGCCACATGGGGTGGGGCCGTGTCAGGTCATGGGAGCCGGGACAGGGGCTGAGCTGATGGCAGATAACTGAGCCCTCCTGAGGGATGATTTCTGACTCTGGGCTCTGTCTCTCACTAAGACATACACCTCCCTGGAAAGGGATAGCTCTGGGAGGGGAGTGGAGGCTCAGAGGTGTTGAGGGCTTGGTCTGAATCCCATAGCACCCTATTTATCCCAGGAATCAAAGGCTTTCAGGGAGAAAAGTTAAGTCATTAAAAAATAAGAGAGCAGAGCAGCCCCCGCAGGAGCAGTGAAAGCTGTTATCCTCCTTTTCCAAGGAAAGAAACAGGCTCAGGATGGTGGTGAACTGGCCTATGGTCACACAGCTAGGAAATGAGGGGCCAGAATTTGAGACCAAGTCAGCAGGACATCCATTTTTTTCACCACTACCTGTCACTGTTTTTCAGAAAGGGAATGAGCTCCCTGTCACCGGGAGTATACAAGTCAGGGCCCAGAGGAGCCTGCCAGGAAGGCTGCACACTGGGGCGTGGTGTTGGAGAAGACAGTGTCTAAAATCCCTCTTATCTGAGAGAACTCACTATCCCAGCAGAGCACCAGGGAGCCCGGGAGAAGCTGGCCTGGCTTAAGAAAGAGGAGGAAGCAGTAGTGGGGCCACCAGTCGCCCTGTCTCCCCAACTCCACAGGGCAGAGAGAGGGACGAGAGCAGCCATACACTAACCCTTGCTCTAGGCCACTCAACAGTTCATCCTGCAAATCCCCCAGTCCTGCCGCCTACTTCCCTAAATGAACCCGGGCAGGCCCACTCCCACCCCGCCTGCTGGAGAGAAGCCTGGGTTTCTATCAGAGCCATGTGTCTGCTCTCCTGTATCTGCTCCTGAGGAAGATGTCCGTAGGCAGGTTGGGGGCTGCCCTCCAGCCAGGCCTGGGGTCAGGCTTGGTGGGGAGGAGCTCCTGCCTGGGGCAGAAAATCTGGCCAACCACAGCTCTTGTGAAAAAGGGGCCAATGAACAAGCGGGAAGAAGCGCGCGCCATCACATGCTGCTGCCCTGCAGCCGGTTCAAGGTGCTCAGGAAGTGACTGAATCTCCGAAGCCAGCCCACCAGCTTCGTTCTGTTCCTCACCCATTTTACGGAGGGAGAAGCGAAGGCTCAGGGAGGGGAAATCAATGGCCCAAGGTCCAAGATCCAAGAGGAAGAGCCTGGATTCAGGCAAGGTCAGCTAAGCTCTAACACCCACAGGCAGGAAAAGGGTTGGCCCGAGGCACTGCAATCTTGGGGTCCTGAAGACCCCCTCAGAAGGAGGAATTAAAGTCTCTCACCTGAGCAGGTGGGAGAAATGCTCTGAGAGGTTAAGAAACCGGCCTGGGGTTCCACAGCTGGGAACCGGGGGTGCTGAGACTTGCCGTAGGCCCATCTGACCCCAGAGTCCTCATTCTTTTCACTGGGGCTGGTGGGCCCAGGTTCTAGTCAGCATCCTCACCAACAACAGAGGACGAGAGCCTCCCTTGCCTCTGGCCATGAACCCTCAGTGCTCATTCTTCCTCAGGTGGGCGGTGGGGGGGGGCGGCGCAGGAAAGCAGGCAAGGCCTTGCAGACCTCCAGGCCCATCCCCCTTGGCACATATGGGGAAACTGAGGCACAGAGAGCCACAAGGCCTTGCTAAGGGCACAGGGCAAACCAGGAGCTGATCAGGACTTGCCCAGAGTCAAGCTCTTTCACAGGCACGGTAGGTGCCTCTGTAGGTTCCCCACCCTCAGTCACCCCATCTAGGAGGTGGCGAAGGGCAGCCTGTTCGGCAGGAGACCCAGGGGGCTGATCTCACAGGTTGTGCATTCCTGACAAACCCAGTGGGGAGAGGGACTCATGTTCCTGATGCTCCCCTCCCGGCTGGGGAGACTTTGACATGGTTGGAAGTCTGGATTTCGGAGCCCAGTGAGTTGAGGGGATCTCAGCCTCGCACCTGAGGCAAGGCAGGGGGCTTGGGCCCATGCAGCTCACCCTCTAGGGAATCCAGCTTCCTGGGGCAGGAGGGGAGGTACAGAGGATCTGGATGGAGCCCGGCTGCCCTTGGGCCAGGGCCTGTTTGAAGAGACCCAGAGGACATGGACACCGGAGGGACCCTGCCGGGCCAGAGGAATGCCTTTTAATCTTCCCTCTTCCAGGCCGGCTGCTCAGGCCATCTGGTTTGGGGGAAATTGTAAAACCACTTGAAATCCAGCCAAGAGGAGAATAATAATCACAGATCACCCATATGGAGCTTGGGTATCAGGCCTGGGCTGCCGGCACTACCTGCATCATCTCTCTTTCTCTTTACAGTAAGGCTGCAGGGCCCCACGCCTGTATACCTATTGGTGGCAGACCATCCTGTCAACCCTCCCTGTGTGATTAAAAATAAGGCTGAATTCAGTATGCAAATGAGCCAGATTCCCTGGGTTCAAATCCCAGCTCTGCTACTTTTTAGCTGTGCAACTTGAGGTAAGGGACTCAACCTCTCTGTGCCTCTCTGGGAGTGGAGTGGAGGCTTGGAGGTGTTCAGAGCTTGGGCTGAATCACATAGCACCTAGTTTATCCCAGGAATCAAAGGCTTTCCGGGAGAAAGGTTAAGTAATCCAATAATAAAATCATAATAAATAAAATAAGAATACAATGGGAATGAGAATAGCACCTACATGACAGGGTAGTGTTGAGGATTAAATGAGTTAATGTGTGTGACAGACAGTGTCTGGCATAGAGTAAGTGCTGGCGATTACTCCGAGCGACGGTGCTCAGGACAGCCCTGTTTAAAACCCCATGCAGCCTCCCACTGCCCTTGGAATATAGCTGTGGCTTTTGAGGCCCTGCCTCGCTTGGTGCCTGCTAAGTCCCGGCCTCGTCCCTCTGTTGACCCTGAGGATCCCTAAACATCCACCTCCTGTATCACCTTCGGGCTTTCCCCTGCCAGTTCCCTGCTGGGAAGCTGGCATCAGCTCAAGCACTGCCCTCTCCTAAAGTCCTTCCTTTGTACCCTGCCCAGGTAGGGTCCTCCTCTGGGCTTCCAGTACCAGGCTGGTACTTCCTCCGTCCATGTGCTGATGACCTGTATTTTATCACCTGCGTCTGCCAAGTGGTTTGATTCACTTGTTGACTGACTCACAAGGGCAGGCAGGAGTCATGTCTGTCCTGTTCACCACAATACCTGCAGAGCCTCCAAGTGTCCACCACAGTAGGCGGACACACAGTAGGCGCTAAATAAGTGCTGGTTGAATACATGAATGAACAAAGAGCTGGTACCAGAGAGCCCGACTGTGCCTGGTGGATAGCAAGACTCAGACATGAGTTGGAAAGAGGGGTGGGGTCCCACCCGCAGAGCCAGGTCCAGGGTGAGCCTGGAACCTTGCCTCGTGCTGCAAAGGTCACAGATCCCAGAGCTGGGCTGGGGGCAGAGATCAGGCAGTCTCTGGCAGGTGGCCCTGTTCCAAGTGTGCCCTCTCCCACTGGCATCAGCCCCCAAGAGCTGGGCTTGACTTACCCGACGTCCCTTCGCTCCCCTCATGCCTGGTGGGCCTCGAGATCCTGGAGGACCCTGGGAAGAGGAGAAGGAGTTTGGAGAAGCCCCTTTTTAGGAAGTGAGAGCACATGGTGGGGCTGGGAGTGTGGGGCAAAGCTTGAAGGCCTGCAGCCCTCAGACAGGCATGTTCAGAAACTGCCAGGGCCCCAGCAGCCTCCACATGGCAGGACTGAGCACCTGGCTCATTGGGGAAAGCAGCAGGCGAGCCACAGCCTCAGACACAGCCAATGCCCTGGGCCATAGGGGGATGGGCCTCGACCTTTCCTAGGAGTCTGGGGAGTGGGGAGAAGGCTCCCTGCATAATATTTTCTTCTCCTTTTCCTCAAAATCAATAATGAGAAGATACGATGCCATTCATTCATTCATTTATGTATTTATTGAGAGAGGATCTCGCTCTGTGGCCTGGGCTGGAGTGCAGTGCACCCTTGAGCTCCGGGGCTCGAGTGATCCCCCCGCCTCAGCCTCCTGAGGAGCTAAGACTGCAGGCATGCACCACCATGCCCAGCTAATTTTCTCATTTTCGTGGAGACAGGGTCTCACTATGTTGCCCAGCCTGATGTCAAACTCCTAGACTCAAGTGATCCTCCTGCCTCAGCCTCCCAAAGTGCTGGGATTACAGGTGTGAGCCACTGTGTCATCTACAATGACATGTATAACAAAAGGTCTCCTCAAATCCTCGTCTACCTTTCTCTCCCCCATCACAAAGGCGAATCTGGTGACCCAAGTTCTGTCCCTCGCCTCCACCCTGACACCCAACATTTTCCTGAATATTTTCCCCCAGGGAAAAGAGGAGGAGGAGGAAGAACTGAGAACACAGGCCCGGGGTGAGCTTGGGAGGCAGAGGGGGCAGAGTGGGAGAGGATCAAGAAGGAGAGAAGGAGGGGGAGAGGCAGAGGCAGAGAAGTGGGTGGGGTGGCATGAGAGGGGAGCAAGGCCCAGCCACAGGCACATGCGCAGCCATCTCAGTTTTGATGAACAGACAAGAGGAGCAAGAGAGGCAGGTTGAGAAGGCGAGGAACCAGGGCCAGTTTAGTTCTTGGAATTCTCAGCACCTGGCCTGGCACAGGTGCACGACAGGCACTCAGGAATCTGTTGAATGATCAAGGAGCACACGAACTGAAGAGGGCAGAGGGCGGGAAGGGAGGGAACGCAGGAGAAGATGGGAAGCAAGCCACGCCTCTGCCTAATGTCTCCCCCGCCCCCACCCCAATTCCAGGCCCAGCTTAAGAGACCTCAAGCGGCAACTTCATCCAGCGGCCAGCCAGGACCCTCTGCCAGCTCCAGGAGCCTCCCAGCTCCTGCAGCGATTCTCGGACTGGGTGTGCTCCTTTTGCAAGGCAGAGCCAGCCTCGTCCCTCCTCTGAATACCAGGGAGAGGCCCAGCCCCATTTGGGGCCTCAGAATGAACTCTTGATGTTCCCATTTCCCTCTCCCCATGGCTTCCAGGGGTGGGAACCCAGCCGCTATCACCCGGCAGACCCTCCAACAGCTGCTGCGGAGGGGCTGGGTCCCAGGCTGACCGTTCGTCAGCAGAGCAAGCAGGGTGTGGACCCAGGCTTGGCCCCATAAAAGGCAGATCTGACTCCTGGATGGTGGAGAACACAAAGACTGGGTGAGAATGGGCCATTTTATAGAGTGATCTCAGAGCTCAGAAGGCATGCAATGCACCACTGGGAAATTTTGGGAGCCAAGTCTCTACATCAAGGCATAGATTCCTGAAAAGAGCAGGCTGTAGCACTGGAGAACCTGGGCTCACATGCCAGTTCAGTCACTTACTAATTGTGCCATTTTAGGCATGTTACTTCAACTCACTGGGCCTCAGTTTTGTCATCTATAAATGGGGATAGAAGAGTCCGTACCTCCTAGATATTCTAGAAGATGAAGTGACAAAGTCCTCAGGAAAAGGTAGCTGCCTGCTCTTGCAAGGCAGGAGGAGGTCAGAATTGAATGCTAGACCCAACTCTGGTCACTGGGTGACCCTGGGCAGGTCCCAGAGCCTCAACCCCAGCCCCAATAATGGGGATAATAATCTTGATGGATCTCAATGTGCTATCAGACAACATGGAGGTGAAAGTGATTGATAAAGTGGGAAAATGCCAATCAGGTGCGAATAACATCACCAGAAACGTCACTTTTAATGGTAGTAGCCTTACTAATAATAGTGGCAACTATTATCTCTAACAAATAGTTATTACCACTCATTAAGCCATAGTTACGCAGGAGGGTTACGAGGCCCCACATCATGCAGTGCACCATTTCTCATGACAATTTCATACTGCAGGTGGCATCATGCTGACTTACAAATGGGGAAACTGAGGGTCTGAGAAGCTATGAATGTTGCCAACAATCCCGCAGCTGGCAAGTCGGGGAGCCAGAATTTCACCCCCAGGTATCTGATTCTGAAGGTGGTTTTCTGGGCCTCTGTGTTAGCCAGCTTCCCCAGTGTTACTGGGGGCAGCTTGCTGGCCAGGAGGAACCCCAAGAGACCCAAGAGACCAGCCCCATACCATAGCAGACGGGGGCCATGGCAACCTTGGGATCAGAAAGCAGCAGCAAGTGACCGTCTGATTTCACCAAGCCTGAGCCAACCCACTGAACAGGGGGAAGCACTGAGGAGATGGGGCGGGATGGGAGGCGAGTGGAGCCAGGGGGGCGACGGATTCAGAAGAGGCCTCCGCCGCCTTCTCTGCATCGGCCTGAATATCCCCACTCTTTCCCCATCTCCCACCGGCCTTCCATTTTGTCCCAGTGACTCCTTTCCCGGCTTTCCTCCTCCCACTAGACAGATGGGGAGACTGAGGCCAGGACGGCTGAGGTTGAGGGGTGCCGGGGGTAGAACTTGATGATGTACCCCCAGCAACCTTGCACTCATGCTTCGGCCCTACTCTGAGCACCCCCCATGCTGAGGGCTCCAATCACTCCATCTCTGACCACTGGGAGGGATGCTGGGCCCTTGCATTCCAAGCTGGGTGCCTCGGCCAGCCGTGCCAGCCCCCCGACCAGAATGCTGGTCCTCTGACTCCCTGCTTCTACTCCAACAGTCCCACTTCCACATTGCCAGCTCCTCCAGCCCTGGGCCAGACATGACTTTTCCTTCTTCTCATGAGCAGGGCAAAAATATGTCACTGGGAGCCCAGAGTGCTGGCTTCTGCTTCCAACTGTGCTCCTCAAGAACGTTCCGACTTGTCCAAAGAACCATGAGGATGGACAGAGTCCCCCCGTGCTGGTGCCTTCTCCTCTGGATGACGGTCACCTATATCCAGGCCTCTCACCCTTGGACTAGTCCATCCCTCTCCCTCCTCAGCCCCTGGTGTGGCCTGGCACAGAGTAGGTGCTCGATAAAATCTGTTAATGATGGAGAAAATGTTTATACTTGACAGCCCCCTCTAGACAGTGAGAGTCTTAAGAGCTGGATCTCTTTCTTACCATTTTTGTACCTCCAGGGAGGAGCGTATGCTAGCACACAGTAGGTGCATGAAAAAGTGTAGGAGCTGAGTTGGCCTTGCTTCCCTAATCATAGTAGAGGACAGGTTTATGCGAGCTTCCCTTGGGTTCAAACCATGAAAGGCTTCCGGGTCCTTCCTCATCAGACCCCAGGGAACTCCTCAGTCTGGGCTTTGGAGACACCCAGGCAACCTGAGCTCATTGCTCCTCAACCCCGCCTCCGGATCTGTGCCTGGGCTGGTCCCTCTACCCCCACACCCTCCCCACCTCCCCGAAGCCTACCTCGGACTGGGTTCCCAGCCCTGAGCCCTGGCTTTGGCTGAAGCAAATGCCCTTTCCCAGTTTCCATCCTCCATTGGCAGAAACTGAGGGATCTGAAGCAGGTTCTACCTGCTCCAAATGAGAGCAACTCCACCTCTACCCTCTGCACATCACCCCTGGGGAGGAAAAGGGGCTCCTGAACTTGAGTGCTCCTGGCCGCACCCTTCCCCTAGCTCTCCCAGCCTCTCCCACCACTCTGCCTTGAGAGCCTTAGGAATATCCCTGCTTCCTCAGTCGTCACGAGAAGCCCAGGCCCCTGAGGACCCTCAGCTCTGTTTGTCCAGCATTTCTCATCTTCGTGCCTGCTTCTTCCATAACAGACATCACTTATTGGGTTCTATCTACCCTGCCCCCCATACCAGACTACACGCTCCAAAGGAAGGGCCCATTTTCTGCCTTTCCTGCTGCCACATCCCCAGCTCCTGGAACTGCCGAAACCCCACCTCTACTAAAAATACAAAAATTAGCTGGGTGTGGTGGCACACGCTTGTGATCCCAGCTACTAGGGGGGCTGAGGCATGAGAATCTCTTGAAACTGGGAGGTGGAGGTTGCAGTGAGTGGAGATTGAGCCCCTTCACCCAGCTCCTGAAACTCCTCACAAGCACTTATCGCTCAGCAACTGCAGAGTGAATGAGTGAATGGGCAAAAGCAATAATGCTGCTAATAACCAAAATGCTCCCAAGGAACAGACACCATTAGCCCCATGCTTCCATTTAACCCCACGATCACACTATCATGACCATGATTATTTTTTCTGTTTTTCAAATGAGCAAAATTCAGGCTCAGAGAAGTTAAATGATCTGCCCCAGGATTACAGTCAGAGAGTGGTGTAGCTGGGATTCTACCCAGGTCTGTCTGATTCTGAGGCTTGAACTCCTAACCCTTATTCTTTTTCCCTCTTCTCTTGTCTTCTTTCTCTTCTCTTCTCTTCTCTCTCTTCTCCTCCTTCCTTCCTTCCTTTCTCTTTCTTTCCCTTTCTGTCTTTCTTTCCTTCTTTCCTCCTTTCTTTTTCTTTTCTTTTCTTTTCCTTTCTTTCCTTTCTTCCTCCCCTCCCAGCCTCCCTCCCTCTTTTTTTCTCTTCCCTTCTTTTTTTTTTTTGAGACGGAGTCTCGCTATGTCGCCCAGGGTAGAGTGCAGTGGCCGGATCTCAGCTCACTGCAAGCTCCGCCTCCCGGGTTTTTACGCCATTCTCCTGCCTCAGCCTCCTGAGTAGCCGGGACTACAGGCGCCCACCACCTCGCCCGGCTAGTTTTTTGTATTTTTTAGTAGAGACGGGGTTTCACCGTGTTAGCCAGGATGGTCTCGAACTCCTGACCTCGTGATCCGCCCGTCTCGGCCTCCCAAAGTGCTGGGATTACAGGCTTGAGCCACCGCGCCCGGCCCTCTTCCCTTCTTTCTCTTTTCTTCCTTCCTTCCTTTTCTTTTCCTTTCTTTCCTTTCTTCCTCCCCTCCTGCCCTCCCTCCCTCTTTTTTTCCTCTTCCCTTCTTTCTCTTTCTTTCTTCCTTCCTTCCTTCTTTTCTTTTCCTTTCTTTCCTTTCTTCCTCCCCTCCTGCCCTCCCTCTCTCCTTCCTTTTCTTTTCTCTTCCCTTTCCCTTTCTCTTTCTCTCTTTCTTTCTTTTCTTTCTTTTCTTCCTTTCTTTCTTCCTCCCCTCCCTCTCTCTCTTTCTTTCTCCCCTCTTCCTTTCTTTCTTTCTTTCTTTCTTTCTTTCTTTCTTTCTTTCTTTCTTTCTTTCTTTCTTTCTCTCTCTCTCTCTCTCTCTCTCTCTCTCTGTCTCTCTCTCTTTCTTTCCTTTTTTGAGACAGGGTCTAGCTCTATCACACAGGCAGAGTGCAGAGGCACGATCTTGGCTCACTACAACTTCTGCCCCCTGGGTTCAAGCGATTCTTGTGCCTCAGCCTACTGAGTAGCTGGGATTACAGGCATGTGCCACCACACCCAGCGAATTTTTGTATTTTTAGTAGAGACAAGGTTTCGATCTTGAACTCCTGGCCTCAAGTGATTGGCCTCCCGAAGTACTGAGATGACAGGTGTTAGCCACCACACCCAGCCACCTAAACCTTATCTGACAGTGGTTTGAGCTTAGGGATCATGAGGGCTTTGCTTACCTGGGGTCCAGGTTCTCCAGGGGTCCCCATACCACCTGGCATTCCAGGATGACCCTGCCAAGAGAGAGAAGAAAAAGGAGGAATCAGCTATGGAAGGTGCCCCTTCCTCCTTCAGTCCCATCTCAGTCAACTCAGCCCCAGTATAAAGCCAGGAGGACAGCAGCTAGGCCTCCTGGACAAAGAGGGAGCTGGTCATTCTGAAGGTCCTGGGTAAGCGGTTGGTGGAGGACAGCAGAGCTGTCACTCAAGGCTGCAACAGGAGAGGGCAAGAGGATGCAGACTTACTCCTTACCATCGACCCCTTGGGTCCAGGCACGCCTGGGGGTCCCATCATGCCACGATCACCCTGTGATGGAGACAGCAATGCAGGCAGGTCACGGCTATGGCTGTGGGGTGGCTCTGTGGGAGGCAGGTGCAGAGGGCCATCCAGAGGCTCAAAGAGAGGTAGGGGTTTGCTCAAGGTCTCTAGAGGGTCCCTGCCTAGTTCACGGCCACATCACCCAGGTGGGGATCTGGGATTTCACTCAGAGGAAGCCAAGACCTCTGGCAAGCCCCGGAAGGCCTCAGCATCCCCTGTAGCGGGCCACGCAGTGAATTTCCCTCCAAGGATGGTCCTGATTAAGGAAGGTGCTAATTACATTGTCCCCTTTGATCCTGGCCCACATCATGTTGGTCCTTATTAGGCCTGGCATCCCCTGGGCTAGGCTTGCTGAGGCAGAAACCGCAAGAGAAGGGGTGTCTTTCACTCTCCTCACCCCCTTTCCAAACCTAGATGAGATGCTAGAGAATCAGAGACATAACTCATTCCCTCTCGAGCAATCCAGACACACTGGGCAGAGTTGGCAGAAGGTAGGTGCTCTGGGTTCGAATCTTGGCTCTGTTTTTATGAGGCCCTGTTTCTTGTATCTGCCCAGCCAGTAAATATTTATTGAGCACCTACTATGTGTCCAACACTATCTGCAAGACTCTGAATATACAGTGGTGAGCAGGCCTGCTCCCATGGAGCAAGGCACTCAGAGGGTTGTAGGAGACACAGTGCAGTGAGGGTGGGGGTCATGGTGCTAAGGTGTTATCACTGGGGGACTTGACCCATTGGGGGCAGAGCTGGTCAGGGAAAGCTTCCCTCGAGAAGTCGCTCTTGACCCAAGAGCTGAAGGATAATGAAGAGCATCTGAGCAAAAAGGGTGGAGGCAGATGGGGATGGGAAGAGTGCCTTTGGCCAAGGGAATGGCACAGGCAATGATTTGTAGGTGAGAAGGGACATGGGACATTTGAGCAACAGCAGAAGGCCAGAGTTGGCTTTGATGTTGCGCTATCATTATGTAAGATGCTACCACTGGAAAAAACAGGGTGAAGGGTACTATTTTTTGCAACTTCTTGTGAATCTGTCATTATTTCAAAAGAAAAAGTTAAATTTAAAATTTCAAGACAAAAAGTTGAATTTAAAAGGAGGAGGAGCAGAAGGGGAAGGAGGAGGAGGGGGAAGCGAGGGAGGAGGAGGGGGAGAAAGGCAGAGGCCTGAGGGTCTGGGCCACATAGAGTGATACAGTGAGGCACAAGAGGAGCCTGGAGAATTAGGCGGGGCCAGACTTGGGGGGATACTTCCTCCCTCTGGACCTCAGTTCCTCCATCTATTCAATGGGAATAATATTGGTTCTCCCAGAGGGCCTGCTCTGGGGATCGGATCAACCCATACAAAGGAAGGCAAGTGCCTCCAAGGCCCTTGGTGGGAGCTGGGAGCCAACAGGAGGCAGAGTGTCTTAGTGAGCAAAGCGTAACTAACCTTTGGCGATGAACCTGGTTCAAATCTGAGCACTGCCACTTATTATCTGGGTGACCTTGAGTAAGTCACCTCCCCTATTTGAGCTTCTGTTATCTCATCTAAAACAGAGGCTTAGCAAGGCAACTTCATCCTTCCTCTTTGTAAAAATGAATCTTTTCCTCCCTGCTCTCGTCCACCCCGGGCAGGGCCAGTGGGCAGCCGTGAGGAGCTCAGGTCACACGTATTCGCTGGTTGTCACACAAAAGTCTAACTGTGCTTGAGGCTGATGACAGGAGGGCAGGGATGGAACCCCAAGGGATGCCAAGAAAGGGAACAATGGCTCTTGGCAGGCTCAGAATGCCAGGTCAGGAGAGAGGCTAGGGGAGGGAAGTCTGAAATCCCCAGGTCAAAGGGCCTCTTCACCTTTTTAAAATTTCAAAACACAAGCTCTAATTGTTCATCTGATCCCCTCAATACCACTTACCTTTTCTCCCACGATTCCTGGCTCCCCGACCAGACCAATGAATCCCATAAATCCCTATGAGACACATTAACGAAAGCAAGAGAAACAACGTGAATCCGGGGACCCAGCCTGCCTGCTCCTTCCCTTGAAGCTCATCTCCCAGCGGTCTCCCGCCCGTGCCTGGTCACCCAGCCAGCATGCGGCTGTGCCGGGGAGAGCGCTGCCTCTCTCTGGGCACCATTCTGACTTCCCTCACTCCACCAGATGGTTCTGATTTTGAAGCCAAGCCGTGGGGCCGCTGCCAACATCCCTGGGAGCGCCACACATTCTTCCCGCGCCAGAAGCAGGCTGGGAGGCTGCCACGTTTGGAGAGCTGGGGTTGGGGCGGGGGGTGGCCCTTAAGCTGAGCTGGGAAGAGGCCATCTGTGCCCATCTTTCGGGGCTCTGGGGCTGTTTCAAAGAGTGAAACAAACCCTCTGGCTGGGATAGAAATACCGTAACAGCCTCCGCCAAGAGAACTGATTGGAATCAGGGAGGCGGAGGCCTCTTTACCGTCTTCTGAAAGGCCTTCTTGCCTGTTTCTGAAAGGGTGCACACACAGACACACGCTGTGGCTCCCGCTGCTCTGCTGAACTCCGCTGGGTGACAACTTGCCTCTGGGTTCCAGGGGGTCTTTCTAGGTGGCCCCAGCCCTTGCCATCTCCCTGAGCAGGCAAACACGCACACACGCAGCGAGGGTGGACAGCCAGGAGGGGTCACCGAGGAAGGCCCACCAATTTCTTATTCAGGCCCTACTTTCTTCCCTGCTAAGGAAAATGCAACTGAGTGGGGAGGGCCTTGTGTGGTTCAGGAGTGCAGAAGTGGCTTTGGAAGCACCCAGATTTGCAGCCAAGAGTGAATTAGGAAAGACGGAGGGATGAGTGGATTTCTTCCACAAAATCCGCTCCCCGTCCCCCAAACCCTGGCCAGAGTAGAATGAGACCTTGGGCCAGGAATAGGCCAGAGGTTGTGTACTCAGGCAATAAAGCCGGTCCAGCTGTCAGTCAACTACAGTGAGAGCGTTACCTCTGAGATCCACACTTTCTTATCTAAAGACAGTTTTAAAGTGGTCACTTCAGCAAGGGCCACACGTGTCTTGCTGCTGCAGCCTGGGACGGCAGCTCTGGTTGTGTGGCTCCAAAGACCATGCACCTTCCCCTCCAGCCCAAGGCCTCCAAAGCATGTGGCTGTGAACAGGGCCCAGATCTCCTGTACATCCCAGCACCACCCTGGCACTACACATGGTGGGTCCTGGGCCTGCCTCTAGTTCCCTGGGCTCAGAGACCTTTCTGAAGTATAAGGTAAGAGGGATGAGGTACTAGGTATGAGGTCACAGCTAACATGTCACAGAAAATAATCAAATATTTGATTTTTGCAATAACTTAATTTTTAAAAATTAATTAGAACATTTTCCAAGTGATAGCAATATTATAACAGCTTGAACATATTGAGCACTTCCTGTGTGCCAAGCCCTGTACCAGGCACTTTATGTCACTGTCATTCAGTCTTCAGGTGTGTGGGTTCTGGGCAAATCAGTCTCTCAGAGCCTCATCTGCAGAATGGGGGACAATAAAGGTACCTCCCTAACTCCTGGCGCTGTTCTGAATACGGGAGATGGCGCACGATGCGTAGAGGTACTTCATACATGTTCGCTCTTTCCCATCCCCTCTTAATTTATTTTACAAGGGCACAGGGGTAAGACAGAGGCCTGAGCTTCCCACAAGGGAGCAGTCAGACATTTAGAGGATGCCGAATGAAGGGAATAAAAACTGCTCTGTTAAAAGGCCCCTGCCTGATTGGCCCAAAGAAACAGAAATTTCATAGCTACTTTAAATTTATGAGATGTTGGGTCCTGGAAGGCAAGCAGGTCATAAACCTCAAACAAGAAGCCAAACAGGATCCTAATGAATAAGAGCCATACAGCTAGTGCCCCATCGCCCAACCCGCACCCCTGAGACCCCCCTTGGGGTACCGTCCCAGAACATCCTGGCAGGCCTGTTCTTGAGGCCGGTCCAGAGAGGCCAGGCCCCGAAGTCCAGGCAGGTCAACGGAGAAGCAGCTCTGAAAGCTGCGGGCATGGCTGGCTCCTCTCAGGTTGGCAAGGCGGGCACAGGAGGAGGCAGCATTGTTGCCCACAGCGGGCACTGCACAGGCGGGATCCGGGTCCCCAGTTTTGGGGAGGAGGCTAGCCTGGTCCTCACATTGCCTACAGATAAAGGGCCATTGTCTGCTATGGGAGGTTTTCTTTCTCCTCTCATATGCTAGGCCTTGGGGATACAACTGAGAATGAAAGGGCTATGGATGCTGAGCTGCACTAGACAGCTCAGTGTGATGTGTTTACATGCGTGGCTGCCCCTGGACGGGGCGTCTTGAAGGCAAGACCCATGCCCCGTCCCCAGCACCTCAACCAGGGCCTGGCAAGCAGTCTGTGCTCTGTTAGAGACATGCCAGGGCTCAGGAAGTCAGCGAGTTTTCAGCCCTCGAGGCAGGCATTGGGAACCGAGCAGACCTCAGTGTCAGTCTTGCCTCTGACAGTGATGTTACTGCCTGTGAGATCTTGGACAAGTTACTTAACTTCCCAGAGCCTCAGTTTCCTCATTTGCAAAATGAGGATAGTAATACTGACTGCCATAGACGATTGCGTAGATAGCATTTGGCACACAGTCTGGTACCTAACAGGTGACTAATGAATGTCACTGTTATTGGGTCGTTGCAAAAGTAATCCCAGTTTTTGCCATTATAATGGTAAAAACTGTGATTACTTTTGCACCAACTCAATACTATGATTACAAGGAGGTCCCGTGGTGTGAGCTTCAGAACTTTCCCAGGGATCCTCTGATTCTGCAGTGAACAGAAAATGCCTGCCCTTTCACTGTGACCACATGGGGTGGGGGCCAAGGGAATGGCTGGCATGGTACCTCCATGTGCCTTACAGCAGCCACAGGGTTCCAGCTCTGCCTCCTTCCTGCTACTGTCCAAGCTGCCTGGGCAGCAAGCTGGGCGCTCTGCTGACCAAATGAGCCTGGGCTGCTCCAGGCGAGGTTCCCACCCCTCCTGGGCCTGGTTCTGCCACTATCCCACTTGGTGATCTTGGTCAAACCTGCTTCTCCTCCATAAATCCCAGATTGCCAACATGGAATCGAATCTGGGGGTTCTAAACCTGGGGTCTCTGTCAGACTTTATGAACAGAATTCAGAGGGTATATCAACTTGAATGGAAAAAAATTAAAACTCTTATTTTCATGAACCTCTAATTGAAATTTACATGTGCCTCAAATATGAGTGTAGGCAACAAACCACAGTAGTATTACAAGGACCTGGGACTGTCCCAGAAAGTGACATGTCACATTACCATCAAAATACATCACTAAGGCTTGGCATTACTTTAAAATTGAGGCCGCTGTTACACTTGCTGCTAGAACTCATTATTTAATGCATTGCCAAAGAAGCATATATATGACTATATTAAATGTTAACATATTTTCATAATTGCATTTCTATATAATCAGTTTCCTTTGTTTTTAATTTTAGGCATTTACAAACTCTATTCTGAGAAGGGGATCCTTGGGCTTTTCCAGCCTGGCAGAGAAATCCAAGGCACAAAAAATGGTTAGGACTCTTAGATACAGTGATTTCCAAGGATGTTTGTGTTCTGACTTCCAAGACCCTGCATATCTATTTCCCGAGGGCCCTACCATTAGCATAACTATGAAATTGAATTTGCTGATCAAATTGCCCTTTTTTTTTTTTTTTTTTTCCAATCAGGAAATATATCCAGGCCACGGCAGCCTTTCCAAACTCCTGGGCTTCCCACAGAATGCGCTCGAATGTCACTGGAAAGAGTTCAAAAATCCAGGCCTCCCCCTGCTTTAATTCCTTTCTTCCCCCAACAGATGTTGCAGGCCTGGTGAGGAAGCCCATCGTGTGTGACTCTCACGCCACTGACAGGGTTTCGCAGTGCGGCCAAATCCCTCTATGGCCATCCCGAGCATCAGTCGTTCCAGCTTGAGGAAGCCCCTTCCAGAAATGAGCTCCATATTTAAAGGAGTGGAGGAGATGAACACCTCTCCACCTCTGAGCCCTGAGGTTAAGCTTTCAGGAGGCCCCAGGGCTGGGCAGGAAGGACTGAAGCTGTCCGTCCGCCCATCACTCAGAGCTGTTTCTCTGGACTTTAATTGAAGGTCGTGATCCTCAAACCTCCATTTTAATGACTAGCTGCAACCTCTTCTCTTCTTCAGACCTTGACCAACCAGCCAGAGCCACTGGTTTGGATTTCATCTTCTATATAATTTAGGGATGCCTAGACCAACGGCCTTTGGCAAGTGGTAACACTTCTCTGGCCTTTGGCTTCCTGATCTATAAGCTGATGGGAACACGAGCAACGACTGCCAAGGGCTCCTCCAGTTTTAACGTCCTGGGGGAGCAGTCACATAACCTCTTTGGGCAAATGCACCAAAAACCTGTGTGTAGAGTCAGGCTGTGGGAAAAAGCTGTCATGACTCTGATCTACGCCTTTCTCATTTAGAGGCTTCCCTGCTCTGAGGGTCACCGTCCACATCCATCAAAGGGGTAGAGGACTGAACCTTCCTCGGGAGTTGTTCTGAGAATTACACGAGGTGGTGCCTGGAGGGTGCTGGGCAAAGGGCTTGGCACAGAATAAGGGCCCAAGAAAATGGAGCCACTCATTCAGAGACCGTTGCTAACTAACCTGCTCTCCCACAGGCCCTGGCCGACCAGGATCTCCCGGTTCCCCCTGCAAAGAGACAAAGAGGAGGATGGATTAGGATGGGAGATGAAAGTCTAGACCTCCTGGGGAAGTCCCAGGCCTGCTGGCCTTAGTTGCCATTGGTGGGGATGAACCAGGGATCTTATCTCCAGTGTGTGGTCTTGGAGACCCCCAACAAATGGGGCAGAGTCAAAGGGGTACTTGGACAGAACCTCAAGCAGACATGACTCTAGTCACCCACTCCCTCTGAGGGGGCCTTGGCTTACTCAGCACCCAGATGTATATGTCTCATCTAGGTCCTTCAGAAGCCCACTGCATTTTGTGGAGGTGGAAAATGAGGCCCAGAGAGGTGAAGTGACCTGCCTGAGGTCACACAGTGAGCCAGAAGTAGGGCTACAACCGAAACCTTGGTCTGCCCGGTTGAAATGCACATTCCAAGCCAGATGCGGTGGCTCATGCCTGTAATCCCAGCACTTTGGGAGCCCGAGGTGGGCAGATCACCTGAGGTCAGGAGTTTGAGAACAGCCTGGCCAACATGGAGAAACCCCGTCTCTACCAAAAATACAAAAATTAGCTGGGTGTGGTGCTGCATGCCTGTAATCCCAGCTACTTGGGAGGCTGAGGCAGGAGAATTGCTTGAACCCAGGAGGTGGAGGTTGCAGTGAGCCGAGATTGCACCACTGTACTCCAGCCTAGGTGACAAGAGAGAGACTATCAAAAAAAAAAAAAAAAAAAAGAAATGCATATTCCCACTGCATCAGGCTGTCCTATCACAGGAAGAGCAGGGACATGGGACGTCAGGGCACCAGGGTCCTAGACCTCAGCACACCAGAGCTCTGCTACCAGCTCACAGGTGGCTGGGGTGAGTCCCGTCTCTGCTCTGGGCTCAGCTGCCCCAGGTATAAAGAAGGGAAATCAGACTCATTTGTCTTCAAGGCTCTGTCCCACTTTCACATTGGGTGGCCTATCTCGGCCTTGTCTGTCTGTTTTGTCCCATGCTGAGGTGGCTCCTGCTCCTCAGGCGGCCACAGCGCCCCGGTCTCCCCACAGCAGACCTGTGGGATAAATCCACACAAGCGATGTCACCACTCCCACCACAGAAACCCAACTGGTATCTGAGGGAGAGAGGCCGAAACCTCAGACGGCAGGACATGAGCTCGGGACTAGCCAGGAGTTTGGCGCATACAGGGATGTGGCTTACTGCGAGCCTGGGTGGAGCCTCCTCCCCCTTCAGCTCCTCTCCAGACCTCATGAAAACTGGAGGGGCCAGGACAGATGCGTGGGCCATTTCCCCAGAAGGGAAGTAGCTGTGGATGACCTGGGCTCCCCCGGCTCTATCCTAACCTCCTGTGGGTTTGCCCATCTGTAATCTTGACCCGATAATCTTTTGCCCAGAATGGCTAGGAAACTCCAACTCAAGGAGAGTCCTTGGAAAACTATTAAGTGAGGCTGCCCATGGGCTGAGGATCATTACTGTCCCACCTTGGGCCAGGTCTTTTTTGATAATATTTTTTTAAAACCCTATTAATATATGTACTATCTATTTACTATGCAGAATAGGGAAAATATAGAGGTCCACAGAAGAAAATGAAAATCTCCTATTGTCCCACCACCCAGAGATAATCCCTGTCCACTTTCTAGCCTCTGCTCTATGCGTAAAGAAACAGGGTGCCATGTTGGCCAGGATGGTCTCAATTTCTTGACCTCATGATCTGCCTGCCTCAGCCTCCCGAAGTGCTGGGATTACAGGTGTGAGCCACCGCACCCGGCCAGCATGGTGAAACTCTGTCTCTACTAAAAACACAAAAAATCAGCTGGGTGTGGTGGCGCACGCCTGTAGTCCCAGCTACTCAGGAGGCTGAGGCAGGAGGACCGGTTGAACCTGGGAGGTGGAGGTTGCAGTGAGCCGAGATCGCACCACTGCACTTCAGCCTGCAACAGAGCAACTCCGTCTCAAAAAAAAAAAAAAAAAAAAAAAAAAAAAAAAAAAAGAGAGAAAAGAAAATAAAAAGAAATGGTGCAACCCAGCCCCTGCTACAGGCTCACACTTGAGTATTTCCTTTTATAACCTGTTTCCTCCACCACCCCCACCCCACATTCAGACATCTTCCCATCTTGTAAAATAGCCCAAAACACCATCTAGGGTGGCTGCACTATATCCCACTACTTGAACAATCCCCCACAGTTGGACACTTAGGTTATGTCCATTTTTTTCATCTTTTACCAATACTTTGTTCTAAATGGGGACCAATTTTTTTCTCCCTTTTCACAACTGGTCATGGGATTTAGGGTTTGAATTGGGGCCTGAATATGTAGGACCCCCTCTTTCCTCTTGTCCCAAAGGATCTCCAGGTCCCCTTACCTTCACGCCATCCAGGCCGGGCCTCCCAGGAAAGCCCTTCCTGCCAGGCTGACCCTGCAACAGAGAGAGAGGTAAGTGGGAGAAGCTGGGCAGGGGCAACATTGCTGGGGTCCAGGAGCCCCAAGGACCTGGCATAGGGTCCTGTATGTGGCTGTAGAGCCACATACCCTGGTGGCCAGGGGCATAGAACCCTGAGTCCACCAGGTGGCCAGCCGTCCTGGAATGTAGGCAGGGTTTCCAGCTGCGTGAACTCCGGGAAGCCTCCCCCATCCCTGGGCTGGTCTTCCTGTTGTAAATGAGGATGATGACACCTGCCTTCAGGGAGTGAGGGAAAGGAAGGAACTTGGCAGATGATAGGGGGCACAGGGAAGGGAATGGTTTATGCAAGTGGTCCTCAAAGTGTGGCCTGAGGACTCCAGGGGTCCCTGAGACCCTTTCAGAAAGTTCACGAGGTCAAAATGATTTTCATAATAACACTAAGATGTCATTCGCCTTTGTCACTGTCACTCTCGTGAAAGTAAGTGGCATCATCCCGAGGCTGCATGGTGTGCGATATTGTCAGTGGGCTGAATGCAGAAGCAGAGCTGAGAAGCCAGCTGACTTCTATGAAGCCAGACATTAAAGAGATCTGCAAAAATGGTAACACAACGCCACTCTTTCCACTCAATTATTTTGCTATGGAAAATAGAGTGAATTCTCCTAAACATATTATTTTTATTAACAGGAAATGAGCTTATGATTAATCCTCAATGAATGAATAAATACATTTAAAGTCTCTTGGTTTTAATTACTAATCTCAGTAGATGCAACCCACACAAACAAAGGTCTTTGGGTCCTCCATCATTTTTAAGAGTGTAAAAATCTCTGGATACCAGAAACTTCATGAACTGCTGGTTTATGCAATGGCTGGGATCAAAGGGGGTGTGGGACAAGTGACTTCGGAAAGGCAGCTTGGAAGAGTGCAGAGGGCTCGGGCTAAGGGCCCAGGCAGGGCGTCCCCACTGCCTGGCTGTGAGATGTTGAGCTAAAGCCTTCACTCTCGTTTGCCTCTTCTCTAATGAAACCAAGGAAAGCAATCCTGTGTCATGGGAGAATCAAGGAGAATAAATACTGACATGAAGCACCTGGCATATAGGGGGTGGGCGGTGACAGTCAGTTTCCTGGCTCTTGTCCCTCTCCTTTGGGTCTGTCTTAGTTCTCTCTCTGGCTGGTACAAGGCCCTCACTGATGACTTCCCTCTGGAGCACTGACCACATTGCCCTGCCTGTGCACAGCTGGCTCAGCTCCCATGAATGCCACCTACCCCAGGCCAGTGATACTCACCTCCAAGCCAGGGGCCCCTGGTGGCCCCATGGGTCCCTCATCTCCCTAGAATTGGGAGACACGAGAGAGGAAAAAAGGAGAAAGTTAATCCAGTTGGACTTGCAGAGATCTTGTCCTGTATGGAGGGAAAAGGATGGACGGAGGAGAGCCCTCCTGGACAAAGAGAAACAGTATCCCTGGCCCACTTGCCTGTCCCCACTCAGGGCAGAGGCTCCACTGGCCATGGCCTAAAGGCCAGGCTACACAGTGACTTCCAGTGAATGGCGACTCCATGGAAGTCCTGGGCATCACAGTTAAACCCCATTGTGTGCTGTGAGGAACAGAGCCTCAAACTGCAGTTCAAAGACATAGGCTCTGAGTTTTGCCATTTGCTCAGTGGCAGACCTCAGCCTCGCTGTGTTTCAGTTTCCCAGAGTGGAGAAGATCATCCTCAAGTATAGTAAGTGGCTTCAGCTGAGCTCCTGGAGCTCAGCAATGATGCCTTATTCTTTCTTGCAGCCACCCCCAAGCATCACTCGGGATGGTGCCGTGTCTAGGGGGTGTTTGGTGAATGAATGAATGAATGAATGAAGACGTGAACAAGTAGCAGGCATACATCTTGAGTGGTAATGTGAGTATATACAGAAGCACGTGGCTGGTGCCGTTCCCTCCTCTCCCCTACTTTCCCGCTTCTGGCCCATGAGACTCTCCTGGTCCCCCCCAATCCCCACAGGCTCAGGGAGCCTCCGAATTGGCTCCTTCTGGTATGCCAGGCCTGACCAAGGGGCTCCCTCCAGAGCCACTCCCCAGCTCCTTTCCCCCAGCTTCCAGGAAAGCAACTCCACGTGGTGGCTCCCAGAGCCAGCGCTGGGACCCCGCCAGACCCAGAGCCAGCCCAAGAAGGGATCCATGTCAGCTGGATGCCCGCCTGCGGTTGCGGTAAATCTGGGCTTCCCGCACCCTCAGCCCAGGGCTGTGTGTCACGGGGGCCTGGCGCCTGAGCTAAGGTAAGTGGGGCACAGGAAGGCTAAGGATGGCCTCATGCACAGCCCAAAATCAGGGGCCCACCCATTTAGTGTCCACCTGGTGCTCCAACAGCCCCATAGAGACCCTTCCCAACCCACTTCATCAAGTGCACATAAATAAGCAGATCGATGCTCTGCCACTCACTAACTGTGCAAGTCAATGTAACATTCTGGAGGTGCCCCCAGGCCACTCCCAGGAAGCACAGTTGACAGCACAGGACGTATGTCATGGGCTTTGGGTTCAAGCAGACCCGGGTTCCCATTGTGGCCCTGCCTGCTACTAACCATAAGACCTGACTGAGTCTCTTTTCCTCTCTGGGCCTCAGTGGCTTCATCTGTAAAATGGGGCTGATAATTCCTACTCCCCCATTAATGTCCTCATAAACTGCTACTGTGAGCATGGCATTGGCAGTAGTTCTGGGAAAGAAAACTCCAGGGTGATGAGGGTGCAGTGGAGGGAGGGTGCGGGGAAGCCACCCTGCCAGGTGACAGAAGGTCCTGAGTCTGGGGAAGCCCTGGGTGGTGTCCTGGCTGAGGGGGCTCCAGCCCCAGCTAAGGCCTTCAGTACCCAGGACAGGGCAGGCTGGGGGCTGCAATCAGGCCAGGATGGGCAGTGGAGCGGGGCCAGACAGTCTCACCTCGGGCCCCAGCTGCCCACGGGGTCCCGGCAGGCCTCGGGCTCCAGGCTTACCCTGGGGAGAAGGGAACAAAAAGGGAGAATCAGAGGCGGCACCTCCATCTCCATCACAGGCTGGCAAGGCACCCCCTGCTTCCAAGGCAGACAGCCAGCCCTTGAGGCCTGTGGTTTCTGCAGAGCTGTCTGCTCCTCCAACTGGAGCTGCCCTGGGCAGGTACTTACCTTCATGCCTTCTGGGCCGTTGTCACCAGGGGGGCCGATGTCTCCTGGGAATCCCTGAGGGGAAGCAGAGAGCAGGGTCACCCACAGAGGCTATGAAGGGAGTGCTACAGGTATGCATCTTGCAGGGGGACTGACTGGGTTTCCATCTTCTCCTGCTGGGATGGGACCCCAGGCAGGTCAGTTAACCACCTTGATCCTACAGTCCTCAGTTCTAAAACAGGGTGCGTGGTTCCAGCCCTGACACCTCAGAGAGTTGCTGAGACAATACACCGAATGGTGCAGGAAAGCATTAAGGTTGTGACACAGAAGGTCACACTCAAGGTCATTATTTCTCAAATCCGGTGCTGCTACCGGGTCAGAATTATGGGTGTCTGGGGACATTGTTCCCCAGAGGCAGCCATGCCTTGCCCTGAGAAGTCTTGTCTTTTGACTGCAGTAATCCTGCAGAGAGGATGATTTTCTGGGTTTGCTGTGACTTTGAAAGCATTGAAAAGCGCTGATTTAATTAACGTCAGCTCCAGTCTTTGTAAGCTGAAGTCCTTCCTACATCTTGGCCACATGTGTTAGACTCTGCCCCACTCTACCCATGGGGGCTCCCTGCTTCCCGATGAGGGCTATTCTCCTAGGATGACTGTACAATAGAAGGTTCTTCCCGCACAGAGCGGAATCACCTCCCTTCCCTGCAATATCCTCGTGCTCCTCCTTAGGGTCCCACAGAGCACAGGGACTCCCTCTCCCCACAGTGGTCTTTGCACAATTTGGAGACCTGTTACGCGGTTCCCAGAGCCCTGCCCTCCTCCTGTGCGACCCTGAGCAAGTTCCTTAGCCTCTCTGGGCCTCAGCTTCCTTATCTGTAAAATGGTGCCTGTAACACCTCCCTTCCAGGGCTGTTCTTAAGTTTAAATGGAACCGGCAAAGTTGCAAGTGCTCAGTAAAAACTGCATCCAAAATGATTTTGGGTCCTGTACCCTGGGAAAAGAACTCTGCCTGGGGTGGGCCCATCTCTAAGTGAGGCCTTGGTAGTCAGGATGCTGAGCAAATCCTGATGCTCACTCGCATCTGACCCATTGATGAGTGAGAGATGATTTGCCCGGGTGCTGGAGAGCTGGAGCTCCCTCCCATGGTCTCTGGGAAAGAAGCAGGCAGGGTGCTGACGCGCTTATCAGCTTCCGCCTTCAGCTGAGCAGAGCTATCTCCCGGCTACGGAGTTGGCCAATCAAAACAGAACACAAAGATGGGAGAGGCTAATGGCTAAATTGTCCAGGGACCCAGGAGAGGGCCAAAGCAGACCTTATTTGCTCTTACATAGCAGAGCGACCCTGAGGAAGCCACTCTCCTGCTCTGTGACTCAGTTTCTTCAACTGTAAACTGGTTGTAGTAATATCTCCCTCATGTGCCTCTGTGGTGATTCAGAAAGTTCTCATCTCGAGGACACTACACAGCCTCCTGGCACCAGGAGGTGCCTAATAAATGTGAGGCAGCATGCCTTCCACCCTCATGGGCCAGAATGCTGGGAAAGCCGGACTCTCAGAAAAGCCTTTTTCCAGTGACCAGAGGAGGGAACTGGGGCCATGGAAAAGAGGCCAAGTCCATTTGTCTAAAGATAGGACTGTGTGGTGGCCAAAGTCAACACAGTGGAAAGTCAGAACTTGTAGCTTTTAGGAAACATTTCCTCATCCATCCGAGTGATAGCAGAAGTGATCCTTGGAAGGGTCCGGCCTATCCACAGAGCCACACTTTTGTCTTGGATGCAGAGACCTCATGGGTGAGCAAGACCTGGAGGCCAGTGATTTGTGGGTGGGGGGGCTCCAACTGGGGTTGGCCTAGGTGCCGATGATCCTGAGAGGGTCAACAGCCCTGGCTCCTGCTCAGCCCAGCTTTCTAGACACGAGACGCATGCTAAAGGGAGTGGGGGTAAAGAGAACCTGGCCAGCTTGCTTCGCTCCATTACGTGTGAATTCCGAGTTGATCATTCAGGTGTAGCCTACCTGTGCCAATGATCACACATATCGGAAACCCTCAGGGTCTCTCCTTACTCAACTAGAGTTATTATATGAATTGCTAAATCTATCCTTATTTCTCATTCTTCATTCAAAAGTCCGAATTTTCATTTACCTCTTGCTCCCCATACCGGGAAGCTCTGAGCCCTGAATCGTTCCAGAGTGGCTGTGGGTGGTTAAGAAAGTTCCAGGGCTTGGAGAGGGAACTCTAAGTGGAGAATGTGGGAAGCTCCTGTGAGGGGCCCAGACAGTGGCGCACAGAGGGCTTTCATGAATCACAAAGCTGCGGTGGCCACAAAGTTGGCAGAGGACTCTGAGGCCAGCTTTTTGTCCCTGTTGACTTTTGAGAGCCCCTGGGTAAGAGCAGAAGAGCAGAAAAGGAAAATAAATGATTGCTGATCTAGGAATTTCTCCTCTCAGCCTCATCTCTCATATCCTGCATGACCTAAAGCAAGTCTTTCCCCGTCTCTGGGCCTCAGTTTCCCAGGGACGAGACCGAGTCCCAGCTGCAGCCAGACACAGAGAAATGGGGCATCACATACCTCGGGTCCAGGGGGCCCGGGAAACCCAATGGATCCTTTGTCTCCAACTTTGCCCTGTGGAAGAGAAAAGGTTGCAGGGAGGCAGGGGTGAGGGCCCCACCTTCCATGAACCCCCCGCGTTACCCCCCTGGCTGTGGGTAGTTGGAAAGTTCAGGAGCATGTGCATAAAATCTGCCTGGACAACTAGAAGGAGCTACCATTCAAACTCTACCTCCTGCACTTACTAACCATGGGACCCTGGGCAAGTCACTTCAACCTTCGGAATCTTAGTTTGCCCATCTGCAAAAAGGGAACAATATTAATTCCCTAACTCCTGGGGTAGTGGGCAGCCTTCAAAGAAACAAAGTTCAGAAAGACACACAGCGACACTCAATAAATGACAGCCATTGCTGTTATTGATAACATCACTACCGTTTACAAGACATCAGGAACCCCAGATCCTCATCAGGGTTTTGTCGGCGAATGAGGCCTGCCTCTGAAGCTGGCTGAGTTACTGAGCCTCTCACAGCGTCCTCATCTGTGAAATGAGCAGATCCCATTCCTGCCCTGCCCTGCCCTGCCCTGCTGCCCCCAGGAGCTCTGCTGCAGGAGGAAATGAGGTCTTGGAGGTGAAGGTGTCCCCGGCCACGTTCCATGATCAGTCAGAAAGTGTGAGATTTGAGGGTGCTGGAGGAGCAGGTACTTACCAGAGGCCCTGGCTTCCCCCGTGCGCCGGGGAACCCTGGCAACCCCTGGCTCCCCTGGAAGAGATCCAGAGCAGGCTGGGGTTAGTGAGGAAGAGAAATGGCCAGGTGAACAGCCGCCCAGTCCTCCTGCTGGTCCCAGGCCCAGAGAATGCCCGCCTTGGAGGAGGATGAGCTCCTCCTTCCTTCCTTTCCCTGCTGCGGGCTCGACTTGGATCACACCTGCCTGACACCCCTATAGGCTGGGCCCCAGGAAATGCTAATGAGAAACAGCAGCCCCTGTCCTCACCAGGAAGAATCAGGGACCCTGAGGCTGCATGCAGGCTCCGCAGTGCCTCTGACGCCTGGGGAACTGTGGAGACTGGGTCCAGTAGCGGAAGAGCCAGGCCTGCTGTGGTTCACAACCCGGAGATACCAAGGCTGGGTCAGGACAGGCCAGTGAGGAGGGAGGGAGAGGAAGAGGGAGAGCTGGCCAACATCTGGGCCTCATTGACTGGCCGGGAGAGTTCCAGATGTGGCCACATGATGCCAGACACAGGCAAAGGGGAGCAAGTCTCAGCAGGCCCACAGCTGTGCTCTGGAAGTCAAGGCCACCTCAGTTTGATCCCGTAGTCAGTATGTCATTTTGTAAGGCCAGTTACCTTATCCTAAATATTCATGATCAAGGGCAGGACCCTGAGCCCAGCTCCATCAGGGCAGTCTGCAGCCTTGTTCTCAGGGAACTCACTGTCCGGGGGGGACTCAGCACAAGTCACCCAAAATCAGAGGAGAAGGATGGCACCACCAGCGAGGGGAGGACATGCCTCTCAGGGCACTTAGAGAGGGAAATGGCCACTTTCTGAGCAGCTGGGGAGATGGCCTCTGAGCAGGGTGGCGTGGAGAGGCTGGGTGGAGGGGTCCCAGGCGGGTAGCAGTCTGTGTGTGTGTACAGAAGCGCACAGCAGGCGGTTCGGTGGGGCTGGAGTGCAGGGCTGTAAAGGGGACAGCAGGAGTGTATCAGAGAGATGCACTCACTGGGGTCCTGATGTCTGGTTAGGGAGCCAGGGTGCCATTCTGAGAGCAATAGAGAGCCATGGATGGTGTGTGAGCGGAGAGCACAGCTTTGCCCTCAGAAGAACAATTGGGTAGCAGTAAGAAAGAAAGAGAGAAAGCAAGAGGCTGGGGCCCAGAAATAAGTTAAAAGGTCACTGTAAAGTCGAAGGAAGAGATGACAAGTGGATCAAGGATGGAGAAGACTGGATTATTTCAAAGGCAGCCGTCTCACAGGTGGGTCCTGGCTCATGATGGGCCCTAGGAAGGAAGCCAGGACCAGGGAACAGCAAGGCAGGGGCAGGGGCAGGGGGAGGGGAAAATCTGATGCAATTACCTTGTCTCCTTGGAATCCGGGATCTCCCGACACACCTGGAACCCCTTGTTCACCCTAAGTACACACCAGCAAAGAAGGTTACAATGGAGACCACATGGGCTCTGGAAGCCTCCCCCACAGACCCCCTGGCGAGGTACAGCTGTGCCGAGGCTGTTTCCCAAGTCCGATCCAGCCAGCAGCAGCCTTGTGAAAGGAAAGGACGGGCCCCTGGCGAGGAAAGCAGGCGGTGGCGGGGGGAGGTGAGCTGGCCGATGTGCAGACTTGCCTGGGGCTGCTGGGATGGCTGGAAACGCCACTAACAGAAGCTAAGCTGCCCACTGCCCAGTGTCAACTGGCCTTGCCTGGGGAACTGACGCAGAGCAAATGAAGTGTTTGATCCTTCAGCCTCTTCATCATCAACTGGTATTGTCACACAGGGGTGAGGGCAGCGTGTGCAAGGGCCTCACACCAGTGTGGGTTCGGAGTGTTTGCGTCTGCTGTTTGATATTTTTCACCATCAGACTGAGCTGTCACTTCCTCCTCCTGTGGGGGTTTCTGTGCTAGCAAGCAGCTTTGGTCTTTTTTTTTTTTTTTTTTTGAGATGGAGTCTCACTCTGGTTGACCAGTTTGGAGAGTAGTGGTGCGATCTTGGCTCTCTGCAGCTTCGACCTCCTGGACTCAGGTGATTCTCCCACCTCAGCCTCCCCAGTAGCTGGGACTACAGGCGCGTGCCACCACGCCCAGCTAATTTTTATTTTATTTTATTTATTTATTTTTAGTAAAGATGGGGTTTCACCATGTTGCCCAAGCTGGTCTTGAACTCCTGGACTCAGATGATCCGCCCGCCTCAGCCTCCCAAAATGCTGGGATTACAGGCGTGAGCCACTGTGCCCGGCCGATCTACTTCTAATTAACTATTTTAATCAGCTATAGCATGGGAAATCAGATTTCCTGGCTTGTTAAGACTATGTGTAAACAGCGAGTAAATTGGTCTTGACTTAAGTCTGGGTGTTTGTCTTCTAACACGAGGTACTGCACAGGCTTAGTGACACTGATTCTGGCTGCTGGAGGCCTCTTCTCCTCCCTCCCTATTTTTAGCCATGTTCTGAATGGGCAGTCCAGATTGGGAGCTGCTTCCCCTTAGGGCGGGAACCACCTCACACGGCCCTCACCTCACCCTATCCAGCCCTCCACGTTGGACATTACTGACACGCTGTCGGCCCCAGGATTCAAAATACATTTACAACCCTGGGAGCAGGAGAAAGAATGGGGAGAAAAATCCGGGAAAATGGAGAACCTTAGAAAACCCACACATGGCTAAGGCCATGACCTAACAAAAGAACTTCCTTAATAGAACAAAAATCAGAATTTTAAAAAAAAAAAAAAAAAAAATTTTTTTTGAACTTACTTTGTTTTTTCCAATTTGGAAAATCCTGTACAACATCCTGGTGTTTGGGGAACCACAGGACTTTTTTTTTTTTTTCTTTTTTTTTTTTTAAATGTCCAAGAGAGGAGTGAAGGGGTGAAAAAAAAGAGTGAAAATAGAAAAATAAGGAAAGTTTAAAAGGCACCTAGGAAATCAGAACAATGAATTTGAAGGGAGCTGGGCTCGGAGCAGGAGCTTTGCTTCCAGAGTGCTCCTCCAGGCTGAGAGAGGGAGCCAAGCGGTTGTAAGTGGGACTGAGTCCAGGATGGGTCATGGAAAATCTGGGATTTGAGGCAGGAGCAACCTTGGAACATGAAGGGATGGCTCTGTCATCCCAGGGTAGGGCCAGGGGACACGGATGTGTGCGTGGCTGATCGGAACACAGCCTTAAGGCTCCTCTCCACCAAAGGAAAAGGGGTTTCTTTCTCCCCCCGCTCTCTTTTTTCCCCTAAAGACATTTGATTTTCTTAAAAACTATGGGCATGAAAATAATTTCCTCCTCCTTTTTTTTCCAGAGTTTTCACCTCTCTAAATGTCCCAGACAACTCCCATCAGCAAGCCAGCCGAGTTCCATGTAACACATTTATTTCCATGTTCCTGAAGCAACACTGAGCTGAGACCAGCTCCGCAAAGGGGCCTATAAAAAGCTCACTGCCTACACTCTCATTTTCCCCGGCTTCCTTTCTCTCTCGTTCATGACTTCAACATTTCCAGAGCGCTGATGTCTCAAACCTTGGGATAAACAGGTAGGTGTGGGGAACCCCCCGTCTCCATCAGAAAGCCCCTTCAAAGACGGAGGGCTCTGGCAGAGGGGTGTAGCAGACAGCAGGGCAAGGGGCGGGCAGAGGTGGGTTGTGGCTAGAGGCTTGGGCATGGCAGAAGGAGATGGAAGAGGTAGAAACAGGTAGAGAAAGGACTGGGGTTGGCATTGCACCCAGCTGGCTACCCAGGGATAGGTTTGCATAATACAATCTGGATATGTCCATTTTCACCCAGCAATTCTAATGTTCTAAAAGTCCAGGGGCCTGCAAATCTCTTTCTCTCTCTGGGTCTTGGTTTCTCCAGCTGTGAGATATAGGCACTGTGAAATATGAACTTCCCAGAGTCTCACTAGCTCTGACCTTCTGACCTTAGTTCTGCTTAACAGTTGAGGTCTCTGGAGCCAGGTAACTCTCTACTTACCAGCTGTGTGGCCTCAGGGAAGCTTCTTTTTTTGAGATGGAGTCTTGCTCTGTCGCCCAGGCTGGAGTGCAGTGGCGCGATCTTGGCTCACTGCAACCTCTGCCTCCCAAGTAACTGGGATTATAGAATCAAGCTATTCTCCTGCCTCAGCCTCCCAAGTAACTGGGATTACAGGCGCCCACCATCATGCCCGGCTAATTTTTGTATTTTTAGTGGAGACGGGGTTTCACCATGTTGGCCAGACTGGTCTCAAACTCCTGACCTTGTGATCTGCCCGCCTCGGCCTCCCAAAGTGCCGGGATAACAGACGTGAGCCACCGTGCCCGGCCCAAGCAAGCTTCTTATTTCACAGTGGGTAGGAGGATTAATGGGTGGGTCCATGTGGTGCACTCAGATGGTACCCAGCATGGCACCTGACCTTATGACTCAGGTGTAGGGGAAAGCAGAGGTACCTAGAGACAGGTGCGGTGTCAACTGACCACAGGAGGGACTGAGCAGCAGTCAGTCCTTCGGATGTCTCACGGATACTTGGAATGTTGCCCTGAACCCCTCCTGCACCCCCTTTGGGGGTCCTGGTTTGCCAAAGGTCTGAAGAAGCTAGGCAGGAAGACAGCCACAGAGCAGGGCACAAGTGCTGGGCCCTGTGTCTCTGGTATTCAGATGCTGCTTCACTCTGGGCCCCCAGGGCCTGTCTTCCCACTTCCAACTCTGGTTTGGCACAGGGTGAGATAGGAAGAGCTCAGCAGCAGGGCTGTACAGAGGACACATGGCAAGGGTAGCCATCCCCATGGCAGCAGGAGAAGCGGGTCAGGGGCTCAGAGTCGCATTTCCAGTCGGCACGCTCTCTGGGGTTGGGTTCCCAATTTCACGCCAAGGTGGTCTATGTAGATTTGTTTCCTCCTGTGCCCTCACTGCCACACTCCTTGCTCTGTGGCTTTGCCTTCAAAGCACAGATGCTGGCCTCAGCTCTACTCTCTGGATTCAGAGCCCTGTCTTGACATACCTGCCCTGCTTGCTTCTGAAGACACGACTCTGTAGGATTGATCTCAGAATCTGGAATGTTCTTCATCTGGAGACCTCCACTAAAGTGCTGGAATAAACTTCATAAAGATCCTTATGCACTATCTGCTGAGGTTTTCGGGTTCCCAGAACTATCTGCCTGAGCCCCACCCAGAGTGACTAGGAAGAAGCTGGGGAGCACAGATTTAGGGGAGGCAAGAGGAGAGGCAAGAAGAGTGCAGGGGAGTGGACCTGGCGAGAGATCAGCAGCAGCCTCCGGGCGGAGAGGGGGTTGGCATGCAGAGAAACCACAGTGCAATAAGGGAGTATTCAGATCACCTTATCACCTTTCAGTCCGGGCTCCCCCACGCTGCCCATCAGTCCCTGCAAGACAAAGACCCAAGGCCAGCTGTGATGGAACTCTAGGCCACAAGAGTTAGGAGCCCTGGCTTAAACGTGACTTGCTGCCAGACCGCTGCTCGATCCCCCAACCTCAGTGTTCACATCTGTAAAAGGGGGCAAATGACTCCCATGTCACAGGGCAAGGGTGTGGACTGAAGGAGCTATGAGAAGAGGCAGTGAACCACAGCACTGCAGACAAATCCAGAGGAAGAAGGCACTGATGGAGAGGGAAGGGCATGTTGGTTAAATTGGGTCGTCCCTGGGATGTGGTCTAGCAGTCTTGGCCTGCTTCCTGCTGCACGCCCTTCCCACTCAGGGATGGGCTGAGTTCACTGGTTTGCATGGTAGTTTCTGTGGCCCTGGTGATGTCCCCTACTGGACTTCCAGTGCTCTGAAGCCTGGAACCATGTCAGCTCGAGGAGGGTGCCTGGCCTAAATGACATACAGATGATGCCTGGCTCTGGGGCCAGAGCTGACAGCTCCTGACCTGCCCAGCTTCCTCCTAGCAGCACTCTGAGCATCCTGCCATCCTCCCTTCCCCTAGTATCATCTAATGTCACGCTTCCTTCTGGGATGAAATGGGTCGGGGGTGCCCACTTGGGATGAGGCCTGAATTGGGGGATGTCCCTTGCTTACCTTCATGCCCTTGGGTCCTGGGTAGCCAATCGGACCCAACACTCCCAAGTCACCCTGTGGGGGAAGAAAGAGAAGAGGGTGCTGTAAGCAGTGACCCACAGGAGGCTGGCCTGGGTGGTGACAACAATCCCCAAGGTCCGTGGGGCTGGGCTTCTGAAGACACGACTCTGTAGGATTGATCTCAGAATCTGGAATGTTCTTCATCTGGAGACCTCCACTAAAGTGCTGGAATAAACTTCATAAAGATCCTTGCCCAAGCTCATTTCTAGATGGCTGCCCCTTCCCTATCCCCATTCCTTTCCATATTCAATATTTTTCTCCTCTATCTGATTCTTTACCCCGGATCAGGGACAAAGGGCTTTTCATTTGACTATTTTGGATCCTCAGGCTCTCTCTATCTGTCCCCCCGGAGCTGCTGTAAGAGTTAAAGAAGGCATCAATGGGAGTTCTGACTCCTCCGGCTACATGAGGGGAGGCACCTCCTGCTTCCCAGAGGCTTGGCTATCTCTGAGGAGGGCAGCAAGTAAGGAGTGAGGCTGTTGATTCCAGAAATCCCCAGAGTTGGCGATGGACCCTGTGGGACACTACAATCAGCTGGTGGATCCTGGACCACAGGTTGGAGACCCAGCTTCAGATCAGATCAGCCGGTCTAAGGTGAGAAAAATGGAGTTCCCAGACCTGAAAAGCCAAGTTCCCTTCACGACTGTGGAGTTTGCAGGTGACAGCTCAGCCTGGCTGAGTGCTGTCCCCACGATGCCCCTCCTGGCCTTTCCACAGCCTGCCTTCCTTCCTCTGCAAGGAAGGCTCTGGAAAGCACTCAACCAGGCTGAGCTGCCGTTTGCAAACTCCTGCAAACTCCACACCGTCCCTCTGTCTGTCTCCCCAGAGGCATTCCACTGCACAGGCCCCGTGGCCCTTCCAGCAGGAGCCAGGCAGGAATGTGATTTTTCATTCTCTGTCCACCCAGTGGACAGCAGACCACTGGGTCCCGCTCTCCTCTGGGACTCACTCATTGTGTGAACCGGGGGAACTTGATGTCTCCACGCCTCAGTTTCCTCATGTGACAAGTGAGGACGTACAGTACTGTCTACCTGCCAGCCTTGTTTCCAGGAGTAACTGATTTAACATGTAAATACTTGGCAATGTCTGGAGTCATTCTTGGTTGTCACAACTTAAGAGGTGCTATTGGTATCTGGTAGGCAGAAGCCAGGGATGCAGCTCAGCATCCTGCAGTGCAGAGAACAGCCCCCTGCCGCAAATAACCATCCAGCCCAAACGTCAGTAGTGCCAAGGTCCAGGAATCCTGGTACAGAGTGAAGAAGCGGCTGACTTTTCTCTTAACCAGCCTATGCTTTTCCCCTCAAATCTCACTTCTGCCCACTCCATCACTCTCTCAGCCACAACCATAACATTAAGTCCGCACTCAGAGAAAGGCAGACCCTGAAAATACCCTCTTCTCTCCCTTGTCCATCCTCCGTGACTGATATGAGCGTCTGGCTGCTGTGTGGTTGCAACGTGGCTGACCTCTCTGGGCCTCTGTTTCCCACTACCTGATCAGGCTCTATGGAGTGCTGGCAAGTGCTCTGAGGTGGGGGCACAGCTCTGAAGCACTGGAGGAACAAAGGCTGCCCCAGGTCGCCAGGCTCAAGAATGGGAACTGGAGTTCTTGTCTGAGCTGCCTGGAGACGTCTCGGAGGGAGGCCAGGCAGAGAATGAAAAACCACATTCCTGCCTGGCTCCTGCAGGAAGGGCCAAGGGGACTATGCGATGGAATGCCCCCGAGGAGAGAGACAGACAGACAGACAGACTGTGTGGAGTTTGCAGACGGCAGCTCAGCCTACCTGAGATGATGCCGATTCTCACTCTCCCAACCCCAGAGCAACAGGAGTCTGGCCTTGGCGCTTCCTGGCCTGTGTGATCTTGGGCAAACGCTTCCCCTTTCTGGACTTTAGGATTCTCATCTGATTGGATTAAACAAAACCTCCCAGCTGAGTCTTTGCTAAGAAATTTTGCTTTCAGGCCCAGCGTGGCGTCATGGTTCACGCCTATAATCCCAGCACTTTGGGAGGCCTAGGTAGGAGGTTTACTTGAGGCCAGGAGTTCAAGACCAGCCTGGGCAACATAGGGAGACTCAATCTCTACAGAAAATATTTAAAAATTAGCTGGGCATGGTGATGCATGCCTGTGGTACCAGCTACTTAGGAGGCTGAAGCAGGTAGATCTCTTGAGCCCAGGAGTTCAAGATTACAGAGAGCTATGATAGCGTCACTGAACTCCAGCCTGGGCAACAGAAAGATACCCTATCTTAAAAAAAAGAAAAGAAAAGAAAAATAAAGAAATTCTGCTTTCAGGTCCCATCAAATAATCTCACTGAGAAAGTGAGGGCTCAGTTTAACGGGTGTTAATAATAAGCAAATGCCAGTTGCCAGCACTGTGCTAAGCACTTGACCTGCCTTAACCCAGTAATTCCTCGCCACAGCCCTTCAAGATCAGTCTACTACTGTCCCCATTTCATAGATGAGGAAACTGAGGCTCTGAGAAGTTAGAGCTCCAGCGAAATCACAGAGCCAGGGCACCTCTGGGATTCACACTAGGCAGCCTGTCTCCAGAGCTTCTAGGCTATTCTGAGGTGGTCTCTGGAGAGGAGGGAGAGAAGCCGGATTGGAAGGGAGGCCAGCTCTCTCTGCAGAGAGCCGCATGTCCACAGGTCCCTCTGGCTGCTGCCTCTCTCCTTTCCTGGACGAAGGCAGCCAGGGTGGCCAGCCCAGAGCTCCCCCTGATGCACAAATAAACAGAGCGGGCTCTGCTGGAGGAGTCCTGCTCTGCTGGGGGCCAGGCAGGGTGGCAGCAGAGGGGCCGCCAGCAGCTCGGGAACACAGGCTCTTTCTTCCTCCCTCCAGGCCTGAAGTGGCTTGTTGTGTGGGACTCAATTCAGTACAGGCCGGATGGTCACCTGTGTGGGTCCTCGGGAGTCACAGCACAACACCCCATTCCCCAGGTCCCGCTCGCTGCCTCTGCAGGCCTCTCCGAAGGGGTCTGTGTGTGGTGGGGGCAGGGACCTCGCGTGGGCATCCAACCCTAGGGGAGAAGGAATCTGGCAGAGAGACCCCTGCCTGCAGGCCACACCCGGAGAAGGTGCCAGCTTGCATATGGCAGGTCCCCCTGTGTTGGTGGGACCCCCACATTGGGCTACAAAAGCATTTCCGGGAGGAACAAAGAAAACTCCAGGCCAGCATCCCCCGAGGGCAGCTTGCAGAGCAGCCGTCTCCTGTGTACCAGACGCCCTCCAGACCAGCTTGGCCAGAGCCACTCAGAATGTCATGTCCCCATGAGAAAGAATAATGAGTAAGGCTCTTAATTTGGATCCTGTTTCCACTTTTCTCTAAGCTCCCAGACACCGCACGCCACACTGTGCCCTTCTCACTGACTCCCACCAACAACACAATCAGCCCTGTCTGTCACCATTTAAAGAACGCCCACTGTGTGCCGGATGCACGCTACCCACTTTGAACCCTCCTTAACAATAGCTAAATGTCACTCTGGGCACCTTTGCCATGCCAGGGACGATGCTGGTGGCTTGGACGCTCACCAGCTGCTCACAGTAACCCCAGGAGGTCAGCACCACTGTCAGTCCCACTCCATTTTACAGATGGGAAAACTGAGGCTTAGGGACAGGTGACATAACCTGCCTGAGATCGAGCGATAAGCAGGGGGCAGAGGCAGGACCGGAACCCAGGTCTGTCCATCCATCTGTCTGTCTGTCTGACCCCACAGTCCATGCTCACAAGGTCTGAGTTGGCTGTTGACCAAAAAAAACAAAACAAAACCACTGACGGCTGCCTTTCCTGTTGCTATGTCTCACCTGAGACAGGGCATCAGGTCAAGTTGGAGACTCGGAAAAACGGAGTTGTACTCCCCTGACTGCCAGCCAGTGGATGCCCGGAGGCTAACGTGGGGAACATCCGGTGCCCATCCTTCATGACAGTTGCTCACACATCTCGCCTTCCTGCCCTGCTCTTCCTCCTTAGCTGTGACATACTTAGCCACTGACGTATCTCCCCAACCCTGGCTCAAGCTGTTTCCTATTCCCAGAGTGCCGTGCCCTCCGCTGGCATTGTTCATGCCCATTTGTCCTTGGGCCTCCAGCACTAACATCACTTCCCTGACCCCAAGACCGGGTCATGCCCCTGCTGTCAGGCCTCAGAGCCCCATGCCTCTCGCTCAGGGCCCTTGACACCGGCCATCCTTTCTGCATGTGCCTATAGGGCCACCGCCTGTGCTGCCTCCAGACCAGGGGCAGGTGCCTGCTCTGAGGACCTCACCTCTGTGGTTCCAGTGCCCAGCACAGGGTACAGCTCTGAGGAGGTGCTTGGTAAAAGTGGCTTAATGATGGTGAAAAAGAAAGCTAAACATGCTCACTTATAATCCCTCTGAGGACTGCCTTTGAAGGCCAACAATGCCAGGTGGGTTAGGGACAGGGAGCTGGAGCTGTGGCCAGTTCTAGTTGCTGTGTGGTCTTACTAGGCACCATCTCTCACAGGAGAACAGCCCTGGCACTGCCCAGTCCATGCTGTCACACACCCGCTATCTCTGTTCAGCACAGAAGTCTTGAGGAGTTGGGGATGTGGTGCAGCAGTGGAGAGTGTGAGCTGTGACAGGCCAGGTCCAGCTGATTGGCTGTGTGACCTTGGGCAGGTGCTTCACCCTCTCTGAGGCTCAGTTTCCTTAAGTGTAAATTGGTGGCCCCACTTCCTACCCTCAGAGGGCTGTTGTGACAATTAAAAACTTGGCACAGCGTTGGGCACAAGAGGATTTGTTGCATGCCAGGTGGTGGGGTATCTAACTTTGCTTTATAAACAAGGAGACAAAGCCAGGTGATCGTTTAGTGGCAGAATAAGGTGGACAAATCCATTGCCCCTCACATGCTGGGTTTGTGGCCAGATCACATGTTCTTTGGGTCTCATTAAATCGTGGAGGAGCCAACATTTCCTCTGTGTCACTCTGAATAGAAAGGACAGAAATCGTCTTTGTTGAGCGGATTCTGGAATCAGGCACAGTTTTCTTGAGGGCCTGCCAAAGGGTTTCAGTTACTCAAAGAGGGCTGTGTGGAGGCCCTCTCACCTCTGAGGCTGCAGGGAGCCACCGGTGGCTTATTGGAATTGAGGCATATGGACCCAGGTGACAAGCCCGACACTTCCACTCTCTAACTGGTGACCTCGGCTTCGCGAGGCCTCCCCAGCCCAGTGCATGCGATGCACAGAGCAGACGCTTAATAAATGTTAGTTTGTCCTCTCACGCCCTTCCTCCCGGCTGCAAGGACCCGGGGGACGGAAGGAAGGTTTGGCTTCAGTCTGCATGCAAATTGCTTCAACTGACTAGACAGAGGCATTGAATAAATCTGAATTTCCACTAAAATGATTATCAATACGTGGAATTCCCATTTGCTCAGCTAAAAACCCACATCCTCTGGAAAACCGTAGGTGACTCACAATCCCTCTTCCTCTTTAACTCCTGGTTAGAAAATTCCTTTCCTTTCCAGCTCTCTGGGGAGACAGTTTCTTCCCCCAGGCACAGAGGCTGCTATTCTCAAAAATCCAGGGGGGAAGGAGGCATTCGCTCGGGGAGCAGAGGTGATTTGATGGGCTGAGGCCCAGCCCTGTGACCCCACAGTCACAGGAGAGAGGTCATTTCATCTTGGCAGCGAAAAGAATCTAAAAACTGAGGAAGGAGGCTGAAAGTGGCCAAAAAAAGACACAGCATGAAGGGACCACAAGGCAGAACAAATCAGCTCTGGGAAAAGGGGGTACCATGAAAGGCAGAAATGGCCCAGGGCTCTGCCCCCAGCACAGGCTGCTCAGAAGCAAAAACAGGAGTGCCCTGGACTAGGACTTGAGATTCATGGCCTCCATCCTCACCTGCCAGGTACGTGACCTTGACCAGGGGCCTCAGTTTTCCCATTTGCTGAAAGGGTTTCTCCTAACAGACACTGCAAATAGTGTTTCCAGACTGAACAATTAAAATGACAGGAACAGTGAAATTTGAATGTCAGATAAATAATGAGTGACATTTTACCATAAATGTGTTCTAAATACTGCATCTGACATTCAAATTTAACTAGGTGTCATATTTTATCTGGCAACCCTAACAGTGGAGCGCAGCAGAGTGCAGGTAAGAATGAGCTTTGTAAAGAACCAGGAGGTCCCAGCACTTTGGGAGGTTGAGGCGGGCAGATCGCTTGAGCCCACCAGCCTGGACAATGTGGCAAAATCCTGTCTCTACAAAAGGAAAATACTAAAATTAGCTGGGCGTCACGGTACACACCTGTTGTCCCAGCTACTTGGGAGGCTAAGGTGGGAGGATCACTTGAGCCCGAGAGGCAGAGGTTGCTGTGAGCCAAGACCGCACCACTGAACTCCAGTCTGGGAGACACAGTGAGACTCTATCTCAAAAAAGGTAGAACCAGGAGGGCTACGATGCTATAGTCCAAAACCCCAGAATCTGTGTTTATTCCACTAAGCAATATTCTTGCTCCTTTCGGGACCCAACCTAGTGAACGCTGGGATGATGACAAATAGGAACATGTGCCAAGGATGACAGACAGGATATGTAAACATCCCTTCAGAAAGGCTTTGGGATTGGAATTGTTTAGAGGGAGCCCTGGGAAGCACAGACAAAGACCATTTTACACCTCAAACAGCCTCACTCAGGGACAGTGAGGACGACTTGGGTTCGATCCACAGGAAAACACTGAACAATGAGAGCTGTGTAGAATGGACTAGGCTCCCAGAGAGGGAGGGACTTTTTACACTGGAGGTGTTCAATTTGGAGTTTAATCACCATATGACCAAGATGCTCCAGAAGGGATTCCTGTTGGGCTTAGAGAGAGTCAGATTAGAAGACTTCTAGAGAGTTCTCGAATTCCCATGGCAGATATTTCTTTTTCCAAAGCATTTAGGTCAATGCCTTGTGCCAAAGAAGGTGCTCAGCAAAGTCCTACTGAATGGACATCAGGGATGACAAATTTATGACTCATGTGTTGACACTTCCTCAACCCCAGCCAAGGCAGACATCACTCATCAATTGCAGCACTCTCTCCAACCAAGTTCCAATGTGACTGTGAAATTTTTCTCAAGTCAGTAACCAAGATAGCTGCTACCGGGTGTAACATATCACATGTGTATGTAATATAATAACACCAACAATAGCTATTACTATCATAACTAGTACTTCTTGAGTGCTTGCTATATACTAGGCACTTTACATATTTATTTATCTACATCCTCACTCACAACAATCCTCCAAGTTACGTACCAATATTGTTCCCATTTTATAAACGAAGAAACCAAGGCATAGGGTGGTTAAAAATTTTGCTCCGGATTGTGATTAAATGAGTGGTAGAGCTAGGAGATTTGAACCTAGGCAGTCTGGTTCCAGAAACTGTCCTCTGAGCCACTGGACTGGAACGGACTGTGTGTTTCTGTGGTTCTGATAAGAGTGGATACAATGATCCCATTTCACAGAGGGGATCCCCGAGGCTCAGGGAAGTGAGGCCAAGGTGAAGTTCAGTCAGTAGGTAGCAAAGCCAGGATTCAGACACAGAGGGCTCTCACCTTCTGCCCACCCCACCCAGGTTCTGCTCCCACTCACCTGAGCAGGCACAGGTGGCCATGGGGACATTTGGACCATCTTCCCAGGACTGGCCTCCCCTGAGCGATGGGGTCTCCTGCCTACCTCAGGGGCCTCCTCCAGCCTTTCCCTGAGCAGAATTTCTCAGTACAGTTGCTGGAGTGGTAAAGCTGGAAGCTCGTTTGTCAAGCCAGCAGATAGTTTACCTGTGTCCCTCCACGGGCCCCTAGACTCAAACCCCATGAGGAATGACCCAATGGACAGGGCGGAGGGGGCATCAGACTATGGGAACACTTGGAGTATCATTTCCCAGGCTCTGACCTCTCACTGGCCCCTGGAGCTGGGCACAAGGTTAACACTCACTCCACTGAAAGCCCAGCAGGGGCCCTGGCTTTGGTTAGAACCACTCCTCCAGGCCTACGCCACCTGGATGGAGTCAGGTCAGACCGCCTCCCACCTCCTTGTGTTTAGGCTCTGTCAGCCCTGGGCATTTCAGGAGGTAATAACAAGAATTATTATAACAATATTTTCCACTAGCACTTACTGGGTGCCAGATCCTGTGCCAAGGACTACACATGTGATGCCCCCTTTAATCCTCACAGCCACTCCAGAATGATTCTGCTATCACCTCTATTTCACAGATGAGGAAACGAGGCCCAGAGAGGGTAAGTGGCTTGGCCCAGGTCACACAACCAGGATATGGCGGGCCTGTGACTTGAACCTAGGTGGCCTGGCTCTGAAGTCTGCTTGGAGGAAAAGAGTGCAAAAGACCACCCTGCCGGCTACCTCCTCCCTCTGGACCTGGAACACCTCACCTGTCAAATAAGTACGCCACCACCACTTGCCCACACCTCCTTGCAGAGCAATGGCCATGCACGCAGCAGCTGTGAAAGTGCTTTGGCTATCTCGTGCTCCAAGCGCTCATCTCATTTAACTAATAAGGAAACAGGCTCAGAGAAGGTAGGTGATCCACCTGAGGCCACACAGCAGGGCTCTCCTCCCTCAGCCCGCCCACCCTCCCCCACTCACCTTCCCCACCCAGGTTGGTCTCTCCTGGCCCCCCAGTCCCTCCAGAGGTTTGATGAGAAAGGGGCCTTTTCAACCCCCCTGCAGGGCCTGCTCCTGGCTCCCCACACGCTGGCTCCACCCTGAGTCTCCCCAACACCCACCCGCTGCCCCAGGCATCGGTGTACTTACAATGAGGCCGGGGACTCCAGGGGGGCCTGGCAGGCCCAGTTCTCCCTGCAGATAGACAGACACCAAGGTGGTTACTTGTCCCATCTCCCTCCAGGGCCCCCTCCCTCCATGTCATCCTCCACACAGGCACCTGGTGGGGTCTTTCAGAGCTGAACTCTCCTTATTCCTGACCACAGGCTCCAGGGACTTTCCTGAGTCTGGCCTGGAGTTTGGACCACAGCCATCCCCTCTCTGCCATCAGCTTTCCTCGTCTGTCAAATGGGGAGGCCGGACTTCCAAATCCAGTATCTTCCCATTGTAAGCATAAAGGAATGAGCGGAATCACGATCATGGTCATACAGATGTGCATGGTGCTTGACATTTCACGCTCATTTTATAGACAGGAAAACTGAAGCTCCGGAGGTTAAGTGATTCACCCAAGGCCAGGTGCAAGGAAATGACAAAGCCAGGAGGACTCCAAGCTGAGAGCCTCTAAGCTGACCTCCTTCCCTTTCTCAGCCAGGAGGTGCTGTGGCCCTCGGAGAATCCTCCCCGGCACCCCACACCCTCACAGGTCCTTCTTCCAGGGCCCCCCCAGAGGCTGGAAAGAGTTCTAGCCTGGGAGTCAGGAGACGAGGCTGTGTGTGTGATTTACCCCCCTACACTTCAGTTTCCTCATCTTAAACATGAATCTTCCATGGCCCACATGAGAAATGACAGGTGGAGGGGTTTGAGTCAAGTTCAAAATGGAAAAGTGAGAATATCAAACTCCAGGGCTCTAGACAATGTGATTAGTAATGAGAAGTAAGCAACAGCCTTCGCTTCAAATGAGGGGAAGAAACGGACATCAGGTCTTTTCTGTTCCTCTATGCCAGGAGCATAAAGACATGCCTGCCACTCCCCAAGGAAACTCGCAGAATGATACTGCATATCGCTAACAGTTACTCTAACAAGTGATGTATTGAGGGAGAGGCTCTGATTTCTCTCCACCCCATGCCTTTGCTGGTGCCCCTTCCTCCACCTGCAATGTCTCCCCACCTATCTCCTCATCCCAATGCAAATGTTACTTCCCTGTTCTCTTCTCCAAAGAGTCACCTGGGACCTCTTTAATCCCACCCATCCCACTGCCTGTTGTGTGACAGAGGAGAGCAATGGCCCATGAACACCTCAAGGTCAGGACTGTACCCCAGATTACCCAGTATTTTACACAGCCTCACCCACTGAACCCGTGTGATGAGCGCAACACCTTGGCTGCCCTCCTTTCATTCTCACAACAGCCTTCTTTTTTTTTTTTTTTTTTTTTTTTGAGACAGTCTCACTCTCTTGCCCAGGCTGGAGTGTAGTGGCGTGATCTTGGCTCACTGCAAGCTCCACCTCCCAGGTTCGAGCAATTCTCCCCCCTCAGCCTCCCAAGTAGCTGGGATTACAGGTGCCCACCACCACGCCCAGCTAATTTTTTGTATTTTTAGTAGAGACGGGGTTTGCCATGTTGGCCAGGGTGGTCTTGAACTCCTGGCCTCAAGCGATCTACCCACCTCGGCCTCCCAAAGTGCTGGGATTACAGACGTGAACCACTGCACCCGGCCTCAGGCTGGAATTCTGATTCCCCCAATTTGCAGACAAGGAGACTGAGATTCAGGGAGGTGAATGGATTTTTCAAAGCTCACACATCTGACAAGTGGTGCAAGAAAATTCAAACCCAGGTCCGTAGGGCTCTGAGGTCAAGGCTTAATCCCCAAGGGAGCCTGGCTGGGTCAGGCTCAGGGAGCATTTGTGGAACTGAATTAGCGCCTAATCGGGTGCTGGTTATGAATGCAGCAGCCACCACTGGAGAGGGCACAGCTGGCACAGCTGCTCAGGCAGGAAGCCCCAAGGAGAGATGGGGGACCATGAACACCTTCTCCCACCACAGCCTGGAGCCGGGAAGGGAAAGACAGAGTCGGCTCCCCAGGGCAGGCTGACCTGGCTCCTCGTGGAACAGAGCCTGGGCCTCTAATTATTTACAAACTCTATAAACATGCCTGTGGTGGAGATTCCTTTGGAACTCAGCTCTTCCTTTTCTCCAAACACGGCCTGCAAACCGTTTGCTTCCCCAAGCCTCTGCCGGCCCATAAACATTTCTGATGCTTTGTAAGATGGCAGCAGCCGGGGCTTCTCCAGTGGGGAGTGATCCATGAACCTTCCGAAGTCCTGGAAACGGGGTGCAGCCTGGAGCTTTGGACCCAGGGGCTCAGTGGGCTGGGGACTCTTACGGGGGGCGACAGGGCAGTCACAGTAGACAGGAGCCTAGCGTTTAGAGACGTCACGTAATTTGCCCAAGGGTGCCCAGCTGGTAGTTGACAGGGCTGGGATTTGACCCAGGTCTGTCTGACCCTAAAGCATGGACTCCTAAAATGTGCTGTGTGTTCACTCGGAATCTCCTGTTCCCAAGGACTTGAAATACTTACAGGGTTTCCATCCAGTCCGGGAGGGCCTCTTTCCCCAAAGACTCCAGGAAACCCCTGGAGGGCATGAGAGAGAACAAACATCTGTAGGTTAGTGTTTTCACCTGCAGGGTGGGCTTTGATCCAGACCCCCAGGGGGGACACAAGGACAATGTCCAAGCAGTCTCACTCCTTGGTCATGGGCAGACAGTGGAGTCCTGAGGTCACCCCTACCATCGACAAGCACCTGCGCATAAAGAATTTCTCACGGGTCCTTTTCTTTCTACTCAGTCTCTGAAAAGAAAACGGTACCCAGCTCCCCAGCATGAAAATGCCAATCCTCTGTTCTGAGACCTGGTCCTGATGGAATGGGAAGGACACAGACTAGGGGCAGGAAGCTGGATCTAGGCCAGTTTTAAGAGCCTCTGTTTCCCCACTGGTCAAGGAGGGGAAGGTCTCTGTTGCATTTCCCAGCTCAGACCTTCTCTGATTGTGGCATGTTCTTCAAAAGCCACCCAGTGAAATCATGATCCCCATTTGACAGATAAAGGAAGCGAGGCTGTGAAAGAGTTAAGTGGCAAGGTCACACAAAGTCACACCACCAGTGAACACGAGCACAGCCCCCACAGGTGTTTCAGCAGCTCAGAGAGATGCTGAGCTGCCCGGCCCAGGCAGGTCTGTCCCTCCCGCCCCATCCCTGACCCCACTCTGGAGGCTGCTCCAGCTCTGGGGAGATAGGCAGCTGGAAAAATATCAGCTGTGAGGACGCCTTCAGGGGCCGGGGACAGAACTCCATTCCCACTTCAAAAGGAAAAGAAAGTCCTCAAGCTTGGAGTTGGGGGAAACCTGTTCTCCTCCCCTCCTTGAATTCAAATCATTGTTTTTCCAGGGAAATGTAATTTAAAAGAAAAAAACAAAGCACATGTTTTCCTGACCAAGTGAATGCTGGAGCTATGATTCAAATGGTAAACATTCCTCACAGAGGATCATCCTGTTTTTGGTTTCTAATACTATTGGAGGAGTCCAGTGAGCACACTAAACCCAAAGGACCAAACCTATAAACAAAACCCAAACCAGAGTCTCTACTGGTTAGGCAAAGACACTTTGAACTGTGTGTGTGTAACCAGGTGTTTAGCCTGGCCCTGCCCCGCAGCCCTAGTCCCTTCAAATCTCTCCTCTGCCAGGAAGTCCTCTTGGGTTGACATTCACCCCACAGAAGGTGTGGCTTCATTCAGACACCAAAAGGAGGAAATGAGAAGACGATAATGAAATTGAGACCAAGCTAGTCACTTCGCATGCAAGACTTCATTTGCGTTTGATATGTATCTTTGAGGGAAAAGTTATTGGTCTCATTTCACAGACGGGAAAATTGAGGCTCGGTTAGGCAACATCACATGGCCAAGGTCATAAAGCAAGCAGAGCTCAGGTCCACCTCTGGAGTTTGGCATGTTCATATGAGCTATGCATGGGCAAAGCCTGGTATGCAGAGGCTGCTCAAACGTGTGTCCAACTGGTTGCAGAGGGTGGCAGAGGAGTGTGGCAGAGGAGGGTGTATGCATGTGTGTGTGTATCCAGATCATATCTTTGTGGGAGCATATCTGACCTTCCCAAGCTTCCTCCTCCCACATCTTTAGGGGCTCACCTGCCAAATTCCAGTCTCACCTAAACCAGTCCTTCTTGGTCATGCTGAAGGTAGATCGTCTCACCTCCTGGGACAAGAATCAGCCAGGTGGGCTGTGGCCAGGGGAGCCTTCTTCCTTTTTTTTTTTTTTTTTTTTTTCATGATACAGGGTCTCATTCTGTCACCCAGGCTGAAGTGCAGTGGCATGATCACTGCTCACTACAACGTCTGCCTCCTGGGCTCAAGTGATCCTGCCGCCTCAGCCTCCCAAGTAGCTGGGACTATAGATGCACACCACCACGCCTGGCTAATTTTTGTATTTTTGGTAGAGATGGGATTTCTCCATGTTGCCCAAGCTGGTCTCGAACTCCTGGGCTCAAGCGATCTGCCTGCCTTGGCCTCCCAAAGTGTTGGGATTACAGGTGTGAGCCATGGCGCCCAGCCAGGGGCGCCTTCTGAAGGCAATGAGTTCCCACCTGTGGCCTCTGGACTTTGGGGTAGAAGGACCTGGTAGGAGAGGAAAGCAACTCCTTGAGACAAAGGGGATATTGTCTGGTTGGTCACCTGGCTGACTTCACATGGCCTACAAGGAACAGGACTTGAGTAGTCCCTGCTCCATTCTCCAAGTCCAGCATGTGGAGATGGCCTGCGGATGAGCCCTGGCTCTCCTCCAGGCTGGCTGTCTGAACTTGGGCAGGCCCCCACACTTGACCCTCTGTCCTGCTCAGGTTGAGGGTGTGTGATCTCTAAGGACGCTTTAGGACCCTGTGATGCCCAATATATTCACATATAGCAGCCACCAGGCAGGTCTCAGACCCATGGGTCTGCATTCAGAGGCCCTTCCAGGCTGGCTCAAAGACTCCTCTCAGGCCCAGCTGCTGGGCCAGCCTGTCCCATGACAGTCCTGACTGCACCACCCACGGGCCTCTTGGGGCCTCAGTTTTCTTTGCTGTGAGGATGAGCTGACACGCCACATGGAGGGTGCCTCAGTGAGGGTGCCTCATTGCCACATGGGAGGCCACAGCCCCGTGAGGGAATGTCTCTGAGGTATAAGCAAGGGAGAGACGGTCATCAGAATTTTGAGTCAATTTCTGGAGGGGAGTAACCTCTGCAGACAAAATGCAGCCTGAGTCTAACCAGAGGGCGATGATGGTGGGATGAAACAATCATAACAACAGTAAACTCCAACAGCGTGACCACCCAACAGGTCCTATTATTGGCTGCATTTTCGAGATGAAGAAACTGTGATTCTGAGAGGTTAGGAAAAGTTTCCAAAGTCACACAGCCCTGGCGTAGCAGAGATGAGATTCGAACCCAGGCCGTGTGACTCCAGAACCTGTTCTCTTAGCTACAACTGGACACTGAATGAAGAGATGGACTAGAAGCAGCCTACAGGCTCTCAAAGGGCTCATTAGAGTCCTGAGCTAATGTGCAAAAAGGAATGGCATGATTGATGCTAAGGACTGGTTCTGCTTGGACATGCTGAGGGCCTCGGGGAGGCACCCCTTGTCTCCATCTTCAATCTTCCTTCCAATGGAGGGGTCAAGCCGATGACCTCTAGGAATCTAGGGTTTGTAATTAAGAGCATAGTGGTTGGAAAAAAGAGCTTTAAAGGTGCTGGAACAAACCTTTGATTGGAACAATCACAGGTCTAAGGATGAAAAGACCTGAGATGTTCTTGATGTTCACCACCTCATTACACCAATGGGGAGACAACACACCCAAGACCCCCCTCACCCACTACCTTGCCTCATCCCTCCACTACTAAGTGGCAGAGCCATTTCCAGCAGTCACCCCAGACCTCCCTGGGTCTTAGAGCAGCGGCTGCTGAGCTGGATGTATAGCCCCCACTTCAACCCCATCTGCTTCCCTCTCTCTGGCCATGCCTGCGTGTGTAAGGCGACCACATGGCATGCATGCCCAGCCTGGCCAGCAGCAGGGACCTTCCTCCACATGCCCGAGCTCCTGGCTGCAGCAGGCTGGCCCCAGGCCCAAGGAATGAGCTCGGCTCCCTGCCGGGGCCCCAGCCACGTGGTTTCTCTACTTTCCCAGGTCGGGCCCCTCTGGAGAACTGAACACTTCGTACTTGGAGCAGAACAAGGCCCAGGAGGAGATAGAACAAGGCTCAGGAGTGAGACTCTGCATTCTCTCTTGGCCACAACAACTCAGAGGAATAGAGCTGAGGAAGGGATGGTCCTCGCCACCACATCCAAAGCGGGATGCCGTGGAGAACGCAGAAGGCCATCTCCTCCACTCTTCTGCCTCCAGGAAGTGTCCGCCCCAACGTCTGCTCCGAGGGGTGTGATACAGGGGCAGGGAAGCAAGGAACATCTAGAATCCAAAGTTCCACTCATGCTTCTAAGGCTCAGGTCCCTGGCCTGCAAAACAGTCAGCACTGTCCCACTCACCTGGCAGGGCTGGGCTGAAGAAACGGTGAGATGTTTCTAATCCAACCCCTGGTCAACTCTAATGTGCCATCACTACACTAGTTAGGGTTTATATCAAGAGTGGGAATATTTAGTAACCTCTAGAAGGAGCCCGCAAAAGGATCTCGGAGAACTTCTATCAGGTGGACATTCTCCAAAGCCTGGAAGTTCCTGCTTAAGTCTAACCTGCATCCTTCCTACTGCACTTGAAGCAGACATATTCTTTTCTAGGTGTGCAGGCTCCAAGCGTGCTGACATGGAAAGACCCCTTGAGGTTTCCCAGCACCCTCCTCTCGTGGTCTAAACACGTTTTTACCCTGCTGTCCTGAAATCCACTAGGAAATCTACTCAGGAAAAGTCACCTCAGGGAACAAGGAGAAGACAGGAAGGCAGAGTTCTCTCCAGGATTCCAGGGGCACCAATAGCCTGGGTCAGCTCTGGCTCCCATCTGGGTCACTGGAGACCACACCCCCAGCTCACAGCATCACCTCAGCTAAGAACCTTAATCTGCTTTGGCCTCAATTTCCCTACTTGGAAATAGGAATTCTCTGTCACTTGGCTGCCTGCTCCCTGTAATCTGAGAACTGGAAAGAGCCATGAACTTGAAGCCCAAATGCACCGTGTTAGAAGCCCTGCCTCCTCCCAGAGGACTGCGTGGCCTTGGGCAGGTCCCAATCATCCCTGAGCCACACCCCAGGGAGTCAGTGCCAGGGCTGGGCCCTTCCAGCTCTAAGCTTCAGGGTCTTCCCTCCGGACTCATTGCACGAGGCCAGTCTTGGCAGGCCTGGCCAGTGGCTATGAGAAAAGCTGTGCGTGGCGGCCTGCCTCGCGGGGCCATCCCAGCGGGCTTGAAAGTACATTTGGATAAGACAGGTAGGACTCACTGCAGCATCTTCCTCGCCTGCTCGTAGAGACCCTTGGCTGGGAAACATGGCTCAGTCTCTCACTGTGAGTGACACTGAGCCATGTCCAACAAGCCAGGACAGGCAGGAGAAACCCATTCAGCTCCAGCCAAAGCTGGTAACATTTTCTATCTGGACCCCTCCTCAGAAAACCACAACACATTCTCTTAGCAGGAGGTATGAGGAGGGCTGAGAGCTGTGGACCAAGCTTTCCTCTGGAGGTTGAAGATGGGAGCAGAGAGAAGAGGGAGCCCTGTGGAGAGTACCCTGTCCTGGAAAGCAAGTGTTCTGGGTTCAAGTCTTGACTTTGCCAACAACTTGCTGTGAGACCTCGGGCAAGTGTCTTGCCCTCTCTGGGCTATGTCTGCTTATCTGTCCAAAAAAGAGTTTGGGCCAGGCCATCACGAAGGTTCCTATAGCTCTGATGTGCTTTGACCACCACTGTCTCTTCCTCAGCTCCCGTTAGTAAAAGACTCTCACACATCGCCCTTCCAAATTAGATACTGAGGAGGCCGCAGGCATGGGCCTGAGGTTTTGCCTGCTGGGGAAAGACCGACTACAGCAAAATCATCACCAGCCCTGCCAGAAATGACGCCAGCTGCGATCTGGCATGAAGGAATTCAGCTCATTCCCCTGTCACTTCCTCTTCTTAATAAGTGCCTAGAAACTGCCCGGCCGAAAGCTTGGATAAGGAGGAAAAACCACTCGTGACGGGAGCCCCCAACCCCACCATGTAGTTCAAGGGGTTGGGAGCACCAGCAACAGAGGGATGGCCCTAAAGACTGTCCACGGTCTTCAGGCTGAGAGCCATGGCGGACTCAGAGGCCCAGCGGAGACAGAGACAAAGCTGTAGGGACTCAGCCGATGTGAAGTCCCATTACATACACATTAAATCATATCTGACACAGATCTTGCCGATTTGCTGGCCACGGCGGCTGGAACAGAGTCGAGGGTATTTTCACAGCTCTCAAGGGTATTGCATGGGCCTAGGGCTGAAAAGGTGTTTCTCTCCACCCACATCTGACACCCCGGTGCCAGGGAACACACCTGTCATGGAGGTCAGAGCCTAGTCTTAGAAAGTTAAAGGCAAAAAAGCAAGGAAGCAGACAGAAGTTCTCAGTCGGGCAAGGGTTCAGAGGGTCTATGGACAAATGGCTTTGACAGTCTAAGCCTCAGTTTTCTCATCTGGAAAATGGGTATGATCAATCCCGCCTCAAAGGTTCACTGGGAGAATCGCATGTGGTTCAAATACTATGCACCACCAAGGGCCTCAATACACATTGCTTCCTTTCGCTTGCAGGGGGCTTAGGGTGGCAACCATGCCCTCTTCTGGTTATTCATCCTGTTTATTGATCGTCTCTACCCTTAAAATTTGAGCTTCATGACAACAGAGATTTTTGTCTGTTTTGGCTAGTGTTATCCCTAGCGCCTGGCATAGAATAATATATTCAACCAATAATCTTTGGTCGAGTGAGGAATGAATGAGTGGCCTTATCTCACACAGGCAGGATAATGGGACCTCAAAACTGGGACTGCCTTCTAAGCCAGGCCATGAACAGGGTGACTTTCAGCTCCAAGAGGAACACAGGAACACGGCAGGGAGAAGGTGTATGAAGGGGCTGCCGGGAGGGGAGATGAGGAGGATGCAGAGGATGGGGTGGAAGGGGGAAACTGAGGCATGGCCCTGCTGACATTCCTTGTTGTGTCCGGTTGGAGAAGAGGCCATGACATGCCCAGGCTTTCCTGGGTCTTGCCTCTTCCATGCTCAGGAGACTCCGGACCCCAAGCTCTAAACAGCTGCACTCTGGCACTGGAGTTGAAAGCTCTGGCTGTGTTCTAATCCAACTCTGACACTGAGCAGCCATGTGACCCTGACCTCATCATTTATCTCTCTGAGAAGCGATCTCGTCTGTAAAGCAGCAATGCCTGGCTCCTCGGATGCGCCTGAACAAATCCCCCAAAGGTGACCCTGGAGGCTGGCCTGAGTGTTGGGGTAGGGCCCAGCTGAGATCACCTAAGCAAGTCAAATGCTTCCACTCTGCAGCTTAAACCATGGGAAACCAGACCCAGCAAAGGTGAAGTCATTGGCTCAGTGTCACACAATACAGAGATCCCCTCAGCCATTCAGGAAATAGGAACAAGGGCTGCTCCATTTATTGAGCACTTACTAAGTGACAAGCACAATGATCTTATGAGCCATACTATTGTCCCCATTTCTCAGAAGAGAAAACTGTGGTTCAGAAAATTTGAACCAAGCCTGCTCCTTCCCCAGGGCCTTTGGCTTGAAAGCCACACAGCTTCCACGCCACCTCATTGAGAGTCTTCATAAAGCGAGGGAGACTTTCTGGACTAACTTATCCAATATCCCAACCCCCAAGCACTCCCTGTCTCCCTATCCTACTCTCTCTCAGATTCAGCACTACCTAACCTTCATTTAATCGTTCATTCTTCCATTTCCCCATTCAGTGACTGTGCATCTGTCTGTCTGCCCCAAGAGAGTGGGAACTCTGTCTCATGCACTGCTCTGCCCGAACGAAGCACAACGCTTGGCCCGTAGCAGGCATTCAACAGATATTCATGGGATGAACAGATAATCACTGGATGAATGAATCGCCTTGCTTAAGGTCACGCTGGCTTGAGGGACAACCCCAGGTGCCAGCCCAGCCCTCTCAGACTCCAGGTCCTTGCCCTGAAGCCGGGAGCATCAGGTGCTGCTCCTTGCCCAGGTCTATGTGTCAGGTGTTGGACCTTAGAGAAGACTGCCTGTCTGGGCCACAAAGGGGTCTGGGTTGGGGGCGGAGGGACCTCCTCTGTCAGTTCTTTGAGGCCAGGACCTGTTTCTTTCTTTTCTTTGTTTTTCCTCTTTGGCCCCCAGAGGGCCCAGGTTAAAGGCTCCAACAGTTAACAGGCCCATCAGTGGCAGAATCACAGAGAGGCCGCTCTGAGCACTCTCGAATGCTCCAGGCCTCCTCTTCATACTCCCTTCCTCACCAACCACCAGCGATGGCAGGCCCGGACTTGGGCTGACCATGGTTCCAAGTCAAGGGGTCAACCTGCAGGGCAGTGGCAGAGGGACCCTGGATATCTCACTCTGCCTCTCAGAGCCTCAGTTTCCCCCTTCTCAATAACTGGAATGAATGACCTTCCTTCCAGGCAAAGAGTCTAGGGAACCTATTTTTATAATATGACTGCAAACTGGGGACCCTGAGAGGCTGCCTCAAGCGGCCACTGAGATCAAAGACCCCGGGCATAGACCAACTGAGTTCGAATCCTGGCTACATTGTTTACTCCTCCTGAAACCCTGGGCAAGTGACTTAATCTCTCCATGCCTTGGCTCTTTCTCCATGTTCTGCACAGGTACAAACAAGGGGCAAACAATTTCCTCCCATGATGGGGAGTCATAGAGAGAGCTGGTGGATTGGGGGTCACTGCTGAGCCCCTCTTTGGGTCATGCCTGTGTGGCCCTGCCCATACACCCCATTGTCCTCTGGCCTGGTGTATGCATGAGCAAACTGGACAGAGCAGAATGACACCCAGACAACGTGGAGACTGAGTGTTCCCTGAGATGGGAGCACAGTCACCTGGTCTGGCCAAGGTCCCCCGGTCACAGCAGACCCACAGACACAAATAGACAGAAGCCCCCAGACACAGAACTGCACTGGAGAGCCACTGCTGCCCACACGGAGAGAGGAGCCAACCCCAGGGAGGCCCAGAGCCCACGGAAGCCCCAGTCCCAGCCGGGCCCCAGTCACGCTGTGTGCCAGCAGCAGGTCCTGTGGCCAGGCAACCCCACATGCGGCCCCCACACTCAAAGCAGGGGGAGAAGCAGAAGATGCCAGGCAGCAGGTGGCCAGGGCAGCGTGGCCGTGGGAGGTGGGGTTCCCCGCTAGAGTCTGCGTAATAGACACGGAAAATCTTTACCGGCATACCCATCTTGCCCCTCTTGCCAGGAACACCAGGAAGGCCCTGCAGGGGAGAGACAGGGTAGATGTCAGGGCAGGATGCCAGCAGGGACAGTCAGGCTTGCCCCAAACCAGTTCAGAGCCACCCGTGGCAGGAAGTCACAGAGGGCCTGCAATGTGCGCCATTTGCGTGGCAGCCCCAGTGACATGCATGTCAGACGGATGGCAGGGTCAGGGTCTGTGGTGACCTAAGAGACAGAGAAATGCCAGTGTTCCTGTATTCAGCAGATGCTTCATAAATGCCCAGGCTCCAGCTGTCCTAAGATTCTCTATACCCAGCTTATGGAGGTTACAACTGAGTTCCCATAGATACGGGCTCAGGTTGGGAGGGGGCGGGGAGGAAGGTCCCAAGGCCACCACCCCAAGGGCTTCTAAGGGACCTCCAGGCTGGGCCAGGGGTCCGTGAGAAGCTCCCACACCATCTTTTGGACTCCTCTGACTTTGATACTTGATCTGGAAGGACAGGGATCTTGGGAAATCTTAGCACCCACTGCCTGTCACCAAACCAGCCCCACCACCTTCCCCAGACAGCTGCTCCGCCTGGGAGTCCTCAGCTCTTCAGAGACCTCAGGGCCCAAGCAGAGACCAGGTTTCCAGCCCAGTCTCCCCTCCCCACTGTTCTCACCTCTACCCCAGTCCACTGCCCCCAGCCAGCTACAGCCACACCATCTTGTTCTCAGGCTGCTGGAATTCCTGCCACCTGCTCTTGCTGTCCCCACCCCTCACCAACACATTTTCCTCAAGTAAACCAACTGATCTGTCTAAAAGAGGAATCAGCAGATGGTTTCTGGAAAGGGGCAGATAGTGAATATCTTTGGCTCTGCGGGCCATACGGTCTCTGTCACACCTACTCAACTCTGCCATTGTAGTGAGAAAGCGGCATTGACAATATGTAACCAAATGAGCAAGGCTGAGCTCAATAAAACTGTTTGCAAAAACAGACAACTGGCTGGATTTGGCCCATGGGCCACAGTTTGCAGACCCCTGATCCATACTATAAAGTGGGCCTGGTGTTCATTGGTTGCAAGTCCTCAAGAGGCTCCGCATACCATCAGAACAGAGTCCCTTTCCTGACCTGAGTCCTGGTCACCTAGGACATTGCCCCAGGGCCCTCTCCAGCTTCAACTCCTACCACTCTCACCCTCTCATGCAGCACTTTGGCGGTGTTGATTGTTAAACTCGCCAAGTTACCGTAAATCCCTGACTTTGCACACGCTGTTCCCTATGCCTGGAACGCATCTGCCTTGACTGGTCCCCTTATCAGACTCCTACTCAACTCAAGTGCACCTCCTCCAGGAGGAATTCCTTGATTTCCCCAGGCTGGTGCCTGGCAGGTCCTGCTCTGCTTAGGCAGGGGTGGCTGGTGGATGGTGAATAACCAAAGAAGCAAACTTACTCGCTCTCCATCAGACCCTGGCAGGCCGAAGAGCCCTGGGAGCCCAATGTAGCCCTAGGAAAGAGAAGAAGTGGGGTCACAGAGGTCAAGCGGTGAGGTGTGGCCGGCCCAGCCTGCCCCAGCCCACCCACCGCTGCCATCCCACATCCCGGCTCCTCCTCTTCCTCCCCGATGGCAGTGGCAGCTCCGGTGGCTCCTCGATGACATAGGCCTTGAGGCAAGTGTATATGCCCATGGACTGCATGGTGCTGGCTTCCACGATGTAGTCCAAAGGCACATACCCTCACGCCAGGGAAGGGCGCGGGCGCTCGCCGACAGGAGGCCCGCCCCGCGCCAGGGCTCCAGGATCTGCAGAAGGAAGCTCGCGGCTGGGTTAGATGCTAGCATGGCACCAAGCCCTCCCCACCCCCAGGGATGCTGGCAGGTGCCCGTGGCTCCTGCCACGTCTCCTCCTAAGTCTTCAAGGTCCTGGATGCAGGACTTACATTCACCCCTGGCCGCCTGAGTGATGGCATTAACTAACAGCGGCTACGAACCCGGAGTGCCAACATTGTGCCAGGCACACGCATGCTACCACTTTAGACTCTCACAAGGACCCCCAGATTGTTATCACCCATACTGGACAGATAAGGAAACTGAGGCTCTGTAGATAAAGCAACATGACTAGTCAGTGGTGGAGCTGTGAATTCTCTTCAAGGAATTCCTAATCAGCTCAAGGGTCACCTAAGTCCAGCTGACTCCGCAGCCGGGGCTCACCACCATTCTGGGGTTCTTCCCCAGGGTGACTCTCATCTCCTCCCTCCCAGCCTTTCCTCACTGTGTCCCCTCCACTAGGCATGTCCCTTCCATCCCTCATGACTTCTGAGCCAAATCCTTCAAAGCCCAGCTCTCATGAGCTCTCCTTGGGCAAGCATCCCTGATACCCCAAGCTAGAAGCAATCTCTACCCTCCACCCCAATGCCATTTTTGCACCTCGGTAGCGTCCTTCTCCACTTTCTCCCTTGTATCTTCATTATTTGTGTTCACGCTTCATGTCCTCATTAGTCTGGGAACTTCTTAAGGGCAGCGACCTCGCCCGGGGCTTCTGCCACTATCTGCATGCCACTCTTTGTGCAATGATTTCATAATAACTTTAACCAAAGCTAATGTTTATTGAGCATGAATGACAGGCCAGGCCTGCTGTCAGTGCTTTGCATATATTAAAGTATTTATTCCATCCCCGAGGAAGTGCTATGTTTTATTAATTATATATAGAGAGAGAGACGGAGTCTCACTCTCTCGTCCAGGCTGGAGTGCAGTGGTGCAATCTTGGCTCACTGAGACCTCTGCTTACCAGGTTCAAGCGATTCTCCTGCCTCAGCCTCCTGAATAGCTGATCACAGGTGTGCACCTACTATTTACTTTTGTAGAGATGGGGTTTCGCCATGTTGACCAGGCTGGTCTCAAACTCCTGGCCTCAGGTGATCCACCCACCTTGGCCTCCCACAGTGCTGGGATTACAGGCGTGAGCTACCGCGCCCAGCCACGAGGAAGTATTATTACTCAGCCCCCTGTAGAGGTAAGACCATTTAGGCCCAGAGAGGTGAAGTAACTTGCCTAGGACCACACAGCTGAAATGTGGTAGAACTGGTATTCAAATTCAAGTCTTCTGAATCCCGGGCCTGGGCTCCTAACCACTCTGCATACTGCCTTCCCTCAAACAAGCAACACAGAGGCTCACAACCATCTCTCCTGCACTGGAAGGCCAAGAGGCCACTGAGCCTCCTTGTTGGCATCCAGCATGATTAATATCCATAATCTGAAAGAGTGCCATTTGCTACCATTCCAAATAGGGCTTATCTCCCAGATTTACAGGTGAGAAAATCATTGGCTCAGAGAGGCCCAGTGACTTGCCCAAGGTCCCACAGCTAGCTGAGGGCAAGGCAGGTCTCAAAGCCTGTCATCCCGATTCCAAAGCCTGCCCTCTGCCTACTTCAGAAATATGAGGCTGGTGGTGGCAGGGTTGGAAGGACAGCCTGAGTGACTCACTGCTCACCCAGGCTGCCCATCCAGGGCTGTGCGGCCTGTAAGAGACAGGAGTGCTGGGGCCGGACCAGTCCTCTCCTCCTATGTGGCTTTGAGATGCCACCGGCCTGGCAGGCAAGTCGAGCAATGCCAGATGTCAATAACATGCCCTGTCCTTCTGGCAGATCAGGAGATCAGGACTGGGGCTGGACTGAGAAGACCTTTCTCCCTGGGTTTAGGGGGTCCCTCTGGGGGCACAGCCCATGGGAGCAGCAGAATAAAGGAAGAGGTCCAGCATCCTGGGACAAGAGCCTCCTCAGGCCCTGCCTATCACAGTAGCCTCCTGGGGAATGCACCTACCAGCCCCCACTCCCGCCTCCCCATGCTCTCCTAACAGCCACCAGTCTGCTGCAGGGATTAGGGCTGAGACTGCAACCATTCTGTCCTCTCCCTCCTGCCAAAATATAAATAGCTTTGGCTCAGGAGCAAAGGATACATGATCTGTCCTGACCAAGGACTGTGTGACCCCATTCCTGAGCATTCCTTGAGAGGCAGCAAGTCCAGGCCTCAGAACACCTGGGTCCTCATCCCAGATCCACCTTAGGCATGCAGTGTAAGCTGGGGCTATCCAGGCCCCGCCATGAACCCAGTTTCTTTGTATGTAGAAGAGAGGATTCCATCACACCAGCTTTAAATCTTTCCAACTCCATTTACCCCATTCAGTCCACCCAGAACCTTCTCTGTCTTCCCACAACCCACATGGGAGTCCCCACCTGTTGGTCCCCTCCTGAGCTGTCAAGTCAGCTTGACATAACCAGGCTACAGGTACAGATGGACATCATGACCATGGTAAAGGTAGGCAAACTGAGGCTGATCACTACTCAGGGTCTGCTCCATGGGGGCCTTGAAGAAAGGGGAGATCTGGAAGCTCCACCAGGCTGCAGGCATAGGTAGCATTCACACACCGGGTGCCCTCCAAGAAGAGTGGATCCCCCCAGCCCTCAGTTGGGAGCAGGAGGGAGGTCTCTGAAGATTCGACGACAAGCAATTCAAGTGGCCCATACTGGCTCTCTTGTAACTTGGGGATGAGCCAGGAGACACAGCAAACAAATGCCTAGTTGTTTGTAGCTGGACTGTGGCCAAACCCCAGCACAGTCTTTGCTGCCCAGACTTCTTGGCCATGGGGACCAAGCAGCTTACCTGGCTCAAGGGTCTCCCATCACCCAGCCCTCCTGCTGCCCCTCTGTTGTCCGGGAGCGCTCAGGTGGGAGGGCCTTGGCTCTCCTTATAGTTCTGACCTCCCATCAAGCCCACTGGCGGGACAGGTGATGCTCACCTAGAACCCCACCCATGTGGCACTGGCCAGGAACCACTTACCCTGCTGCCTTTGGGGCCGGGATCTCCTACCGGTCCAGGTAACCCCTGAAACACAAAACACAGAGGGGCAAGGACATATGGAGACGCTCTACCTGCTGCCAATCCTGGGGTGAGTCCTTCCTCTTTGGGGCCTCTGCTGCTCTCTTTGTAGAATGGGGGTGAGGTTAGATTAGCAGTCTTTGGCCTGACCCCCAAATCCCCAGGATCCCAGGGAGGTGGCTGGTGGGTAGGAGGGATACTGAGTGGGAGGAGCCTCTGGAGCCCCAGCCCCACAGAATCAGACCTCCTCTTACTATGCAGCCTTATCCTGTGCCTGCAAAGACAGGCTTCCTTGGTCCAGCCCCCTGGAAAGTCCCCTCCTTAGGGTCCACCCAGCAGGTGCAGCTCCTTGGCCCCCAGCCCACCGCCTCCCTCTGCCTCGGGGCACCTGTGGCCATCTCCACATCACCATGGCCACAGAGCTTCCAGAAGCCATATACTGCACCTGCCTGCCAGGGTAACCTTTGGCCCCTGGGCTGCCCTCAGGTCCTGGCTGCCCCTGCAAAGGAACAGAGAGAAACATAAGGAAAGGAAAGACCCTGCCCGGCTCTGGGTCTGGGGACCCTAGGAGACTGGGGCTGGCAATGAACAAAGAGAGGGGCAGGAACGTGAGAGGGAACAGCAGGAAGGGTAGGGCCCCCAAGCCCACCCCTCTGTGAAACCAGTCAGACCAGCTCTGAGGGACAAAACCCCCTCTGCTTGCAGCCCAGGAATAAGAAATCACTGAGGAGGCCTGGCTGGTTCTCCCATGCTGGCAGGGCTGCTGTTTGACTTGGGCCAGGCCAGCCAAAATTCCTGCAAACCCCGTGGTGGCGTGTATAATATCCCCTAACATCGCCCGGAACAGGCCAGCTATTCATGGCTCCAACTGGCGTCGCGCGGCTCATGCCAACATCAGGCCGGCATGGACTCTGGCTCTTTTGGGCAAATGTGGCTGGGGGAGAGAGGTGGGGTGGGCTGGAGTGGGCTGGAGGCCCCAGCAGGGTGAGGGGCAGAACAGCCTGGCTCTAGGCTGGCTCACAGAGCAGGATCTAGGGAGGGGGCCAGAGACAGGTAGGGGCTGGGAGGAGGGACAGCGACCAGGGCAGGGCTGAGGCTGAGGCCCTCACCTGTTCTCCGGGGTGCCCTGCCGGTCCAGGATAGCCCTTGTGTCCCTGTAGGGGGAAGAAGCTGCATCAGGCAGGGAGGACACATCTGGGCCTGGAAATTGCAAGGGCCCAGCCTCCCGGCCTGCTCTGTTCAGCACCGTATGTACTGTGTCCAGGATGGAGCGTGCGCTCAGTAAGCGCTCCCCAGATGGATGCAGATACCATGTGACGGTTCGCATATTCCCAAGGTTTTCTCTCTGCTCCCAGTGGCTCTTAGGCAGAGGACATCATGGGGGTCATTCACTGCTCTGGCAGAGGTGGTGAGACGAACTGGAACAGAGCAACTGTGACCAAGAGACGGTGTATCGCAACCATTCCTTCTGAATCCAGAGACAAGGTGAGACCATCTCTCAGGTATGGATTTGTCAATGGAGGAGTAGACTGAGTAGGACTCAGGTCTGGAACGTGCTGAGCAACCACATCGCACGTGATGCTGGGATTCCCTCCCCTGTCAGGACCTGCCCCTTCTCATAAAGCCCCCATCACAGGCCTTGACCACATATATTAACCCAAATAGCTGTTTCCCTTCTCCCACTGGCCCCAGCTCCTATTCCAGGGAGGAATAGGCCACCCAGATACTAATGAGAAGGACTCTGGCAACGCCCCAGTACCAACTTTGACCCTCTGTCCTGATGGCCCAAAGACCATGGTGTAAGGCATGTCCAGGCCAGGCCTCTGGGTGGGTGGAGAGAACCAAGCTGAGTGTGTGCTTTCAGGTGGCACGAGGTATAATCACCTGAGCCATTTCATAAGAGTAAGGAGGTTTCCAAAGGAAACCTCACACTTCAAGTTTCCATCAGCTGGGGGGGCTTCCACTGTACACAGGTTAGCCACACTTATCCATGTTAGACCCTTTTATGCGGGGAGCTCTGGGATTGGTTTAGATACTGTCCCTAACTTACTATGCAACTTTGGGTGGGTTACTATCCTTCTCTGAACTTCAGATTAGGGAGTTAGAACTCTGAGTCCCCTTCAGCTCTGATGTTTTAGAGGCCCAGAGTTTGAAGACTCCTCCAGAGTCTAAAATACACACACCAGACTAGAACACACACACGCCCGCATGCACGCTCAAACCTGTAGACCCTCTCTATGCGCTGCCATTTACCCAGGACTACATGCATAACAGATGACTTCATCTACTCCTTCCAACAGTCAGATGAGCTGGGGTGGGGGGGTGACTGTCATCTCCATTTCACAGAGGAGAACACTGAGTCTCACAGAACTGAAGATGCCTGCCCTGAGTCCCATTGCTAACAAGCCACAGGCACTCACTACCAGATCCTTCTGACATCTGGAGCCACACTGGGAACCTTGCAAACATCCCCAGACATGTGCAGCTCCATGCACACGCACAAACACACACAGGCATACACACTCAACACCCCCCATCGGCCCCCAGGAGGTGGGGACTCTTCATTATAAACAGCAGAGTCAGTTTGATCTAAGAGGTCTGGAGAGTTTACAAGCATTCTTTCTGCACCTATTCATGTCTCAAGAGCCCTCAGTGACATGATTGCATCTCAGATCCAGGGGCCTATGGAGATTGATGCAACAAGGTTGGGTGAGATTCTTCTAGCTGGGGCGTGTACTCTTTTCCCCAGTGGGCAAACCGGGGCATACAACCTCTTGTTTCAGACCCATCTGGATTCCAGTGCTGCTCTACTAACTGGCTGTCTGGGTGACCCAAAGCCAATGACTTCACCTCCGAGAATCTTGTTTTCCTCAATTATAAAATGGGGCTACAAAGTTGGAGCAAGGATGGCAGGATAGAAAGTGTGTAAAGCGCAGTATTTGGCATTGGATTCAAGGGTGCTGTAGAGGTTAGCTGCTGTTATAATCTTCATTTTTCATTCATTCAATAAACATTTACTGAGTTTTCATGCTCCAGCCCCGTTCTAGGCACAGGAAGAATGAGACAGACAACATTCTTTGCCCTAAAGGAGTTTACATTCTAATTAAGGAGGTAAAAAACAAAGTGAACATAAAAATAACATCTGGGCTGCAAGGAGAGAGGAATGGGGAGTTGCTCAGTGGGTACAGTTTCAGTTTTGCAAGATGAAACATTTCTAGATATTGATTGCACAACAATGTACCTAATGCTATCGAACTGGACACTTAAAAATGGTTAAGATGGTAATTTTACATTATATGCTTTTTAACCACAATTAAAATAAAATCCTTTCAGAAACAGGCAGAAAATGTCTAGTAGTGATCAGTGCTGTGAAGAAAAGGAAGTAAGTTATGGACAGAGAATGCAGCACTGGGGAGGGACGGTGAATAGAGGATGGGATCAAGGAAGGCTGCTCTAAGGAGATGAATGGGATGAACACAGGGCCGGCTCCATGGACAAAGGCAGTGCAGGCAGAGGGAACAGCAAGTGCAAAGGGCCTGAGGCAAGAACGCCCTTGAGTGGCTTGGAGGGAACACAGGAAGGCCTGTATGACTGGAAGAGAATGGGCGAGAGAGTGAAGGATGGGGGTGGTTGGAGAAGCAGGAGGCCAGAGCATGCTGGTGGTGATGTGATGCAAAACCACAGAAGCGCTTTGAGCAGGGAGGTACCGCGACAAGATGTAACTAACAGCCATGATCATCATTTTTCCACCTGGAGCTTGCAGATGAGGAAGAACAAGTGAAACCTTTTCCCAGTGAAGAGCTGAATGGAGCCTTGCACTCTTGGTTGTGTGACTCTGTATGGGTAATTATCCTCTCTGAAGCTCACTCTGTCATATTCTACCTGCCTGCAAAGATCCAATGGAGTAACAGGACAAGAACCCCAAGAGAACCATAATGTGGGGTCCAGGGGGCCCTTGGCCATCACCAGCTCCTGTGGCTTCATCTGCAGTCACAAGAACCCTGCTGAAAACCAATTCTTCAGCCCCCATACCTCCCCACAAAGGAAGCAGAGGCATTTCTCCAGTGAAATCCCAGGAGAAGATTTCCAGTAAACCCTCTTACTCAGGATGCAGCTAAATGGAAGTGAATGACCATCACCGGCAGGCACGGTGGCAGGCCCTATGCCTGGCTCAGCACTGAAGCCTTCATATTTCAGTTCACGGACTCCTTGCTATCACCCCTAGAAGGCAGAAATTACCATACACATTTGCCAGTTGAGGAAACTGATGTTCAGAGAAGTAAAGAGACTTCGTTGAGGCCACACAGCTTTCTAGGGGCAGCGCCAGGCCTGTGACTCCAATCTCCCACATCCTTAGCCATCAAAAAGCATGGGATGAGACACGCTCACTAAGGCCTAAGGCCTGCCTAGAAGAGCCACAAAGCCACTCAAGGAGAGATCCCCTTACAGATGCCCTCCCTGGAATGAAAGTTTCACATCATTGCAGCATTATTCAGGCAGAGGTCGGTCATGAAACCCTGGAATAACTGAGTTGAAAGGGACCTAAACCATTAGTTTGGCAATCTCCTTTTTCATTGGACAGACTGAGAAACTGAAGCTCAGAAAGGGGAAGGGACTTGTCCAAAGTTACCTCGCAAGTTATGGCCAAGCCAATACTTTTCCCCGGACTCCAGACCCACTGGGATATGCAATTTCTAGGTATCTCTTGATCAAGGGACCCTGAAGGGCCTTGAACATTGCCATGAACACCGCAGTTTCTCCTGGATGGCCAGGAGCAGCAGCGCGAGCATAGCCAAGGTGGGAGGTAGGAGGCAGGAGGTGCTTATGCTCCCTGGAAGCATCTTAACAATGTTTACCAAGCTGGGGCCGGCAAATAGCTCCAAATGACAGGGCCCCAGACCTGCAAGAATCTAAACCATTATCTTGTGCTGCGCCCCACCAATTATGGGGCGGGTGCTGACCGCAAGGTGGGCCCGTGGGCAGTGACTTTCCAGTTTGTGATCGGTGCCTGACTGGCACTAAGGGAGAGGGAATGTTTCGGGGAGCTCCAGGGACCGTGGTGTCTGCAAGGGGCCTCTGGCTGCCCAGCAGGCGGGTCTCCACAGGACCTGTGTTTATAATAGAACTCGGTCTATATTTTGGTTTGGGAGCCAGATTAATCATTGCTTACAATGCGCAAGGAGAAACCAGACATCACCTCACTGTTGCTACAGACCGTCTCCCCGTCTGGCTGGGCTGCTTTCTGGGCTTTGGGCAGGGAGGGGAGGGGTCCTGTCCTTGCCTGGGGGTCCTAGGGACCAATATGTACTCAGACATCGGCTGTCCACCCAGGCTCCACCTTGGCCTGAGCAAGGCCTCAGCTCCTGTTGTAATTGAGCTGAAACTCACCAAGCTTGCTTAGCTCTCTGTGAATCTCTGCTGAACTTCCCTACCTCCTGGGCAGCCCACACCCCAAACTGGGCCATCAGCAGGACATAAAGAATCAAAGAGTGAGAAACATATGACTAGAGTAGAGGGTCTTATTATGTGATGCTGGACAAGGTGCCTCTCTGGGCCTCAGTTTCCCCAGCTGGCCTCTCCAAGTGTCCTGTGGGCTCAGAAACTGTAGGATTCCAAAGTCTGTGGCTAGTCTAAAAGCACAGTCCATCATGACACAGTCAGGTGTCTGACACCAAACTCTGCTCCGTGGATACCTGAGACCGCTCCAGGCAAGAAGGTATATTTTCTGTATGGCTTATTCATTTATCCAGTTGTTCCTTCACCAAACAAACGTCTGCTGAACCCCAGCAATGACCAAGACCCTGTGTTAGGCACTAGAGATACACCAATGAACAGAAAAAACTCTCTACCTTCTAGAAGGGGATGTGGGCATTAAATGCATTTTAAGTGCAATGAAGGAGAATGCTAGAAGAACATAGATGCACCCAGCCACAGGAGGCGGCATTATAAACTGAGGCTTGGGGGAGGAGCAGGGCTTGGACAGGAGACACAGGATGGGATAGGAGGGATGCCAGTGGGTATGGGCTGTAGAAGCAGGGGAGCCTGGAGAAGTTTCTCAGGGGGAACTATATGGAATTGGGGGTACCACACTCAGGCAGAATCGGGAGTTCACAGAAAGGCTGGAGATCGTCTCAGGTGGCCTCAATCACATTTCCCCAGACACACTTCCAGATGACCGCTGTGCTTTCCCATTTTATTACAGCTTCCCACAGATAATGGCCAACTCAGGCAGCATTCCTGCTGGGGGCAGGGTGGGGGCAACAGGAGGGAACTGAGGGGAAATCAGGCTGGAGAGAAGCAAGTCAGGTTTTGATTTGAGTAGCAGTTTTGTTCCATGCATCATGTCTATCTGGGGCAGTATGGTAAGAAAGATTCAGGGGCTGTCTCGGGGCTTGGCCAGAAAGATCAATTCGTGATGCTTGCCAGAGGGGAGGAGCGAGGGAGGTGAATGTGGTCAGCACTGCGCTAAGCCCCAGTGGGGAAACAAAGATGAACGGGTTGGGTTCTGTCCTCTGTCCAGTCTAAGCAATGTGTCGACACTAGTGGGTTGCCCACTAGCCCAAAGAGGCTGAGAAGGGAGGCCAAATGGTCAGAGAAGGGAGGGGTGACTTCTGCCTGGAGGTGCTGGGGAGTGCTCTTGGAGAAGATGCTATTCTCTAAGAACAGAGCCAAGGGGCAGCCACATGAGGATAAGTGTGGAGGAGAGTGCATGCCTGGGGAGGGCACAGCAGAAGCAAACACAGGGAGGCAGGAAGGCCCAGGGTACACGGGATTGGATGGGGCCAGGGTTTCTACACAGCAGGGGGCAGGGAGGCAGGAAGGCCCAGGGTACATGGGATTGGATAGGGCCAGGGTTTCTATACAGCAAGGTTTCTCAACCTTGACTTTGTGGGCTGGACACATCTTGTATGTGTATGGGAGGGAAGGGTTATCTTGTGCATTGCAGGATTTTTAGCAGTATCTCTGGCTTCTACTCATCAGAAGCTAATAGCACCTCCCTCCCAGTTGTATGTAACGGCCAAAAATCTCTCCAGACATTGCCAGCTGTTCCCCAGGGGGGCAAAATCACCCCAAGTTGATAATTACTGGTCTCTAGGAAAGAAGGCAAGAGAGTTAGATGAGAGAGAGCATGGGAGGTGCAAATGGAGTTCTGGCAGCCTTCTTGGCTAGCGGAGGGCGGTTAGCTGGAAACTAGCAAAATGACTAGCACTACCAGATGGGCAAGACCTTCTTCAGATGCTTCTCTTCATGATCATGATCACTATTCATTCATTGCATAAATGCATACAAAGTGCCTGCCGTGTACCAGCCCTGTGCTGAGTGCAGGGATATTCCATCTCATTTAATCCTCCCAACCACCTCATGATGCAGCTGAGGCCCAGCAAGCTGAGGCGACTTGCCCAAGCTCACACAGCAGGAGAGCGACAGAGCAGGGATTCCACCCAGGTCTATCTAACCTGGTTTGCGTGTCTTCCTCACCTTGGGAACTGGCCCAGCAAAGTCCTTCCACAAGCATCTCAGGCAGTGGCAGAGAAACAAACCTTCTCAGGCAGGCAGGCTCTTTTTAACTGGATGGACACTGTCTTGTCTGAGAAACTGTTTCAGTCAGCCTTGTGGTGACAGAAAGGGCCTGAGGGTCAGAAGACCTGGGTTCAAATTCTAGCCCTGCAGCTTAGAAACCCATGGAAGGTATTTCCATTAAATTGGTGCCTCTCATTCTTCGCTGCAAGTGGGAACCACCTGGAGGCCTTTTAGAGCTACTGATGCCTGAGTCCCACTCAGACCAACTGAGCTAGAATCACCGCGATGGGGCCTGAGCTCCCTAGCTGGGAGCCACTGCTGTAGACTGCAGTCTCCAACCAAAACTCCCTTTCTCTTGCTGATTTTTCTCCATAGTCCTTTCTGTCTTACAGTGTACCTTTTATTTTTACTGTTTTTCTTTGTATTATCTGTCTCCCCACCCCCAACCAGAAGGCAGGTCCCAGGAATTTTTGTCCATTCAGCTCAGTGGCTGGCACATTACAGGCATTCAATAATTTCTGTTAAATAAATGAAAACATAGGATTATCCATGTTGCCTCAGAATGACACAAAAATTCAATGTGCTGGTGATCACGAAGAGGAAGCTGACCTCACCTCTTATCCACTCACCTCCCTTCTCCCCTCAAGGCTTCCCACAAGAAATAACGCAGAAAAGCCACACTACAGGATCAGAGCCAAGTGGCTGCTGTTGTCACCAAAGACGTGGGTGATAGGAGAGACCACCTACAATGGTGGCCCCAGGCACATTGCCCATGGCAGTAGTTCTCTTCTCTGATCCCTGCCACTGGTCAGGGGTCTCTGCCTTGGGACCTGAGCTCCCCGACGCTTCACCCAGCACCCTCTGTGAGTGGGTGACGCCAGCCTGCCACACACCGAACTCTACTGTGCGTGTCTAGGCCAGGGCCAGAGGGGAACTCAGAGCAACTGGCTTTGCCAAATAGTTTTCCAGCTGCACAGTGGCTCTTCGTTAACTTGGAGAAGCTGCCTCTCCCTGCTCAGGTGAGCTGGTTCCTCTTGGTTGGGGGTCCTTGGCCCCCTGGACATCTGCTTAATGCAAGGAGCCCTGGCACCCCGGGCAGGAGCTGGTTCCAGTCTGGTTTCCCTATCTCCTGTCACCTCTGCTAGGCTGCCACCCCCATGCAGAACAAGATCACCAGAGACTGCTTTATGAGCTGGGACCGGAAAGAGCCTTTTCCACTCACACCTCATCCATCAGAAAGCGCTAGAGCCCAGAGGGGAAGGAAGTGGGGAGTGCGAGTCCCTCTGTGTTCTCTGAGCCAGAAAAGACCATATTTCCCAGCTCACAAACAGCCACTGCTTCCAGGGTAGGCCTCTCAGGTTGGAGGTATGGCCTGCTCTGGCCATGGGGAAGGGAATGAGGGAACAAGATCCTGCAAGGCCCCCTGTGTCATGGGGCTCTCAAGGCAAGAACTGGGTGGAGCTGGGAGACACCCCAGCTGTCCAGATGAGAGCCAGATGGCCTAGAGAGAGTTCAGCTGTGGCCACAGCCGGGATCCAGGGCAGAAGCTTAAGAAACAGTGGTAGGCCGATGCATTCACCACATAATCCATCAGCAGTTGGGGATTTTCTTGGAAAAAGCAATTGATCCTTAACCTGCATTGCCTTCCCCCCATTTCCTGAATACCTGCTATGCACAGGCTTCATGCTAGGTTCAGTAGGAAGAGCAACAAACCAGATTTGCACACCCTGGTTGGTGAGGCACACCTGGTAGCTCAAATTAACTAAGCCAAGACAGCTTAAGTGTCCTTGAGCAGAGAGGATCCTCCTGGCCTGAAGCTGAGTGCTCCAGGAGGACTCCCGAGAGTAGGCACAACTAGAGTAGAGTCTTGAAGGAAGGGAGACACAGGCTGGAGGAGTCACAGAAATCCAGGGGGACTGTAAGCTATAGACCCACTACCTAGGAAATGCCAGTCTTTTCCCCACACAGGTGTTTGGACAGGTAACTCCCCAGCATGGCTGAAATGGGGATGGGATGCGGGTGACATAACAACAGCCAGGAAGGTACAGAGAACCCACTGCCTCTCCACATCATTCTCCTTCCCCTGCAGGGCATCAGCGACGGCCACATAGTAGACTCTGAGAGCTCATTGACTTGCCCAAGGTCACCCAACCAGGAAACGGCAGAAGGGGGAATAGAACCCAGGTCCAACTGACCACAGGGTCCACTCCCTCAACTTCTCTGCTCCAGGCCTTGCTCCTGGTCACACAGCCCCAGACTGTGCAGGGTCAGAGATGGGGATCATTGTCTCCATCTCATGTAGGAGAAGGCTGAGGAGCAGAGACAGGACTTGCAGGCCCAAGGCAACTCAGCCAGTGGGCGGTGGAGCCAGGGCCAGCACAGGGTACTCCATCACCACAAGCTTTCTTGAAGGTGGTCTCCCTGGGAGCAGCTTGGCCCCCAAAAGGAAGTACAGCAAACCAAGGATACTTCTTATGCTACCTCATTAACCACGGTGGGAGGCACCTACTGCAAGCCAAGGGATTCCCTGCCCCCAACAGGCATAACCCTTGGAAAGCTCTCTCCCATGTGCCCTGTGCCCAGGAGAGCTGGGCTGGGGCTGGGGAGAGGCAGGTGGGCCCACAGCTCTCCTGCCTGAAACCTGGCTTGCTAGGAGGCCCACTGCACAAGGCAAAGCATCAAAACCAAACAGTACCTTTCGTCCCGGAGGTCCTGGATTCCCGGACAGCCCAGGCAAGCCCATGTCGCCCTGCAAGACACAGACAAGGCGGGTGAGGCAGGAACACGGGAGCAGAGACACGCTGCTACACTACAAAACTGGAATTGTAACTTCCAATGGCTGGTTATTTCCAAATGAGATTCATGGAGTACTAGAGGCCTCAGAGGAGACTCGGGTGCTGCCCAGCAAGAAGAGTGGGTGGTGTACCCCGCCCTTTCCCCACTCAACTCAGCCGCTCCGTCTGATCTATTTTATATACTGGGATTCAGCAGAAGACACCACTTGAAGAATGGGTTCCGATACTAAAACCATGTTTGAAAACTGTTCCAGAGGACATGTGCCTTATCGGTCCCATATCAATCAGTCATCTCTCCCTGCAGTCCTGAGACACCTTCTCATTGCTGGGCATGCCGCTGGCCAAGCAGGGGGACATTTCTGCCACCACCCCAAGACCTGAGAACAGGCCACGCAGGAGCAGGAGAGAAGCCTGGGCTCCCGGGTGCCGATCTCATTTTGCCACTTACCAGCTGCATGACCTCCAGCAAGCCACCCCTGCCTGGGCCTCCGTTTTCTCATCTGTAAGCTGGGCCCATCTGCCCTGGCTCATGGGGTTCTGATGGGGGTCAAGTGGTGGTATATGGGAACACTCTCCTGGGACCCTGGGTCACCCAGTAAATACGTGCTAAGGGCAAACACCTAGCAGTGAGGATGTGAAGCAATAAGCCACCCATGTCTTGGGGAAATCAAAGAAAGCAGCCAATTCTAGGTGCCTTTAAGCACAGGAGGCTGGGCTGAGAAGCAGTGTTCAATCCGTTGGGATGGCTCTAGGGCTGTGTCCAGAAGGAAGCCAGGCAGACCTGGGCATTGCTTGCAGGGTGTCTGTGCCTAGAAGACTGACACATTGGACAATCTCATGTGGAGTTCTGGGCTCCCCTCTTCCCATCTGTCCTGCACTCTCTCCAAGTCCCTTGCTCAGTTTATGGGGTGGATGCTTCAGAGATGGATGAAAGCCTTTAGCCAAAGTGTTTTACCTTCTGCAGGCAAACCTGGTTTCATAGCCCTTCAGAGTTAGGGAGCCCTGAATCTCCAGCCTCCTAGAAATCCACAGACCCGTCTGCTGGAGTTAACCTCAGGAAAGGCTTTGAGTGTCTATGGGAAGCTTCCTGGCCATGTGCTACCAAGAAACTTCTGGATGCCCACGGTCACCTAGCAGGCCCTGCAGAAAGCCATGCAGAACATTAGGCAAAAGGACATCCACCAAGAGTGTGTCCATAGGAGAAAATCTTTTGTCAGTTGTGTTGGCTGCACTTTGGAAAGAAGGTGGCTGGGAATAACCTTGGGTGGGTTTGGTGTTGAGAGAGGCTAAAGGGCTTCAAGGAAGAAAACCACACCACACCCTGACCGTTCTAGATGTTCCCACCTCACTGCCTCTGCCATGCACGGCCTCTGCCAGGACGGCTAGCTGCAGTGTGGTGATTTCACTATTGTCCACTCCCCTCTTCCCTGAGAACTGGGGTCCCTGGAAACCTACCTTTGCCCCATCGTGGGCCTTTCCTGGTGAGAGCCCTGGGTCCCCTTTCTGTCCCTGAAACAAAAACAATTCCACTTTGGCCACCAAGTCATCTAGAGAGGATGTCTGTCTCCCCACAAACTCTGCTCAAAGCCCCGCTCCCTTGCTTAAATGCCTTCCCATCCATCCTCCCACTCACACACCTCCAGAGGGTCTTCTCCAATTCCACGACTCCCCTGCTCTAACACCTTCCATAGCTCCCCCTGACTGCAGGGTGACAAAGTCCAAATTCCTCCTTCTGCTATCCCAAGTCTTCTGTAATCCAACCCGTCCCAGGCATCCTATCTAGACTCTGCTCTCCTTTCAGCAGCCAAACCCACAGAGAGGGTCCCTCTGCTCTATCCTCAAACCACAGCCCACTCCCCAGCCATGTCCCACACTGTCCTGCCACCAGGCTGTTGCTCAGGCAGTCACCTGCACCTAGAAACCCTTTCTCCAACCATCATTAGCCAAACTACAAACATTCTTCAGTTCACAGCTGGAATGTGTCCTCCACATCCTACTTATAGAGCTCTACGCCCATCCTCCAGGTGACCAGTCTCTGCCTGTGCACATGGCCAGGACTATCTCCTGGCTTGTTCCCCTGGGGCTCTCAGGGATTTCTGAGAGACATGTCCAAGAGGCATGTCAATACTTTTTGATTTTCCAGAATGTTGATATCCATCTCATTGGTTTCTACATGAGGTTCAATGCACGAACAGCCACTTACACGTGTGTACGGCCCTTCGCAGTTGACAGTATCCCTCGCCTCACTAGATTCCTACAGTCTAGTGAGGCAAGGGAAGCATTATTCCTCCCATAATATATTTGGGAAAACTAAGGCCAGGAGAAGGAAAGGGACTGTCTAGGGCCTCAAGATGAGGCATTGGCAGAGCTGAGATTATAACCCTGATTGGTGACTCCCAGACCTGCGTTCCGGGATGCCCTGGCTCCGGCTGGGTTAGAATAGGCAGTAACTTGACGAGAAACTGACAAGCAGTGAGTCCCCAGTCAGAGGCAAGCACTCTTTGTTCCTAGCGTAGGGACAGTCCCTGTCGCACAGATCCTGGCTCCGGAGAGCATGGGGCTCAGGAAAAGGGCCCACAGATTCACCAGCCGCGTCTCTCACGGGGTGCTCCTAGCTGCGGCTCCTCTCCTTTGGCCAAACCTGATCAGATGACTCAGGAAACAGCCCTGTGGAAAGTTGGTCCACCCTGTGTCACCTTCTAAGAGGTCCTAATCTTTGTCCCCATTCCTATCCCACCTTGAGCCCTCTCCCCTCCCTGCCTCAGCTGGGCCCAGAGTCAGAAGTCCTGGACCTGCCAGACTCACAGTGGGACCTCAGGCAAGTCACTGCACCTTCCTGAGCCTCAGCTCCCTCACCTTTAAAATGGGGACCACACACGCACACCCGCGCGCACGCACACACATGCACGCGCGCACCCAAACACACAAACACACGCCAGCTTCCCAGGTTTCCAGGCAAGGAGCCAGTGGGATAATGACCGTGACACATGGGAGGGGTGGTTTGGGCAACTTTAATTAATCCCCACTTGGTTCTTTTCTTCGTTAGAACTCAGATGTTCCAAATCCTGACTCGGTCACCCTCCACCAGATATCACTGCATTCTGAACTAGAAAGTGCCTCTAGGAGGGAAAGGAATGAGCTTTTGCTGCTCACCTACTATGCACTGACACTGAGCTAGCCCCATTCTGTGCACCAACTCCTTTAGTCCTCATAGCACCCATTTGTTCCAAGGAAGGACAAAGGCAGGTTCAGAGAAGCCAAATCCCAGCCTGGGCTGGCGTTCCCTGGCAGGGAAGAGACAAAGGCTGAGTCTGTCCCCAGGCTAGGTCTGATTTCAAAGCCCCATTTGCAAATGGGAGACCTGGGTGCTTCTCCCACACTCCCCCTTCCCCCAGCTACCCAAGGCTAAAAGTCCCCAGAAGCCCAACTCTGTCCACCTGGGCCCCTCTAGGTCGTATCTTCTGCAGAACCTCACCTCTGGGATTCACCTTGCACTGCAGCTGCTCCTCCTGGACCCCCTCCCACCCTGGGCTGTTCAGAAGCCCAGCTCAGTGCCTTTTATGTCCATGGTACAAGGCCAGGCCGAGGGCTACCGAGGATTCCAATGGCCAAAAAAGGACAGCAGCTCTTTCTCAGCCAGCCTGTGCCCACCTCGATCTGCAGCTGATAGAGGAGCTGGGCTTAACCAGCTTTCAGGACTGGGCCTTCATGTATCCTATTCTGTTATCTTACAAACAAAGGAAACTGAGATCCAAAATGATGACTTGTTCCCTTGCCCAAGGTCCTTTCCCAGGGCATTTTAGTTATTGATGGATTTCTCTCTGCATTCTCAGCAGCCAGCACAGTGCTTGAGATGCAATGCCTGCCTGAGTATGATACCTCCAAGTACAGATGCTACAAGCCAAGTCTCAAGATGAACAGAAGGCAGGGAATGCCACAGTGGGGAACAGACACACTCGTGACCATGAGGGGCAAACCAGAGAAACCGGTGATGATGATAAACATTAATATTTACTGAGTGCTCTTCTAAGCCCTGGACACATATTAACTCATTTAATCCTCCAAATCCATAAGGCAGCAACGATTACTATCCCCCTTTTACAGAAGAGAAAGCTAAGGCACAGCAGGAATAAGTCACCTGTCCAAGGTCATACAATTTGAAAGTGGGATTTAGTCATTCTATTACAAAGATACATGCATGTATATATACATTGCAGCACTATTCACAATAGCAAAGACATGGAATCAACCTAAATGCCCATCAACAATAGAGACTGGATAAAGAAAATATGGTACATATACATCATGGAATACTATGCAGCCATAAAAAGGAATGAAATCATGTCATTTGCTGGGACATGGATGAAGAAGCCATTATCCTAAGCAAACTAATGCAGGAACAGAAAACCAAATACTGTCTGCTCTCACTCATAAGTGGGAGTTGAACAATGAGAACACATGGACGCATTGGGAAGGAACAACATACACTAGGGCTTGTCGGCGGCAGGGGAGTAGGGGTAGGGAGAGCATTAGGAAAAATAGCTAATGCATGCTGTGCTTAATACCTAGGTGATGGGTTGATAGGTACAGCAAACCACCATGACACACGTTTCCCTATATAACAAACCCACACATCCTGCACATGTGGCCCGAAACTTAAAATAAAAATTTAAAAAAAAAAAAAAGAAAGTGGGATTTAGGTTCTTGCAGTCTGGTTCCAGAGCCTGAACTCTTTACATTTTGATATACTGCAGATGAAAAACTACAATCCAGTGGTAAGGGGAGGATAGGAAGAAACTGGAGAGAACTTCACCTAAACAGAGGTAAATCCTTAAAGGGAGTTACAGGTTTTGTAAGTTGAGGCTGGAAAAAGACCAGGAGGAACCAGATGAAGTGGCAGCTCAAGGGATGCTCAAGGTACCTCTAAATGGGTGAAGGTATGACTTCTGGGATA